ATGTGACAATTTTTATGTGAATTGCTTCACAGACCGGCATACCTACATCACATTATGTTGTGCCTTGGCCAGCATCTCATTTCTATTCACAACATCTCTTACTATCATATAATAATATCTGTCTACAGTAGTGATGTACCCTTCAAATCCAAACAAGTTCATGGCCAGTCATGCTACTATGCTTAGTCAAGATTATGAGCATTAGTATGCTGAGCAGCCTCTGCCACTACAAGCTTGCTGCATTATTAGTACCATTAGCAGGATTCACACCACTAGTCACTAATTACTGTCTGCTGAGCACGGGGGGACTTTCCTGATGTAAATGGAGGGTCGAGCATCGTCCCGGCCCCAGTCAAGTTCGTTGTCCCAACCCGCATCGATATCATCCTACATACACATACCTCATCGCGCACTGAACATCCTGATGCCTTCCTCGTTCTCCTTGTCGACCTTCTCGCTCTCGAGCAAGGTATGTCCCGAATTATGGAGCACGCCCAATCGGCATGAACTTACATATTACTATCTAGGCCTCCAAACGGCGCTCCCTTGCCAGTGGTACCAGTGCGAATTCGTCAACTTTGAGCTTCCAGAGCGTAAAGCCCATGAAGCTGGGATACTCTATGCCGGTGAGTAGGTGACCGCACCTCCCGTGAACGCGTGTGCTCAAGCGTCTGGCAGTCATCATCATCATCAGATTCGTCGATTTCGAAAGCGTCGAGCATGCCCGTAATCGTAAGTTGCGCCATATTTTCGCGAAAAATTCAAGCTCAACGTCTGGGGATTAGGCTGAGACGCTGGACGAGGATGACCAAGCTTGGGGATCTCGCCCTTCTCGCCGCCAGCGCAAGCACATGCACTGAAAGTTCAACTTATCGAAACATACTTCCAGGCCTTGGCGCAGTAATATCTGTCCTATTTGAGCCTGGTGCTGGTTATTTCTCTTGGGCATTCTTATCTTGTGTGCCTTGCAATTTGGACAATTGTATCTCTACCAATGGGCGTTCGTGAAACTTTCGTGGAGGTAGCTAGCTGTAGTGTGCCGATAGATAATACGTGTTGAATCAATCCTTACCATCTTCGATGACTCTAGGAAAGTGGATGACCCTGAAACCGCCCTGAAGCGAGTGAAGTTTATGTAGAGCAATATCCATGCAGAATAGCTCCCTGAATGAGTGTACATCATGATGCGCGCGAACGTATCTAGATTCCCGGCCTTCTACATAGCTCAATGCCTCTATGCTCTAGTTTCATCATGTCCACAAAGCAAATCACTATCCCCGGAGTCAGGAGTTTTCAAGGCTTCCTGTAGCGCTGCGAACGTTTCGGAGGCGATCCCCATGCGCAGTCATCTTCGTCGAGCATCTCGGCCTAAAGTAGGTCAGAAGTCTCTTACAAAGATGTAGGCACCAGGTTCGCTCACGGGCATTCCGGACTCCGATATAAGATAGGAGGAAGATTGGCTACGAGACGACGAGACGCTCTATATGATGAAGTGTTGCGTGAGTGCTTTGCGTTAACATACAATCCACTCGACATGCCGAGAATGAATGAAGTCTGAGGAAGGGGATGCGACGAAGTGTGGTTTTAATCGACGCCGTCTCCTCTGACCGCATAACATGTTCTTGCATTGTCTGTCGAATGCAGTCAGCAATATGTACTATCGGATGTCATGGTCAAGTCACCGCCTGCGCCTTTGTGTCCATGTGATGGTAGTTTAAAGGAGTGATGGGTCGAGGAGTAGAGGTGTGCAGGGGCCGGAGGTATAGGAGGCGTTCGGGAACGAAGATAAAGAATCTCTGCAACGATGAAATTTATAAGATGCTGGACTTCGACATTCTTCGCTGCGGGTGCTATCAAGCGTCAGTCACCCAGTCGGACATGAATGGAAGCCGACTCTAGCATAAGGCCAGTGCTCCTCTCATCCGGGATTCGACCGACAGGTTACCGCATATAGTCGACACCAATGTGCTGGAGAATCGCGAACCGTTGATCGGCCTCAGATCTTCCCCTGGACGATGCGGGTACCAATTCAACCGGGAACTCAAAAACGTCCTGGAACCTTCGGCATCGAGACCAGCGCGAGAGCGTACCCGCATCGCCCGCGCCGCTATTGCGTGTTTGAACTATATGCGCTAAAAACAAACGAGGGTTGCTCCAAAATCAGTAACATGGGACACATGAAGCGAGAGGCCTTGCCCAAGGCGGGACGCGCACGGGGCTCAGAGTCTCGAAGAGGTGTCGCCGGGATGACTAGTATAAGAATGTGCGCTGATGTTACTGGTTCAGCAACAAGACACCTTCTATTTCTTACCCGTTGCTTCGGGAAGATCTCGTATTGCGCACACTCACACGACTAGAACAGCTAGCATCGTAGAGCATGTGCGCATGCACTGGCAGCGCTGGCGGGGACCTAGGTGCATCCTCGGGCTCGGAGTCGAAGCAACAGCCATGCAAAGGGATTCAGACAAATCACGACCATCGAGTGGCAGAGCTTGAAGTACAAAGAAATGTTCATCAACATGGACTCAAGCTCGAGCTCACTGTTTCAAGTTCTCGGAGATCTAGAGGGCTCAGTGCAAGCCACGGGACCGTGGGAATGTGCAGCTACTGCGGTGTCAACGCGTCTTCGAAAAGAGGACGACGATTCGCTACCAAGGAACCAAGCGGCTTCCATGAACGCGTGAGCTCTGTAACAACACTGTCCAGGCCTTGGGACCTCGATATAAACATTCTAAAACAAATGCATGCCAACCTCTGCCGCGATCTTGTCATCACGTCACTTGTGCTCTCTTTGTCGGACCCTGATGGGATATGAATACGTCCCCTGATCTCTCTAACGTGTACCACGGAAAGGAAATACATGCTACAGTGTTGAATCACTCCTTGATGCACTATCACTCCTTGATGCAATCGGCTCTCCTGCCTTTCACTGGCTCTGAACCCTCTTATAATTAATTCAGAGTGTACCTTCATACTGTTGCAAGAATGTATCAAGTTTTCTAGTCCGTGGGGCAAATGGTCGATTTTTGAAAAATCATCGAGTGCCTGAGAATGAACATTCTGGCACATCGCGCTAAGGAGTTGGGCCCAGAACTGCTCTCAACATCACTGGCAGTCGCATTTTTTTCGACTCTTCCTTATGAAACACCATCCTGGCTACATTTTTTGCTATGACACCAAGTTCCAAATCGTCGATGCCGGGTCCATAGCTTGCATTTTCAGGCTTGAACCCCATCTGAGCCCGACGCGCGTCGGCCAACTGACCGCGCGCCAATACATTCTGTGACTCGAACAGTCACACCGGGTAACCGGAGGCATCAGTAAGCGGTGCATCAAGGAGTGATAGAGGCGACCTGGCGACCTCGTTTACAAAATGTCTCACTGACGCTGCCCTCCGGTTCATTTTGCTCCAAAAAATATTCCTCATGATGCTACAGCTCGCAGCTTTCATATGAGATACTTACTTTGCCATGAACTGCGGAATTGCAGGCGCTATGGACCCCTCTCACGTGACTGCATCAAGGAGTGGTTGAACACTGTAGCTCTAACCTATCAATATGGCTGTCACTCTGGTGCTGCACTGGGCAATGTTAGCCGACGGTGCGAACACAAACCACAGCGGCACCGGGTTTGTGGGGCATAGGGTACGCCTCCTGTCGCTCAACCAAGTTCGCGCCATCCAGAACAATGTTACTGATATATTGATAGGGCATGTAATGCATATGGTCGCCGAGTTCAAAGGACGTGCCCTAGCCTGATCTCATACGTGTCGGGCCTCGACCGGAATCCCTGTTTCTTGGACGGCGAAAACGTAGGACTCCAGAGCATTCCAGAGACCCGACAAATGGCTTGGAACTAATCAGTGCCAGCTACCGGATGCGCCGAACTCGCAAAAATGGACGAATACAGGCTGGGCCTTCCCTCGATAAGGCGGCGTACAACGGTCAGGGCGTCTTTTTCGGACTTCTAAGACTTACCTCGACCGATGCATTGCCCTTGTGCACTTGATTATCTGTGTTCTATCTCCGCTTCGACAAGAAATCCACCCATCCGAGCTTTGCTCTGCAATTTCTGTCAAACTACAGTCAACCACTCGACCTTCATGCACACCACGTGATCGATCCTCAAGCCCACTCTCACCGGTTACTCTCGGCTATGCTCCCATCTCTGGGTATTTGCTTACACGGTCGTACACGATTCTCGGTGAGGCCGAACAGCGGTATCACATTGCAAACAGGGCATGTACCGCGTCTCCACTCCGCGGGATCCCGGGAAGCTGTCATACCCCACATGCTGGTATGCTTTGCATGACGATCGCGCGTCCTTCCCATTGGCGATGGACTGCCTACCCCGGACATAACCATGCTAATGCATGCCTTCATCAGCCGACCCGGATGGTGTGTCCCGGCTTCTCCAACAGAGGTACACATGATGTGTTGACCAGTGTGAGTAGATCGAGACAAAAAGCGCAAGGAGGTGGTAATTGGCCCCTTCGAACGCACGCGGATGAGCACGTCGCTCGTCATCTAGGTCCTGTCCGGACATCGCCCGACCTTTCTCGGCTCATCTGGACAGCCTTGGTCCGAACTGTACCTCGGCGTGGCGAGGATGCGGCCTCCGAGCATTCCTTTACTCCTTCTCGGGTGTTCCATGAGGAGGCGCGACCGGCTCTATCCATCCGGAGGCCTGGCGCTGTGTCATATCGTTCATCCTGGGGTGCATATAAAGAACCCATGGACGTAGAGGTAACGCATCACAACAACCGAGGCGTCTGCTCCATCGAACCCACCCATCCTCAACACTACCAATACTACTACTACCACCACCCATACATCACACAATGCGCGCCAGCTTCGGAACCTCCAAGGCCTCTCTGTCTTCGAAGCGCGATTCTGTGTCTCAGAACTCCCTGCGACCAAGCCTGCGCCCGCTGTCGACAGTATGTCTCGGATCTGCGCTATGAAGGACGTCACTAATCCTTATCCACAGTCCTCATCCCTCTTTACGCCGACGACGAGCAAGTCAATGCTGTCCCTTAACTCGCAGCCAAATTCGTTGAGCGTGGTGGTCAGTGCTTCACTTTGCTCTTCCTGGACCGCACGACTGATGTGCAAATTGCCTCACAGGCGGAGATGCTTGACGAAGACAATTACGCTTGGGGCTCACCTGTCACGAAGAAGCAGTCTGCCCGCAGGTGATAAAGCACCTAAGCATACTATACACCACGGTCATCACTGGTGTCGATCGACATTCAGGATGACGCACGTCGTACCCGGTGGTTGACGGGCTGCGTCGGTCTCTCGGTGATTAGGGCAAACTCGAGGAAGCATCTGCCGTGTAACAACGAATGTCTGTGAACTATTAGTAGTACTGTATTACATTACCTAACGATGACTACATATCAAGCTCATTAAGTGCATCTTACTCGCGTGCGGAGCGCATGGCGTACTGAAGGAAGGACGCGACTTGGTTCTCATGTCAACGAATTGGGTAGATAGCATTCTCCAGAGACCGTTCCCACTCAGAACCTGCAGCCCGAAATATCGCCGCAACATGCGTGTCGACCAAAATAAGTATAAATGTCTGGACCGACTATTTCTAGGTAACGATAGACGGCAGCTCGATAGATGGTCCATAGCCATGAGCTGAGAACATGGCCAATGTGATGCCCGGTACCAGGCGTATCTCACTGTCAGGGTTGCCTTGGACTGATAGCATACTGCACTCATCCCAGGCTCTCGATTGGTATTGCAGGCGACTTGATGTGGCTCGCAAATCGGACTCGGAACCGAAGGTTCAAACGATGTTACACTCCCCGTAAATACCGTGCCAGTGCACATCTCCTTTGCATCTCCTGTGAGCAATATTTCCGGCCCATGTGAATGGGCCCCCGAAACCCGCCAGGTGACCAAATGCGGCTGAGACAACGGAAACAGATACAGCGCGCTTCTGATATTCGTCGCGCTGATATCTAAAACGCACGTCGGGGTTTGACATGCGCGGCCGCTGCGATCTGAAGGGGATCAGAACTGCGAGGTATAAAGGAGACCCATTCGGGAGAACGGGTCCGCGTTCAAGCTCGAGCTGCTCCTCTCGTTACCCCCACACAGTCTTTACCATACTCCGACAAATTACTCGTGCAGAGCACTGCCATGTCTAACAACTCGCTGCTACGTCGTCTCACTTCTCGGTCATCGAACGTGGGTTGCTTAGACGCGACATTTAACGTCCTCTGAATGCCTCCACAGAGCTCGAACACGAGCTCGATATCGTCCAGTAGCACGCGAGCGTCATCGGAGTTTCTCGATGGCGCCGTCCAGGTGACAGGGTCCAAAGATCGCTACAACGTCCCATTGGTACGCAGTCGGTGCGCAGTCATGGCGGTCCGCGCTAACGCCCCTGCTCGAACCTAGAATCTACCAAAATCAGCCCAACCAGGCGCTCAAATTGGAAAGGGGTCTAAACCTTCAAAGGCAAAGAAACAGCCGAGTCCAGGTTTCGTAAGTACAGCACTGGACAGCTCTCCGCGTCTTGCTGCCCTAAGCATTGGCGCCTTCACAGGCACAGATGCTAGACGAAGACAACATGGCGTGGGGGTCACCCTCCTGATGGGTAGGTGTATCTCTATCGCCGCTGGCCGATGCTCTGTAGCAGGCTAAGGGCCCCGCAAGCGTGCGGTGTCGAGCTCAACCAACCTACACCGGCTTTGATGGTTTGATGGCATATCATCGGCAGCCTTGGCTGGAACGGTCCAGGGCGTACAGGGGGCGTACATGGGCAAGCATCAGAGGTCTGTGTGTAACAAAGATCGCAATTGCATAGTGGACGGAGACCAATATACTTTGGCGACATGAAGTTCGAATCTTGAATAGGTGTTGAGGGAAGTGTTGAGGAGAGCTGATAGCCCGATTAGCGCGGAGATGTGTCAGGGCAATGTCCCGAAATGGACATTTTCCGTAAAGCTGTCGCTTGTGTTCACTGCCACACCAAGCAGTGCACGCGTCGGGAGCAGTGGGTCTCCGCCAACGCGAAAAGTCGCCTCCGTTGCGGCTGGCTGGTTATTCGACTTCGCTTCTAGCCATGCCGCGACGGCGGACATCTGCTTTCTTGCCCTCTTTCCCCACTGCTTTGCTTTCTTGGACGCTCTGTACGGCATGCGTCGCTGCGAAGGTCACACCCTTTTTACAACAGGTTGATCGCATCTTCTTCCTCATGGCGGGAGGTTATACTTACCGAAGCACTGCGCGCAGAGCTTTTATTTTGATTATGCTCCATCCTCTCAGCCCGTTCCAATACCGACCACAAGTGCGTTTCTGAATTTAGGTCGAGAAGATCCCCGTAGCTGATGTCAGGTACGCCCGAAGTACAATGCGACACGATCGACATAACGTGGAGCAGGCAATCGGCGACCGGGTGCGTGGTCTCGGAAGCATACACGCGGTTTCAGACTCACTTACCTCCATACAGACCTAGCCCCACTGCTCCATACTATCTGCAGATATATACCTCGTACGCCTTGCTTGCAGCACCCGGGTTGCTTAGGCGCCCTAATCGTGATATGGCAGGACGTTTGTCGTTCCGCTCGTCGTACCGGCGGGCAGCGGACTTGAATTCGTACGTTGACTAGGATTCTCTCTAGTAACATAACAGAAAGTTTACATATCACTGTCGCTGCAGGATTGGCCCGTGCCGTTTACTCCGGGAACACAGGTAATGCGGAACTCGGCCATACTGCCCATCTGGTTCTGACGGCCATATGTTAGTATCAAATATGCATGTTTGATAAGAATGGAAATCCAGGTTTGTGATTATTCCTCCTCACGCAACGTTCATCGTTTTGAGCATGATTGCAGGCGGTTGTCAACGGATGTATACGGTCATCCCAAATGCGAACACCACACTCGACGAGCCCGTGACGTGCACCAATCTATCATACCCCCACCCAGACCAGGTGCGCGGTCAAGTTTCATCCACAACGATGCCAGCTGATAACGACCACTTACCCAGGTGCTGGACGTGGAGGGCACATTCTGGAATGGACCGATCTCTCAGTTTGGATGGCCGGACCAGGTGGGTCGGCGCTCACATGGACGTTTCCTGCTCATTGACACGTTTGGAAGTGCACGGATATTCAGCTCACCCCGAAGAACGGGACCCCTCCATTCACCTTGACGGTATACTACGCCCACCGGTTCACTGACCATACGTACTCATCATGATTGATCTAGGTCGCTCCTGCATTGCACCCTCCATACAACATAACGTCGAAAACCATGGATCCGATAAATTGGACGGTGTCGCTGGTAAGGTTGTCTCCCGTGGAACAGAGCATTGCTGATAATGCTATCACAGAACTGGGGGCAGCCATTTTTCCTATCGTTAGTCGACTCAGAGGGCAACGGCTGGGCGCAAGGTCCCCTTCATGCAGGTCAAAACGGTCCAACGTCCTGCTTGGACTTATCTTCCCAGTTGGTCGACTTTCCTGCATCTGATCTTCATGCTTGCTGATGGAGCACCTCTCAGTGATACAGGGAAAACAGTTTCCGCGGCTGTGGCTGCCGGTTCCAGCGTCGCCGGCCTCGTAGTAGGCGCCTGTCTGGGACTATTCGCCGGCTGGCTCTTCTTGTACTACCGTCAACGCGACAGACGCCCCTACTTTATGCGACGCGGTTCCAAGACATCACTGGGCCATATCGACGATCCCCATACGCCTGGCTTCGGCAGCCTCTCAGACTACTCCCGCGTGCCTCTCAGTCCTAATAACGAGTTTGGCGCGGCCATAGGCGGGACCCATAGCGCGGGCCCATCGACGTCCTCCAGCCGTATACCCCATATGACGTCGCAGTACCACATCGAACCGTTCATCCCGCCGAGCATGGGGTCCGAACCTACAGCGCCGGCAGGCGCGGTCACCTCAGATGGGCGCCAATCCCCCAGCCAGGCGCACAGCCGCGTCGTATCGGGCGGGTCCACGGCGGAAGCATCCACCACCGGCCAGCAGGTGTACGTCGTCCACCACGACGGCGGGCGTGCCCCCGTGACGGTCTACACCGCGAACGGGGCCGAGGTCGTCGAGCTGCCGCCAAGCTACGTCGCGTCCGCACGCGAAGTCGAGCCCGGGGCCTCCGACTCCGGGCGTTCCGGCTCGGACTCGTCTCGCGCGCCAGGATCCGGACCGGAGGCGATCCATCAGCGTCGCCAACCGAATATGCCGCGCAAGCAAGCGATGAGGCTCGCGACGCTGAGCCACAACCCCCCTGACGGTCCGGGTCCGACGTGATAAGATGTTTGGAGGATTGCTCGCTGCTCAGCCAGGGTCAGGCTGTTGGACCTTTTCCTGTCTTGTTTCTGTCTCTAGATCCTTGTACACGTATACCTCACACGCTCGTGCACCTTTTCATGCGCTTTACGGTGACCCCCCACATTCCTTCCACTATATATTTGAGTATACCTAGCCTGTCGTGTATTCCGTCCTCCTGGAGCATAATCTCAACCAGTGCTTTGCCGTGTTTCCTCTTTCCTTTTCGCTTGTGATATCGATGTATATTGTGGCTTTGTTCGATGCTCTCACATTAATAATCCTGGCTGCCTATTCGGTCGGGTTGGCGCTACGGTCGGCTCCTGCTTGCCACTCCCGACATGATAGGACTTAGTATTGAGGAGTCATCCGTGCTATCCTATTTCGCGAACGCCCAGGTTGCAGCTTGCAGAGTACTTGCGTGGGGCGCTCCATTGGCTGTCCGGATATCCTAGAAACAAAAAATGCATACAATGACGAATACATGGTGCCGTCCGCGAAGTTGGTGGGTCGCGCTAACGTGCATCGCTGATTCCTGCATTGGCATAATATGATACTTATATACCGATATATTTACTAGGTTCCTTCCGGTTTATACAATCTCCTTCTATCCAGTCCTACAGAGTGCTCGCAAGGAATTCCAGCGCCCTCGCTTGCGCCTCTTCCGCCCCAGGGGCCAGCGCGCCCAGGTTGTCCTTATCCAGAAGGCCGTGCTCCCCAGTCGCGATCGGGAACAACTCGTTCTTGATCCCGGCCGCGTCGAGGAGCTGCTTCAGGTGTTCGCTGTCGGCGAACGGCACCGCCGTGTCCGCCACGCCGTGCACCGAGACGACCGGTGGGAGCTCGGCCGCGCGCAGGAACGGGAAGAGGGGCCGGTCACCCTCGTCGAGGGCCGCGGCACGCTCTTCGGGCGTGGATAGCGCGCCGAGCTTCGCGCTCAGTCCCGGGCGGGTCATGAGGTAGTCCGGGACGATCCCATCCTGGAGCGCGTGCAGCATGAGGACGTTCCGGCCATCTGGAGTATCGAACGAGGGGACGCGCACGGGCGAGTACGCGGACACGGGGGAACGCAGGAGTTGGTCTAATTTGGGGAAGGAGGGGTGGAAGCCGCCGAAGAAGCGGAGGCCTTCGGGGTGCGGGCGGACGTAGTGGTCGCTGAGAAGGTCGGTCATGCCGAAGAGGTTGAGGACGGCCTTAGGCTTCGGGGATGCGTGGAGGGCGTATTGGAGTGCCATGTACCCGCCTGCGGAGCCACCGGAGACGAAGGTCACGCCAGAGGGGACGAGGCCGGAGGGGAGCGCGGCGCGGAAGGCATCGGAGTTGAGGAAGGAGGAGAGAGCGCGTATGTCGGCGAGCTCGTCGTGACCCGTGGAGGGAACGAGGAGACGGTAGTCGGCAGAGATGAAGATCCAGTTGCGCTTATGTGCCGCGTCTAGTGGGGCGATACGTTCAGGTCCCATACTTCCTGAAAATTGAGGAGCGGAGGAGCTTACCAAGAAGCGATGCCGGGAATAGGTCGTCGTCACGCGAGCCGCAGAAGAGACCACCGCCGTGAAACCATATGAATACGGGCGCGGAGCCAGTCGCGTCTGGGGCGTACAGGTCAAGCTTGACGTCGATGCCGTCGACGTGCGAGTAGGTGAGCGTTTTAGCGGTGGAAGACATGTTTGACGACGAGTTGGAATGAGTCGACAGAGGTATGGGGTGGCTTCTGCACGCTACTGGGTGTTCGTGACCGTTACGGAGTCGGGCCTCGCCATCTTTATGTCTGGGCAGAACCTGAGATGATAAAGCGCGTGTCCCGAGGTATCAGCTGTATGTCATCTCTGATCCTGCGGACGGGAGTGTATTAGTAAAGCGTTATCGTCAGACGATGATGAGGTGCGGGTCGTCGAGTGAGTCGACATACCGCAGCCCTCCGGTGCCGGACTATACGCTTGTCATCGGACACTTCACGATCAATATCGTCGGTCTTGCATGTGAATGAAGCCACATCCCCCACATTTACGCGCCACGATTGGGCGGTGTGTTTGTGAGCGCGTGTTTTCCACAACGTTCGATGAATATTGGAGCCAGGGAGACAGGATTCAGGAGCGACTCGGAGGAGGATCAGAGGGAAGTGTTGATACGCTAGTCTGTCAGTGAGCACAGCCATTCGAAGCGGTGGCGATGACTCCGAGAGAGTCGGAGTCCCCCGAACGTTGGGAGTTTGCTGACACCGGCTAGTGTCAAATGATGTCTACTTTGCAATCGATGAGTCACCAAAACAACGTACACAACTAAATAGCAGGCAGCCCCGAGGTAGAAACATGGTGCAGAGCCGCGCTCGACATCGCCTATTTGTAGTGACGGCCTACGGTAATCATGCTCTCTCGCCATCAAGGAAAAATATTATGCGCTGAATGGCCACGCAGATAAGCGTAGACAAGGGAGAGACAATGTCGCTCGGATATCCCGGCCTTGGTACTCGCGTCTTGCGGTTGGATGCAGCGCGTCCTCAGGAGCGTAGGGTGGATGATCTTGCAGGGGAACATACAAGTCTAGTCCGCCGACCAACGAAGGTCCAGGGAGCCCTCCTCCGCTCGCCACGTGAAGAATTGTGGATGAATACGGCCACAGTTCGACCTCGTGCTGTGACAGCGACACGTTACCGTGGTCAGTCTGTCCGGAAGGAGATACAGTGCTGTATCGTCGCTGTTGTTGGATGTTGGATAAGCTCATAGCTATCCGCTAGAGAGCTGATGCCGGGAACATCGCACGTTGTTGAGCGTGATGTAGGACTTGACGCTCGAGATTGTACGAGTTTGATGGGCGGCAGATACTCTTCCGGTGGGCATGCAGTCGCGCAAGACGGTAGATAGGCAGCGAGCAATGGCGCAAACTACCCGGGCGGGGGTGTGTTCGAATCGTACACGTCGTCTGAGGTCTCAGTTCCTTCCAAGATCCGTCGTATGGTATCAGAGGACCCCAATACCGAATCCGAGTCAAGTCATTCAGCACAGACCGGAATCTCTTCCACAACATCGGCACAGATGAATACGCGTCGAAAGATCAACTCTGTGTAGACTTGTTAGCTTCGCAGACAGGAACGACTACAAGGAAGGGGGGAGAACTTACGTAGAAATCGGATGATAACGTATGAGGGACTACAAGCGTGACGTTTGCGTCCCAACATCGTCCTTTTCCTCGGTCAACTCAAGTCTCCGTACGTTGTGGTGGCGACATCTTGGCCCTAGAGAAGATCAATGCGGATGTTGATGACATCAACGTTGGGGTCTCAAAGATAAAAAATTGCTATCTATGCATGCTGGATGCGGTGTACGCCAGCGCCAATTGGATATCCGGAGGCTCACTGGATAGAAACGGGTGGAAGGCGAGCGATTGGTGTTGCAGATCGGCGCGGGAGGGCTCGAGCGCTCAGGACTCAAGCTAGACAAGAGCTGGTCGAGAGACGAGGCAACTTGCCGTGGCCATGCTGGGCAATTCATGCCAGTGGCAAGAGCGGTAAGAGGTTGACGTGACGAGGGATCGGTGGCGTGACTGCGTGACACGACGCCAGCGGTGAGTAGCGTCGAGCAGTGCTCGTTGGTCGCGACTCGCTGCTTCAGCCTGCGATTCACAAACGCGTCTTGCTTTCTGCGCCACAGCCGCGTCGCGTCTATATAGCGACATCTCGTCCTCCTCTGCGCTTCTATACCAGAACAACATCCACATTTCACCTCGACGAGCTCCGGGTGATGGCGCGCGCGACTCGCGGCTCCAAGCTGCTCGAAAAGGAGTCACCGGAGGTGGACGCCTCCGCGACCGTGACTCCAGCGCCGAAACAGAGGGGCAGGCCAGGACGGAAACGCAAGCGACAATCTACGGCGGATGTGGACGGTCAGCCGGCGGCCAAGATTTCCAAGAGCGAGGATCCGGACGAGGTGAAGGAAGAGCCGGAGCCGGACGGTGCAGAAGGAAAGCAGCCCGAAGAAACGAATGAGGTCGTGGAACACCCTGACCTGCCTGGTTCTGGAGAGGTGCCTCTTCACCTGGAAGACGCCCAAAAGATACTAGATATTCTAGAGATGTGCGTGTCTCATGGCTGTATGCTCGGTTTTCGCAGTGGCTAACGTCCGAGTCTTGTGCAGGGTGGACACGCAGGGTCTCCTTGATCGAATATTTCCTCTACCCGAGCCCGAGACGCACGCTTTGGACGTTGCGGACTCGTCGATGCCTCAATTGTTATCCTTCCGCAATCTTCTTCAGGATCCCTCTCGTCATACCCTATCAGTCTTACGCGTAAGTATATGAGTACATGCTCGTGAAATTGACCGTTTCGTGGTAGTTTGACTGACAGAAAACCCCTACAGTCCGCCATTCAACATCTCTTCCCCATCTCTTCTCATCCGCGTTCGCGACCGTCGACTGCTGCCTCCCAACAACAGCATTTCTGCGCGCTCGCCCTCTCTCTCCTCGACCAAGCCTCCCGCAACGTTGCCCCCGTCCCCCTTTCATCCACAACCCTCCTCCCACCCTCCCCTAGCTCGACCGATGCCCCGGATCCGGCCACTACTCCTGCCGCCCCGCGTAACTACGCCCTTGTGCAGCACCTGCCTACCGGCGACTGGTGGTCCTCGCTCAGCGCACGCTCCGCCGGCGCGGAACTGCCCCCGCCCAGTCAGCTTCACGACCTAGGCACCGCACACGCAGAGCTCGTCGCCGTCATCCCCTCGCCCTCCGATGTCGGCACGGGCCCGCCACCGCCGTCGCTAGGCTCGATGCGCATGACTGCGCCGCCCAGGCCGAAGGGCCCCGCGCGCGCGAAGCCGCCCGGCCCGCGACAGCTTCGGACTGGCAGCTTCTTGGACTACGGGCCGTACGCGAGCTTTGCGCCGACGTTTGACGGGGAGTCGGTGGAGGTGGGGAGGTGGAGTCTGGGCGAGGTGTTGTACGCGAAGGAGATTCGGCGGCGACTGAGGGAGGCAGCGCCGCAGAGCACGGGGGAGGCGCAGGTCGTCGTGGACCCTGGTCTTTCTCCACAACCTCATCACGCAGGTTCTGCGGAGACCGACGACGATGTCGTCATGGAGGTAGACGGAGTCGAAGATAGCAAAGAGCCAGCCGAGGAGAACCTGAGCGGCTTGGAGGACCTCTTGTCGCCGGAGGAAGCTGAAGAGGTCAAAGTTGCGGTGCTGGGCCACCTGCAGTTGGAGTCATTAGTGGAGGAGCTGCTGGCTCGAAATGCGAAGGCGCTCGCGCGGCTAGAGGAGCTTCAGACGGAGAGGTTGCGGCAGGCGACGACCGCTCCTGGGAGCTCGAAGGTTCAGGTACCCCCCGTCGAGGCTGGTTCGGAGGAATGGAATCTAGGTACGCTACCAACCGTCCGTTGCCGTCCACAAAAACTGAACATACGCCTTAGCGCAAGGCATCATGGATTCACTCGCAATCCTCGCCTCTCTCCGCCCGCGCTCCTCCACACCTGACGCGCCTCCACTCACCCCCGCGCCCGCTATCCTGCGCAAGCTCCACCGCACGCTGCCCGTCCAGCCTGCGGCGCGCTCGGGGTGGCACGGCACCCTTCCCGCCACGCACCCGCGCGCGCTGCGCGACAACACCACCCTCCGCGTCAAGCCCGGCGTCACCATTCCGGCTCCAACCCCCGCTCCCGCTCCCGCGGTCGCGTCCACTCCGGCGCGCACGACGGCCTCGCCCGCGACGCCCTATCCCGTCGCTTACGCCGCGCGGCCGGCCTACCAGTCGTATAACGCCACAGCGGCCGGATACCCGTACGTGCCCGCCCCGGGCCAAGCGCCGGCGCCGGCGTACCCCGCCTACGGCCAGGCTTGGCAGATACCCTACCCCGCGCAGCCAACGTCCGGCACAGGCACACCGCAGCCGGGCGCGACGCCGGCGACGCCGGTCGGGAGCTACGCCGGCTTCTTCGCGAACGCGGCGGGGACGCCCACGCTCGCGCCGCAGCCCCAGCGGGCTGTCGCGAACACGGTGCTCAGTGCGGCCGGCAAGGGGGCGGCCGTCGGGAGCGCCTGGGGCGGCGTCGCGCCGACGCTTCCGCCGCACTTGCGGTCCAGCTTTGGGACGCCGGTCGCCGCTGCGCCAGGCACGCCAGGATACTTTGGAGGGTACCAAAGCACTCCCAGTCGGTGATTTACACCAGTGACCACAGTAGGACGGTTGTAAGCGCGACGCTTGCGTTGCCATACTTGCTTAGATTAGAGGTGTGTTGACGGGATCCCAACGAGTGCATAACTTGTGTACATGAATGTTTCCTGTGTTCCGGCTTTTTATTGCATTTCTTCTTCTTAAACCAATACGATATATAACGTTCGCGCGGTGCCAACGCCGTCCTAGTCAACAAGCATGTATGTACCCCTCTGAAAACAGGCATCGGGCAATCCAAAAGGGAAGCATGTGCCCGGCCGGTCACCGGCCGGCGAAGGTGGCCGTCCTTGCCAACTTGAGCGGCGGCGGTCCGTCGCCCCGACGCTGCCTCCGCCCGTCGTGCGCATGCGCCACCATCGCGGACACCGGCATCGGGAGCGGATCGAGCTCGTACGGTCTGCACGATCCATAGAACAGGCCGCTCTCGCGCTGCTGGTGCTCGCCCTCCTCTTCCCCATCCTCGCGCTGGCGCCGGCCCGCCTCGCGCGTCAGCCGTCGCCGCCGCGCGAGCTGCCCGGGCGACATCGACCGGCGCGAGCTCGCCCAAATTCGTAGCATGATCTCGTGGCTATCTCTGGCGGCGGCTTCGACCTCGGCGGGGCCCGGGCGCGAGGATGCGGGCGGGAGGATGGTGATGGGTTCCGGCGATGGAGGCAGGAAGCGCGGACGCGTCGACTCCAAACCGGGTATCTCATCGTCACCGCGGAACCGGAACATCGCTGCGAGACAAAGAGGAGAAACGAGCGGGTCAGGGTGCTATATCGCTGGTCTAGAGGCTGCAAACACTCACGGTCTGACTGCACAAACGGGGGAACGAGGCTCGGATCCAGCTGGGCAGCAGAGGGCGGCGCGTCCTCGTCCATGGCATGCCATCGCCCGAGCACCGACGAGGACCCCGAGGCGCGCCACCGCCCGACCGTAGACGCGGACGGCGCAGCAAGGTCGACGCGCATTGGCTCGGAGACAGACAACGGGATGACGGGCGGTAATCCATCGAGGTTGACAGTGCCGGCCGTCACGCCAGAGGGCGGTCCGGCGTCGAGCGACCGCTCGTACTGGCGCTCGTAGCGCAGATGAGCACGCCGCAGCGCGTGGACGCTCACGTCCTCCTGCGACCCGCGCCACGCCCGTTCGTTCGCGGCGCGCATGCGGTCCGCCTCCGCCTCCGCCTCCTCGCGCAGAGCTTCGCGCACCTGCACGGCCACTTCATCCTCATCACCCCCTAGTGTGTCGAACGGCGGTCCGAACGCGCGCAGGCGCTCCATCATGCGCTCCGTCGTGTCTTGTATCGGCTGCTGTGGCTGCGTCGACGGCGCGGGCTCCTCCCTCGCACGCTCGTTCGAGTACACGATCTCCCACGCCGGGCTCACGTCCCAGTCGTCTTCCCCGAACTCGCTAACGCCACCACCGCTGCTCGACAGCGCCGGCTCCGCCTCGGAGCGGTCCAGCGACACCGGTTCCGGGAAAAAGACGAAGCTCGGCCGCGGCGGTTCGTAACCTGCAGGGGGACCCCAGGCTCTGGGTGGGCCGGACGGGTCAAACGAATAAGGGCCGGTAGCTCTTGCGGCGCTGTTCGTCGTCGCCGCCGTTGTGGCTGCGGACGACGTTGACGCGGGGGCGGTAGCAGCGACGCCCGGACCAGACTCTGAAACTCCTTCCTGCGAAGGGACGGTCGGGGTCGGCGATCGAATCCACGGGGGGCTCATCGCCGGCGGAGTCCACGTCGGCAAGCCTTCACCATTCGCGCTCTCGCCCTCGCGCAAGGACGGCGGCACGATCCCGCGCAGCCTGTACAGCGTCCTATCGCGCTCGGCGATCAGCTCGTCCCCTTCTCTCCTCCTACTGCCGTCCGTTCCGACCTCTGCTCCTGCTCTCCCTCTTCTTTCATCACCACCCCCGACGTCGAGTGGCCGGCTAAGCTGCCGCTGATATGCCGCGTCCAACATGGTCCGCGGCATCACGCGCCTGAGCGTCTGCACGCGCGCTTCCCGCGTCTGTTCGAGTGCGAGCCGCCGCCGCCTGCGAATCTCGTTCTCCCCGGTGTGACCGTACTGGGCGGCGCGGGAGCCAGCGGGATTCGTGGTGGTCGAAGTGGAAGGCGTCGCGGCAGGCGCGTCCGAGGGGATCTGGGTGCCGAGCCGAGTGATGGTCGCGTCGATGTCGTTCGCCATCTCCTCCGCGCGCGAGAAGAGCGCCCGGATATCGGACGGACGCGGGGGCGGCGGCGTCGTATTGGCGGGCGTTCGGTCATCGTTCGTATCGAGCCCGTTTTGGCGGCGTCTCCGGCGGATCGCTTCGACGACGGCGACGCGCCGGCCGCGGGAGGTGGCGCTGTCGTCGCTACGGTCCCGGTTCACTTCGCGGGTCAGCTCGATCAACTCGGCGAGAGCGTCCGACCTCGGGAAGGAGGATCTGGAGGGCGGAGATACGGGAATCGATTGTGAAGGTACGCGGGTGGTCGCGCTGTTGTCGACGCGTTCGCCGCCTACCTCTCGGTTGAGACCCATGAGCTCGAGGAGGCCGTGTGGCGTAGTCAGGGAGGCTATGTCGGACGGAGATACGATGAGCGATTCTGGGTTTATGGTGGTTGCGGGTGCAGAAGGGCGGGAGGTGCTGCTCGCGCGGAGGAGGTCGGCGCGGAGCTCGGTGGGGAGCGTCGAGACGAGGTCGCGCATTGCGGGGGCCGGGACGACGTCGGTGGCGGCGGGCGTCTCCGGTCCGCGGTCGGCGTCGGTGGCGGGGCCTGCGAGCACGATCGCCGCGTGTGAGGGGCCTATGGTTTGGCTCGAAGTCTGGCTCGTGGCTGGGGTGGATGGGCCCTCCGTGCGCGGCGGGGAAACGCCTGGCTGGTCGTCCATGGGAATGGAGGCGAGCGGGAGGGAGCGCAGGCGGGCACGTAGGTTCTGGAGGCGGAGGTAGGCGTTGTCGAGGATGGCGACGGCGCGGTTAAAGCTCGTCGCGGTGGATTCGTCGAGATCGGAGAGTTGGTCGGCGACACGGATATCTGTGCTCGAACTCGTGCGGGTATTTTCTGGAGCTGTATCGGCGGAGGCGCGGCTCGCTCGAGCGCGGGCAGTTCTGCGCTCGATGGCGGTGGTGTCGACCCCTGTGGGCGGGTTCGTGCTCTGGGAGCGCGAAGGCGGGGGAGGCAGGGCTGGGGCAGAGGGAAGACGAGGTCACGTCAGTACTGCGCGCCCGCATTATGATTGAGAGAATAGACGCACGAGGACGAGTGTAATGCGGGTTCCCGTACAGCGGTCTTCCCATCTACTCTGCGCTGAATGCTCCCAGAAGCAAGCCCTCTTTTATTATCGAGGATATTCGGGACGTGGATAGGATGGGTTGAGCCCAGCGGCAAACTGTGCTTATTTCTCGCCTCCAGCAGCGGCGCACAACGACGGCGACAACGACGAACCCGGGATGCCGAGATCCCGTGACCGCATTGGCTCATTTTCGAGTTGCGACTAGGGCTCTCGAGTCCTCTCGCTCCGCTTTTACAAAACTTACACGCTCAACAACTGGAAAGAATGGCGGGTGCCCCGCCAGTCCACCTTCGCTTGCATTTAATGGGCCCATTTGCAATGCAGTAGTATAATCTTATCCGTGGGTCATGATAAGTGCATAATTGTCGCGTGAGAATCTGTTCGATGTCACTGAATCCGCACTGCACAAACAATTTCTTGGTTGAGAGATACCTGAGCAAGCTCAGTTAACACAAACATATGAACGCGGAACCAAATACACAGCCTGTGGATCAAGCCGATAACACGTACGCGAGAGCTATCGAAGAGGTACGTCGTCTCGATTTTTATTTTTCAAGCGACTTCATTTGCCGGTGGAACTTCAGAGATATGACGACTTTACGCATCTACATCGGCAAGCCGTCAAGGAGCTGCCCGAATCCCTGATAATTAAGCCGCAAAGGCGCTCTGAAACTGAGATACCATATGGCGCACCCTGTTTTACACATCACCCTGGTGTCGAGCTGTTGGCCACTCACAAAAAAAACTCGTACGGATGCTCCATGTGATCAGCCCTAGCTTCCCGTATTTCTGTGAGTTGATCTTCTCGTACGTGGACCATACCGATTCGCAGGTCTGAGCATCCAAGATCGCCGCGTCGGAGTTATGGTTCATGTAATATACAGCGAGCAGGCTCGAACGAGGCCAGGTGCGATCCTACGGGTGCAGCGCGGGCGCGGGTTCCTCGTCTAGACGTGCATCGTACGCGGGAGGATTGCTATCGGGTATCGGATCGTGCGCTGGCGGCTGGTATACCGGACCTGTAACAACGGCATCGACGCTGCTCTTCGTGTATTTAGGGAGCTCCTGGTTAAATTCGGAGTGGACGCTGCCGTGACGGATGAGGGGGGGTGGTAGGGATATCGTGGCCTGCGCTTGATTACGATCTGTATATAGATACACGGGTTATGAGGATATGATCCGTGCTCTACAGGGATGAGGAGTTGATGCATACTGCGAGATAGCGTTCGCAGTGCGGAGAGATGCATCTCTCCTCGTTCCACTCGCTGCCGAGCTATGCTATCGCGGTGACTCTCCACGTCTCCGGCGTATCTTCGCTTTGCCCTGTGCATCCGGGCCCATTGGGCCGACAGCACCACGAACACTGTATGACAGGGCCGTCAATCAGTGCGGATGCATAACACGGGAGTTGTATTGAACTCGACGTACGGAAGCTGACGACGAGTGCGATCCAAATCACAATAGGTGGGGACCCGCTCATGGCTGGTCAACGAGTACGTATGTTCAAGTTTCTCGACCCGTTCAATGCCGTCGGGGGGACAACGGGCGCGGGTTATATATGTAGTCCAGTACCCGAAACCGTCCCCTTACGTGTGGATCCGGTGTTATGTTTGATGGGCTGCGTGGCTCTCGGGGGGATGCACAGTCGCTGACCTCACCCGCGCTCTCGATGAGTTTTCAGTGTTCTCAGGGTCAAAGTGCGTAGGTTGCATATCTGGGTCGATGGAGCGGTTCCAGCGGGTGAAATGGATGGGTGCGCCCAACGATCAGAAATATCAATGACATACTGTAGGGCGAAGTCGGGACGGAACCCGCGCTCCGAACCCTCTTGCCAGACTCAAGCATGTGCGACGGCGAGCTACGTCACGCCGGCGGCGGACGGGTGCTTGAGGCATATTCGCTCGAGGCTGTAAGGTGGTGTTTGTCCTCGTGGCTGTTGAGATTGGCAAGAATATATCGAGGGCTGTTCGGAGGCATTTCTCGGTCTCGATCAAGGCACGCTGGAGTGGATTGCGTCCACACCAGAGCATAGTCCTGTAAGATCAAGAACAAGAATGAGATTGTAGATGCCAGTATATGTCACTAATATGCTGCGGACAATATTCGGCGTCAATTTGATTGTGTGGTGTGTTGATACAATTGTGCAGCATTGCGAAGGGCGAGGGTCGAGCATAAGCGGGGACGAGCGGTCCGTATTACGAAAACAAGGGCACAGCGTCGAGAGCGAAGTTGCGAACAGCAGATGCGAAAAGGTGAAAAGATGAAAGCGCGGACATGGATCGGATGGCATGCGTATTCTAAGGATTTGCGCGGCGAATAATGAAAGGATAAGAATATCCGCACATTGGCCGGGCCTCCCTATTGGATACGGGGCTCCGCTCATGCGCGCCATTCGAACTGGTTATGGAAATGGCGTCAATAGATTGTCGTGCATGTATGTCGATAATAGCTGGAGAGGAATGTGGTGCTCGTCAGCGACGAGGACTTTGATGGGCGATACCAACGGTCGCTGGATTTAGCTTTCGCCGGGAATCATCGGTCGGAACGGCTTATCGGAGGACATATCTTGTGCGTGTCCGCGAAGACTACCAAGGTACGCGGCCGGTGGTAGTGTCACCACGGAGCGATCGTCGTCGTACGCGGGCGGCGACTGGCCAAGGGAATCATGCGCCGGATGAGCACCCGAATGCGCTGGATTCGCATAGCGAGGTACAGGGTACGTGGCAAGTGTGCGCTCGGAGGAGCATGAAGTATGCCGAGACAGCTTGATTTCGTCTGCAGGGTCGGCGCTCCGACGAGTGTTGTTCGCGCGCAAGCCTGTCGGTGAACGTTCGTCACTGGCAGTCAGTGAAGGGCGATAGTGTCTGAAAGAGAACGGCGTACCCGATGAAACAGGATGGAGGCGGGGCCCCGCTCCAGGGAGAGGGCTACCCCGCGTCCCCGACTTGACCGATCTGCCGGTCTTGTACCACTTGGCGACCGCGATGATGCCGGCGAGTCCGACTTCCACGAATGATGAGCGCGAGCCGACAGTTATAGATAGCGGACAGACTCACGAACGCCGATGATCATCACGGAGACCAAACCTGGGGTGAGGCGCCCTTTGGCAGGCGGTGTCCCATTGTTAGGACCAACGTCGCCAGGGTCTGCTACGGGGGAGAGATGGAGATGGTTGATCGTCGGCATCGGGCCTAGCAGCGCTGGGGAAGTAATTTGATAGACTGAGAGGTGAAGAGGAAGAGGGGGGAGGAATGGCCGAATTGGCAGTACCCTTCATGTTAAATAAGACGAGGCTGCGTTATAGGAGCTGTGCAACGAGAGCACTCCAACTATTAGGTATCGGGACAAGGACCCCTTCTCCCAGTGCGTATCATGAGAGCCTGCGAGTAGCAGTCTGCTCGATTCCCCGGGTCCCGCGAGAGACATCCAAGGAGATCGTCAAGGAATCTGAGGTAGGTGGAGGAGTACACCTTCGTTTGATACGGATCAGCATCGACCCCAATTAATAACTTCAGCAACTTTCTTTCAGTGTTGTCACAGGACCTCTGCCCGAGTTATTGAATGACCGGTCCGGGTTCCGCGCACTTCCGCACAAAAGCCCATATGCTTTTCGGATATTAGGTGCACTTGAAGGCACGCGGGTTGAAACTTGACAACGGGTAGGCTTCAAGTCACAAGGGGATGGCAACTCGTTATCCGAAGCCCGACAAACTGACAGGATCAAGAGCCTGAAATCATGTTTCAGGAGCTCGTGTGAGTATAGCCCAAGAACCGCACCAAGAGCGAAAAACACTGAAACGATGTATACACGCACGATTTCGTGTGCCTCTCCGATGCTGCAGCCTGAGTGCATGGGGTTACCAAAAGGTTATGTTGCGTTGCCCCTAGGATGGGTTCGAGTTGATCGCGAAGCCGGACGAACCTGACGTGAGAATACGAAGGGGTCAGATTTCCTGCGAAGCCCATCGAGGATCCGAAATGTTGACAGGAAGGCGGAGACGTTCAGTTGGGCTTACCGCCACGTACCGCATATTAGGAACATCTTAGGAGATCTGGGAGTTTAGAGCAGCGCTTTGAATACAAACATCCGCCGGGATTGCCACGTACCACGCTCGAGCATGGACATTTACTCTTCAGCCGCAAAAGCCGACCTCTGGTTCGACATTGACATCCTGCGTGACTGCATTACCGTGCACTACAGTTGATGCGCAACTTCTCGTTCCAATCTTTTCGCGAAGACCTGCAAAGACCGGTACTCGCGAACACCGAAGGAAGGCTCGCGTTCGAGTTCAAACGCGGAAGACACCGCCACGATATGTACGCGATCGAGATAAGAACCTTGCCGGGAAAAGAGTTTTGCACGAAAAGAAAAATCTCTTGGGCGGGTTACGGTCCAGCAGCCCTGTGCGGGGGCGTATCAAGAGAGAACCACCGAAGGGTGAGGGGGAAGCGCTAGCTTGGGCGTAGGCCGGGTGCGAGCGCGACGGCTCGCCCACCCGGCCTACTCGGCCGGCTCTCTCAATGTGACTATGATTCTGATATGCACATCGTCTGCCATGTATCGTGGTCCCTAATGCGAAGGAATGTAAAGAAGGGTCTTAAGGACCTGCCTGTCTAACTACCAGGGTGCGGAGGGTGGGACGAAAAGATACGAGAGGGGGGGGTGTCGAACCCCTCGCCGTCCTCGAGTGCGGAAGCAAGCGGCCAGCGAGGCGACCTCCGCCGCCCAAGAACTGGCACCGCCGCACGTGGCCTCCGCTCCGGTGCGCCCACTCTTGGGCGGGTTACGGTCCAGCAGCCCTGTGCGGGGGCGTATCAAGAGAGAACCACCGAAGGGTGAGGGGGAAGCGCTAGCTTGGGCGTAGGCCGGGTGCGAGCGCGACGGCTCGCCCAGACCGCAACCCAGACGGGGTGCGCGCGCCCGGCTAACCCCCACCCTGCGGTCTAGTTCGTAGGGATGAGCCCCGATGGTTGCCCAGCGGGAGACGTTGCATGTGGGTGGGCAGTATGCCCTCGACAACCCGCCAGTAGCGCAGGAAGGCGTCGGATGACCATCTCCCGGCCTTCTTAATAACGTCGGGAGGCACACCGGCCAATAACAGTTCTGTGGTCCCGCCTATACGGAATGAGTGACCGGTGAACCGCGGTAGACCGGCTTGGGTCCAAACTGCATTGCACTTCATCATAAAGAATCGACGAGTGAGCGGGCGTGTGCCAAACGATGTTCGGTAAGCGAAGAGATGGTCAGATTTGCCCGGGTTGTTCCAGTATAAGTGGTGTCGGAGAGCCCGGATGGGGTCAGAGGAACCCCGTTGGCGGAGGATGACGACGTCCTCGCCTTGGCTATAATGAACCTTGGTTGAGGGAAGGTGGATAATGTGGGATGTCGAAGAGGGAGATGGGAGAGTGAGGTCCGCCCGACAAGGGGATCTCCGTGCGGCTGCCCGGGTCGTCGAGGGCGGGAGGAGTTCTCCCAAGCGGCATTGGCCCCAAAAGGCTACGCACGCTGCCGCGAAGACAGCTATGTCTACTGGGTCTGATAGGTCCAGGTTCGCCCTCAAGGTGCGTAGCATGTTCCGGTTAATCGGGAGGCGAGGGGGACGGCGCGAGATGGCTGGTCGACGGTTCTCCACCCCGTTCAAGACGTACTTGAGCCGTTTTCCACCCTTCCATTCTGCGTTCTGTGCTACGTGCCACGCCTTGAGACCCGCCAGAGTGTTCCTGGCCGTGCTGCCTGCGAGTCGACCTTCTCCTGATGCGGCAAAGGCGCAAAGCACCAGCTCATCTGCGGGGAGCCAGAATCGCCGCTGTATCTTTTCCTTTCTGCAGAACCTGATGAACCGGCTGACTGCGCCGTTGTAACCTTTCAGCGTAGAGGAGGCCCACCCATGATGTAGGGCCTTGGCCAAATGGTCTTCGGTCGTCCTGGACAACCTGATCTTGTTTGGATTGTGAAGCTTAGCCGCCCGCGCCTTCGTGTGCGGCAACAAGAAATGATCGATTGTGGGGGACTCTAATGAGGATGGGCGGGCATCTAGCCGCCTGTAGTGACCCGACAAGGGAGGCGTCAACGACGTACGCATGAGAGATGTTTTGGCTGCCGCGCGTCACCGCCCCAAGTTCCCCCCTTGACTCCATCTCATAGTCGTAAGCTAATTACACGAAGTTGCTCTAGAGATGAGATTTGAAATGCAAAACGGTATTTTGACCGTATGGTCTGAACGCGACATGTTTTTCGGAGCGATGCCCCTCGATGGCTCGTCCGCTTTATTCTGGATTGAAGGAACATACTGCGAGACCAGCCATATATTGGATGCGCGCATAAGCGCAACAACCCTCTGGAGGACTCGGTTTTGCTCCGTGTTCCTTGACTTCCCAGCCTCAAGGGCGCCGATGACCCCCTGATTGTCGGACTTCATGATCAGACGGGTGTCCGCGACACCGTTTGCGATGGCTAGCCTCAAGCCGAACTCCACCGCGACCATCTCACCCCATCCGATGTCGCGCCCGTCGGTCTTCCAGCCGGTTTCAAACACCCACGCGTCCCACCTGCCGTCGATGACCACCCCGACACCGAATGACGTTGAGGCATCTACCCATAGGTCGCACGCCGAGGTGGTCGTCGGTATCACAAGGATACTGCCGCAGTCTGCCTGTCGCAGCTGGTTCCTCCAAAATTCCAGATCCTGCAGAACGTGGGCGTTCGGCTTCCTCTTGGTGAACGGAGACGACGCGTGGTGGAACGAGCTCGCGAACTTCGAGAGATGAACGAGGCGGGACCGACCATCGGGTACCGCCATGCTGCAATGGACCAGCGTCCCCAGAATCCTTTCGGCCTCCTTCCTCGTGAAGGAGCCGCCCCGGACCCAAGGTTCGAGCTTTGCCAGATACCTGGATTTCTTCTCATCTGGAATCGAAACCCGTTTCGCGACCAGGTCCCAAACGAAGCCGAGGTATTTGAATATTGAGGCGAAGTCGTGTGTCTTGGACTGTTTCCATGGCCATCCGAGATTCTCTGCCACCCTCATTATGTCGGCCAGACCATATCGGAACTCCGTCGTCCCTCCTGCGTCTGTTCCTGTCGGGTACCGAAAGAATGCAAAATCATCTACCCACTTCTTTAGCGCATCTACCCCCCAGGCTATGTAGATAGCCGCCATACAATCCGCGACTCGGCCCCAGACGCCCGGAGAGCTCGCCGGGCCAAATGGCGCATTATGGTCTATCCAGTACTGATCCCGCCATCGGACTACGAAGTGGCGTTGTTGATTCGGGCGAATTGGGATGCATCTGAAAGCTGAGTCGACGTCCAGCGTGGCGACCTGGGCGCCTGGCGGTGCTTCCATAACAAGGAGTGCCATCTCTGCAAACGAGCCCCACTCGCACTGAAACAAGTCCGTGTCGATCTCGCTGTTGACCGACGAACGTGAAAGGTCGTTGCGCGGGTACGAGAAATCCTGAATCATGCGCATTTCGTGAGTACCCGCCTTTGGGACTGCTCCAAGGGGCGACGTGCGGAAGAACCCAATGCGCGACTCAAGTTGGGTTCTCGAGAATGGGCCGGAGTATCGTCCCGCTCGCCTCTCTTTCTCCACATAAGCATCAATGGCTTCACTGTTTTCAAGAGCGGACCGGTGATTCGGGGGGTCGTACGATTCTATTAGGACGGAGGTGACTCCCATGTCGAAACCGGATCTAATATTTGATGTCACTTCCGGGAACCTGTCCCGTAAGCTGAAACTGCTCAACGCCTCGTCCCAGCGGGGCGCGATGAACGGGGTGACGATAGGGAACAGCTCAGCACACGATGGTGCAAGCCTGCGCTCCGTGGTTTGTGCCCCCACAGAGGGTGCATCGGTGGTCGCCCTTGGCGCACGGCCCGGTGTCTCGTTTCGTGCACCCCCCGGCCATATTGAAGTAAAAGCAAAATTGGCGCCCTTTGGCGTCTTTGACGGAGCGATCCTCGCCACGGGTGAGCAATACTGGCTGGCCGTTGACGAGCGTCTCGGCCTTACATGCGGAGGCTCTATGGCCCTTCCCGCCGCAGAAGAAGCATCGCGCGTCAATGGGTTTAGGCTGGGACGGTTGAGCTCGCCCGGTCGTGACTTTCGATGTTTGCTCCGATCTGAGGCCAGTGTTTCGGGTCGTGTTGAGGGACCGAAAGGGCTGCAAGGACGCCATTACCTGCGCCTTGATATGCGCCGGCTCGACCTTCCTCCAAATGTTCTTGTGGAAGGTCCCGGGGTCTATACCCTCGAGGTGGCACCGCCGGCGGACCTCCGCGTCGTAGGCCAGCCACAACGTCCAATTCTCCGAAGTGGCCCCATCCGAGCGGCAGATGCGTTCGAAATGTTTCTTCCATCGCTCATAGTCGCGACGGAAATACATCCTGATGAGTTGAAGTAGGCGCTTCCATGCCTGGAACCATTCCCCGAATGAGAGCTTTAGTTCTCCTGCTGACGGAAGAACTTTCTCGGCCTGAATAAGCCCTTTCGCCGGGTCCACTGCATACATATCCGAGAGGAGGGAGGAGGTGTCGCTACCGTAGTCGGCGACGGCCTTATCCGTGAGGTAATTGAGCGGAATGTGTGACGTCCAACCTTCCTGGAATTTCTTCCGGATGGGGTCGGGAATTGAATAACAATCCGCCTTCGCCTGTTTGCCCCTGATAAGTTGGGGGCGACGCGGGCCTTTGGTCGGCTCCCGTACGCGGTGGGTGTGCCGCTCTGATATCGTGTGCCGACTGCGTGGATGATCTCTGCGTGATGAGCGGCGGTGAGGGGCCGGTGATGAGCTCCACGCCCTGCCGTCCTCGGACATGGTCGCCTGTGAGCTCCTAGAAAACGACCTTGACCCGGACGAAGAGTCGCTCGACGACGATGAGGATCGGGCATAGCGCCTCCTCGGGCGACCCCTCGAGTCATCCTCGTCGTCCCTGCGAGCGTGCCCCGGAGAGTCAGAAGGGGAGTCTCTACGCCTTCTCTTCCTTTCGCGTGAGGTGCGGTGGGAATGGCGCCGCCCGGAGCGTGACCGATCGCGTGTCCGCTTCCGGTGGTGAGGCTTCGGTGGTGGGCTTCCCAATCCTCGCCATGTCTCCGAATCTCTGCTGGATTGTCGCCTCACCCGGTGCTGGTGAAGGCTGGGGTCCTCCTGGCCAGACGGCGTCGGGGACGTAGGCGGAGTCGGGGGGGATGAGCCACCTGCGTGAGCGTCAGCCTCTTGCCGACTGGCTGTGTGGTCTGAACGGGGCCATATGGCAGCCGGTCTCTCGCCATAAGGCCAAAGACCAAAAAGGGAAGGGGGGGGGGGAAGGGGCCCTATGGCCTGCCTTGCCGCATATGCGACTCGGTCGATGATGCAGCGGCAGCCATATGGCTGCTCTGCGCTGACATAGCGGTGGTTGGGAGCATATGCCCCTGACCAATGATCCAACAACGACGACTCACCCATGTCATCTGACGGCGGTGGGGTTCGTGCCTCGCCATCCTCATCCGGTTCTTCCCCTTCCAGCCCCGCGTCTTGGCCTATGCCCTCCTGCCCCGATTCGTCATCCTCTTCCTCATGTGGGCGATCGCCATCCGGAGCCGCCTCCGCCTCGAGGGAGATGCCATGGAAGGGGGAGCCTGAAGAGCTTGATGCCCCCTCGATGATGTCCGCGAGTTCGTGTCTTGTGAACAAGGCCCTGAAGTCCGGGTGGTCCATATAGAACTTGATGTCGCTCAGAAGCTTCTGTCTTACTCGGGCCTTGAGGACCGCTACCGTGCCCCCTTCGTCAAGCCCAAGATGTGCCGCCAGCCTCTGTAGCTCTTCCTTACGCAGCGACGACAGACGCTTATTGAATAATGGAGCCCGTTCGCTCCACGGAGGCATTGCGGTGAGACCAGATAATATAAGATTCTAACGAAAAGATACGAGAGGGGGGGGTGTCGAACCCCTCGCCGTCCTCGAGTGCGGAAGCAAGCGGCCAGCGAGGCGACCTCCGCCGCCCAAGAACTGGCACCGCCGCACGTGGCCTCCGCTCCGGTGCGCCCACAATATCAGGAACAGTAGCACATGGCCAAAACCAAGCACTTCGAGGTTAAAGAGGGCCGGAGGGCGCGACCACAGGCAGCACGATATTGTCGCATAGAACTCGTCAAGCTTCGAGCTTCGAGCCCGGACACCCCATGAGCTCGAACATGCATGAACACCATTTACGCGATAGATATCCCGGGTGCTGCGATTATGCGTCATACTGAAGTCCCGTATCCTCGTGGTTAGCCGTACAGAAATAGACACGATATCTCCGCTAGCATATCGAATATTATCAAGGCGATTATATTCGGAGCTTGAGGTGTCCGAGGCTTCCGAACGTAACTAGGCCTAAGCTTGGACGTTGAGTACCGAGCTTCATGAAATTGTTGGCGATATCTTTGGATGGGAGTGGGATTCGGGGCCGCCGTTGAACGTTGACTCCTGGTTGACTCGGACCATATGGGCAACTCGGTTTGATAGGACTCGCTTAGGGGTTCCAATTGATCGACTTATAACGAATAACGAATTTCTTGCGGGCCTGGTTGACTCTTCGCTTCTCACCTCTGCCCCTTGGCATTCCCTTCCCTTCCATGTCCCTCCTGTACGACTGGAGGGTATCCAGCCTCGTTAGCGAGTCGCAGACGGTCTTGACCAATGTCGCGTTGATAGATTTGTTGAGAAAGAAGAAGGATCAATCGTACGTCCCGACGCTTGGCGCGTGAGCATTGCTCAACCTCAGCGCGACAGCATATGGAAAGACACGCTCCTGATACCCGCATACGCCGCCGGACTCTCGATAGTCGTGTTCCTCCTCCAGCTCTTGTTCGCGACACGACCGTTCAAGAAGATACGTGCTCGTCTGTGGTCCGCGAAACCCGCCGCTGCCACCGATGAATTGCCTTTGGCGACGCAGGCTGGATGGGTCTCGGAGCTCAAGGTGCATATACGCCGCCACGGTGGCGCCCTCGTCTTCGGATACAAACTTGCTCGCCTGCTCGCCTCCCTCGCGCTGTGGGGTCTCGCGATAGCAACTCTTATCCTCGACGAGCAAGGTCGCGTGAAGGGCAACGTGGCGGACGCGCTGAAGAATGGCAAGAAGAAGCACAAACATCGCAAGGATGAGTCTCAGGTGCTGTTCACTGATCCGGAGTGGATCCAGTTAGCTCTTTGCCTGACCTTCGTGCGTTGCTTTGCTCTATTGCTCCTGCAATCTCTCATAAAGCACTCATGCAGGCGTACACCTCGCTCTTATCCGTCATCTCTGTCTCCGCGAGGCCGAAATGGAGTACTCCGGCGACACACCACCTGATATTCGTCCTCGCCACCGCGTTCGCCGTCTACGCCTTCCGCGACATCTGGCCTCTGATGACTTTTACCCTCACGCCGGCGGACATCAGCGAGGGTGGGCTGCTCTGGGCCAAGATTGCTGCTGTTACCATCGCTGGCGTCTTCGTTCCCCTCTTCATCCCCCGCATATACGTGCCCGTGGACCCACAGGTGCGTGTTTTTCTTACAGGAATGCCATCCGCGAGGTGGTCACACGCGTTCCTCTGAAGCATCCCATGGACGTACCTGCCCCAGAACAAACCGCTTCTTGGGCGTCGCTGGCGGTGTACGCGTTCCTGGATCCCACAGTCAGCCTGGCGTATCGGGTACCTCATCTCGCTTACGAGCAACTGCCGCCGCTCGCGGACTACGACGAAGCCCAAAACCTTGTCAAGCGTAGTTTCCCGGTACGGCTTACCAGACGGTATTTAATGGCCCTTACCTTACCCTGAACTGCACCAGGAACTCGATCCGTTCTCGGGAGGCAAACGGCGATACCTGTTCTGGGGTCTCATGAGCGTTTTCCGTGCGTTTTCCTCGTGAAATGTGTATCGTCTGTGACTTTACCCTATTCATAGGCGCGGAGTACATATGTTTGTCTGTCGTAATCGTCTTCCGAGTCTTCATCGGCTTCGCCTCCCCCATCGGCATCAACCGTCTCCTCAAGTGAGTAATGTGCAACGCGCCTATGCTCCGTTCTGACGTTGTCGAGCTCAGCTACATCGAACACCGCGGTGAAGATGCCCTCGTCCGACCCTGGGTTTGGATCTCCTGGCTATTCATTGGTCCCGTATTTGGCTCCATCCTGACTCAAGCGTATATCTTCGTCGCCACGCGCATGCTCGTCCGCACGGAAGGCATCATCACCCAGTTGGTATTCGAGCACGCCCTTCGTACCCGTATGAAGGCCGAGGTCGCCGAGTCGTCGGACTCTCCGTCGACTTCAAAGGCTCCGTCCGTGGCAGACACGGAGTCCAACGAGGGATCTATCGACGGCACTGAAAGTGGCGACGAGACCCTCCAGGGCAGCAGTACAGGTGACAGGAACGCCTCGCAATCGTCCAGCAAGAACGCAAATGCGAAGGGCAAGGGCAAGACGCCGTCCATTGCGGAAAGCACGAAGAGCACGGACAGCAAGACGCACGCGGATGGGAGCTCGAAAGCTGACAACCTCGTTGGCCGGATCAACAACTTGATTACGACTGATCTCAACAACATCGTGGACGGTCGTGACTTCTTGATGTTGGGTAAATACTAGCATTTCGATCTGACACAGACCATCCATGACCTCTGTCTTAGTTCTTTGGGCTCCGCTTGAGTTCGTTCTATGCTTGTATGTGCTCTACCAGTTACTCGGATGGAGGTACGTCATAAAGCAATCATAATCTTGATGATCTCTTACATATGTGCCCAGTACCTTTGTTGGTTTGGCGGTCATGATCTTGCTGTTCCCGATTCCCGGGTACTTCGCGAACCGCATCCAGACTGTACAAGTCGAGAGGATGAAGAAGACGGATGCACGTGTTCAGCTGGCTACCGAGAGTACGTGTGACTCTGACCCATATCTAGCGCTGTACACTGATAATGATCTAGCCATGAACGTACTTCGTATGATCAAGCTGTTCGGCTGGGAACGCAAAGTCGAAGGTCAAATCGCGGAGAAACGAGAGGATGAGTTGAAATGGCTTTGGAAGCGGCGTCTACTTGACCTGCTCAACAACAACGTCAAGTGGGCATCAGCCTTCCCTTCTATTTCACTTTTACTCACCTCTGAGCAGCTACGTTATTCCGCTTGCCCACATGATCGCTACCTACGTGACATTCGTGGGTGCCTCTGCCATCGACCTATCTAACATTGAGTCTGACATCCGAAAAGACGCTGGTCATGAAACGCGACCTTACCGCCTCAATCGTCTTCTCTTCCATGGCCCGTAAGAGTCTCTGAGCCTTCAAGAAGACTTGCGCTGACTCCCACCAGTCTTCGATGTTCTCCGCGGACAACTGTTCCAACTTTTCGGTTTCACCCCTCTTATCATCCAAGGCAAGTATTGCTCGTCGAATATTGAGATCGTGATTGATGCTGACAACGCAACGACGATAGCCAAGGTCTCGTTGGACCGTGTAGATGACTTTTTGCGCAATGTACGGATTTCTGGTCGATCGTAGCCGCCGTATCTGACAGGTGACTCCAGACTGAGCTTCTCGATAACTTCACGAACGTCGAGAAGGAGAACTCGGTGGAGATCATCACTCGCACTACGCCAGCCGACGAGACGATCATCGGGTTCAATGACGCTGCTTTTACTTGGTCGGCAGACGAGAGCTCCGGCAGCATGACACCGTCGAAGCGCAACTTCCGGCTGCGTATCCCAGACGAACTGATCTTTCACCGCGGCGGCATCAACCTCATCATCGGTCCTACCGGATCTGGCAAAACAAGTTTGCTCATGGCTTTGCTCGGTGCGCACAGTATATCCTCTACATTCACATCTTCTGACGGTTAGTTATCAGGTGAACTGCATTTCATACCCTCTGGACCCAGGTCTTGGTTCAACCTCCCCCGCTTGGGAGGTGTAGCCTACGCAGCGCAGGAGTCCTGGGTGCAGAACGAGACGATCAAAGTAAGCTGCCATTCGGCCCGAGTCATGGAATCACTGATTGGTCGCGTTGTTAGGATAACATCCTCTTCGGAGCGCCTTATGATGAACAGCGCTACAAGAAAGGTGCATATCATGCATGCGCGTTACTCCTACACGTCCTCATCCCACCAATCTCTAGTCATTTACCAATGCGGCCTGAAGCGTGACCTGAGCTTGTTCGATGCTGGTGATCAGGTGACGTTGCTTGCGACCGCAGACTTTGCTATATCCTCACTTCTGCTTCTACAGACCGAAGTCGGAGAGAAGGGACTGACACTAAGGTGATGACGAGTTATATGCGCTCGCGATTGGTACTGACGAAGCTCGGCGGGCCGTCAGTGGTGGCCAAAAGGTACTTGAATGACAGCATATAATCGAGTTATTCTGACCTATCATCAGGCTAGGATCACTCTCGCTCGAGCAGTGTACTCCTCTGCCGACATATTACTGTTAGATGATGTGAGTATTTTTCTTTGAGCGAGAGCCCCTATATTCATATTTGATTTAGGTTCTTGCTGCTCTCGATGTGCATACGAGTAAATGGATCGTGGACAAATGCTTCAAAGGCGACCTGATCCGTGGGCGCACCGTCTTGCTGGTGGTAAGTCCGGGTCCAAGAGCACATTGCGAAAGCCTCAACTTTCTTGTGCAATCATAGACCCACAACGTAGCTATGGCTTCCCCAATCGCGGATTTCGTTGTTTCTCTGGGATCGGACGGCCGTATCTTGAGTCAAGGCACCGTTTCCGACGCTCTCGCGAAGGATAAGGCCCTCAAGGCGGAAGTGGTCGAGGAAGCCAAGGCCTTGGAGAAAGTCGAGGACGAAGTAGATCCAGAGGAAGATCTTGATGTTGCCGTGGAGAAGAAGGATGGTAAACTTGTACTTGCCGAGGAAATCGCGGAAGGTCATGTTGGCTGGCCAGCGCGTGCGTATACAATTCAACATGGCGTAGATCGCTCTCTAAACCCTTTCGCAGTCAAGCTTTATGCATCCAGTCTTGGAGGGGAATGGGCAACCTTGTTCTGGGTCTGCCTGCTCTTAGCCTTCTTCGTCTGCGAGCTTGGAAACGTCCTTCAAACTTGGTATGAACTAGTACCATCACATCCATGAGACTATAGCTAACGTTGCTCAGGTTCCTTGGTTACTGGGCTCGACAGTATGAAGTTCCCAACGCTCACGTGAACGTGCTTTAGTGAGTACTGTCTGCCTCATGAGTGGGAACAACGTAGAGCTTGTCAATTTCAGCTATCTGGCCGTCTACTCGGGGCTTCTCGTGTTCGCGATCATCTGCTACGTGATTGGTTTCACCTTGTGAGTGTTCATGGCTGGTTTCACGATACGCTGGTCATGAACCATCCTTCCTGTAGCTACACGTTTGGCCAGTTGAGGGCCTCTAGGACCATCCATAGGAAATTGATCGAATCTATTCTGGGCACCACCCTCAGGTAAGATCCGCGCCACGACGTTGCATTGTAACGCTCACTCCTCTCCGCAGATGGCTCGATAAGACCCCGACTTCGCGAGTCATTGCAAGGTGCACGCAGGATATTAGAGCTAGTAGGCATCCTACACGCAGGTCCACTCTATGCGAATACTGACATTAGCAATAGTTGATGGCCCCGTCTCGGATTACCTTGCAGCCGTGCTTGAGATGTAAGATCCTCCATCAGCAGAGCATTATCATGTGTTCTCAACTCCATATTCTAAGGTCTATCCAGATGTTCACGAAGTTGGTCGCGGTGATCCTATTCACTCCCATTTTCATCATTCCCGGTGTCGCAATCGCGGCTCTTGGTGCCTGGTGCGGTCAGATATACATCAAGGCCCAATTATCCGTCAAGCGTGAAATGAGCAACGCGCGTGCCCCAGTTTTGGGTCATTTCGGCGCCGCTATCGCCGGTCTAAGTCAGTACGCTGTGAACATTCATTATCATGTCGACTAAATGCTCGAAACAGCGTCCATTAGGGCTTACGGTGCCCAAATTCCCTTCAAGAGAGAGTCAATGCAGCGTATTGACCGCTACACTCGAGCTGCTCGGACTTTCTACAACCTGAACAGGTGCGTGTTTTGTTGCATGACCATAATCACGAGGACTTAACGCCATATTGCAGATGGATTTGCGTTCGTATCGATGTTTTGGGAGGTCTGTTCTCTGCAGGTCTCGCGGCATATCTGCTGTACGTTCAGGGGATGCGTGACGCTTCAAACACGGTGTGCTTTGCCGATCTCGCTAATCATAACCTATCTAATGCGTTTCCAGGGTTTCTCCTTGACTATGGCTGGTGAGACGAGAGAAAGCTTCGTTCGAAAGCATACTGATTTGTTCACTGCCATCTTCCTCCAGTGGCCTTCAGTAGCATGATCCTATGGTGGGTTAGGTGCCTCAACGAATTTGAGGTTGCTGGTAAGCCTTCTTCAGATGTTATCGGCAGCATCGAAGGTGATATGTTACGACAGGCAACAGCTTGGAGCGCGTTCAGGATTACATTATGGTTGAACAAGAACCGAAGCCTACGGAAGGCGGAGTTCCTCCCGCATACTGGCCAGCCAGTGGAGATCTCCGTGTAGAGAATTTATCGGCCCGTTACTCGCCGGTGAATAATTCCTTGTCTGCCGCTCAGCGCCGTGCTGAACTTGCTTGCAGGACGGACCTCAGGTCCTTCATGATATCAATTTCCATATCAAATCAGGTGAACGCGTGGGTGTTGTGGGGAGGACTGGAAGTGGAAAGGTAAGGTCGCTCAGCCTTGTTGATACGGAGCGCTCATGATCTATTGCAGAGCTCTCTGACCTTGGCCCTCCTACGCTGCATCCTCACTGAGGGAACCGTATACTACGACGGCATTCCGACCGATTCGCTCAACCTGGATGCTTTGAGATCTAACATCACAATTATCCCGCAAGTAGTACGTGTCAAATCCTGGTTTCAATTGATCGGTTGGGCAACGCTGACGCTGCGTGATCGCTAGCCGGAACTTCTGAGCGGCACTCTCAGAGCCAATCTCGATCCCTTCTCGGAACACGACGACGCCACTCTCAACGACGCATTACGAGCCGCGGGCTTGTTCTCTTTGCAAAGCGAGTCCGAGGATAACCGTCTGACGCTGGACAGCACCATTTCAAGCGGTGGCAGCAACTTATCGGTCGGTCAGCGGCAGATAATTGCCCTGGCGCGCGCCATTGTCAGGGAGAGCAAACTGCTGATTCTAGATGAAGGTATGTTAAATGACTTTCATCGAGGAAGACTATGCTGACGGGCTCCCATAGCTACTTCTGCGATTGGTAAGGCCAACTGCGCGACGGAGAAACTTGCGGGTGTACTAACGAACTCGCCAGATTACGAGACGGATACGATCATTCAAACGTCCTTGCGCAGTCAGCTGAAGGATGACGTAACTGTAATCACAGTAGCGCATCGTCTGCAGACCATCATGGATGCAGACAAAATCGTGAGCTCGCCAGTTTAGCTTCCATTCACTCTCGTCTAACACGGCGTCGCCCCTCCAGATGGTTCTTGACGCAGGGAAGCTGGTACGTGGATCATGCACATTCTGACGGCCCCTATGGCTCATTATAATCCAGGTTGAGTTCGATAGCCCTGCGGAGCTCCTTAAAAACGAGAAAGGCTTGCTCCGATCGTTGGTGGACGAGAGCGGCGACAAGGCGGCTCTGTACAAGATGGCCAAAGAGAGGGCGAACGCGCGGAAGTAACGTCCGCTGCATGGACCGCAGATATATCAATAGCACACGTTGTATTTACTTCGTTGCCAAAGCATCTCATCATGCACATTGAAGTTCGCACCGAATCGTGGAGGACCGCCCGTTCACACTCCACTACTCCGGTGGGTTGTTTGTTATTCTCATTTTTGTCCGCGGACTCTAGTATAAGTAAAATCATCCATATTACGGAAGGAGACTAATATCGATAAAAAAAAATCAGAACGCCCGACGACGCTCAGAACTTCCGCGGGGAAAACTTCATCAGACAACCGTCCTTAGGGAAAAGCGTGGCGATGATCCTGAAAAGCTTGTCAATACCTCACGCGGGGTTGTGATCGGTGCTAATCACTCACTCAACCTCCTCGCTCTGGGGGGTACGGACGTGCTCCCAGTCCATGAGCGCGACAGCAGAGCCCAAAACGAGGGCCGTGTTCAGGACGGCGTACTGCTCGCCGATGCACCGATGAGGACCGCTGCCGAAGACGAGGTAGTTCTTCGGGTTGGTGTTCGCGGAGCTGTTGGGGTCGAGCCAGCGCTCGGGGATGAACTCTTCGGGGTTCTCGTAAATCGAGGGGTCGTGGAGGGAGTTGTAGAAGGACGGGATGACCATGCTGCCGGAGGGCACGGTGTAGTCGTCCGATATCGGGAACGCCTTGGTGGTCTTGTACGGAACCTGGACGTATCGACCAGTCAGCATCCTCCTCGGGTTGCATACCGAGCACGGGAAACATACCATCGTGACAGGAGGCTTGACGCGCATGCTCTCGCGGACGACGGCGAGCAGGTACGGCATCTGCTCGAGCGTCTCCATAGTCAACGGCGCCTCGTAGTCACCGGCGCGGACGCGGTCCTGCTCGTCCCGGACCTTGGCGAAGATCTCCGGGTGGTCGGCGAGGTGCTGGAAGCCGTAGATCAAGCCGCTGCTCATCGCGTCCTGGCTGGCGAAGAGGAAGGAGAAGACGACCATCGCCATCTCCCGGTCGCTGAAGTCCTTGCGGCCCTTGTAGGACGGGTCCTGCAGGTCCCGCACCCACTGGTCCAACATGCACTCGGGCTCGCCGCCCGCGGCCATCGACTCCTTGCTCTTCTTCGCGGCGAGCATGAGGTGGTTGAGCGCCGCCTTGCGCGCCTGGATCGCGCGGTAGACCTTGGTGCCGGGCAGGGGGATGGGGAAGTTGACGAGCTCGAGCGCGAGGGTGATCTCCCAGTAGCGCTTGTTGATCTCGTCGGCGGCCTCTTCGGAGATGTGGGGGCCGCAGAAGACGCGGAGGGAGGTGTCCATGTTCAGGCTCCGGGCGGTCATCATGATCTTCTTGGGCGAAGGGTCGGCTGCTGCTGCTGCGAGCCACTTGTTGAAGTGCTTGCGGGTGACGGCATCCTGGATCGCGACGTAGATGCTGCAGTCATGATCAGTTTGGAATACCCCAACGCATCAAGCCACGACATGAAACCGACCTCAGTGCTTTGCGAGTGAAGAGGTTGTTCAACCCGCGACGGTAGTCGACGTGACTCTTCCCAGTTAGGAAGACCCTTGGAACGCAGATCGGTCCGTAAGGTTCAAGTCATGTCAATCTGAGATTCGGGAACGCACCAGTTGTCCGGGAGCAGGATCTGTTTCGCGGAGTAGACGAGACAAGGTTCCGCGTGGTTCGGCGAGTTAAGGATTTTGCGCGAGAACTCGTTAGAGGAAGCCATGACGATGAAGCTACATAACGTATACAGCAACATGCGTCAGCCGCGTCACGAAAGCGGTAACGATTCCCGAGTATAGAGAGAGCGATACAAATACGTACATGTGGAACACACTCAATGCGCTCAGCGCGCCGGAATCCCATTGCGCCTTGTATCCCTCCATCGTCGGCTTCATCGAATCCGCGAACTTGCCGATAATGGGAATGGTCCAGTTATCACCCGGCAGGTGACGTTTCCGCATCCGGTAGACGGTTTGCTCGAGGATCAAGAGGCCGGCGACGATGGCGAGCGTCGTGTAGAACCACCGCCCGGTCTCGCTCGCGGAGGAGAAAATGGAGGGGATGCGAATATTGTACAGAGGTGCGGCGGACCCGTCGGTCGACGACGGCATCGAGGCCGACGCCGAGTGTTTTTGGAAGAACGTGGCCATCGCAGGGCACGATGAGCAGGGAGACACCGGGGGACGATTTAAGGCGGGTCGTTGGGAACTGGGCGGGAAACCAACGAGGTGTATGCGATTGGACGTGATGGGTCGGCACGTCAAGTCGACTGATTTCGAAAATTCCCTACGCTTGGTCTCACGTCAGCCGGCTTGCGTCAGCACGACGCGTGTGTGGCTGAGAACGCGTCGTCTTGAATACGCGCGTAACGTTTGCATCTAGTTACTTGCAGAGCGTGGTATCCGAAGTAATACGACGAACGTAACAGGCACAATTCCAGCAGGGGTATTCTTAACACCGTACGCGTGCGGCGTGGACAAGTCCGACTCCGTTCAACTTCCGAATTCACAAACCTCGGGGGGCAACTAACTGCTGATCGGCGCTTTGACGAAAGCAACATAGGCGCCTGATCTCTGCATTATTTTCTACTTGGTGGCGGCGAACGAATACAAAAACCACAGGCATGTCCTGAACTCGAAACGCGGTTAAAGGGGCTTGGCCATGGACCGCTGTGATCGACGAGGAGCATTAGCCCGTAGTTTAGTCTAAGATCGGAAAACGTGAAACAAGAGTAATCCTAATACCAGGCATAGAATGATTAGAGCCTTTGTCAAGGAGAGTACCACGAGGAGACTTTCTAGCGACGAGAACCTTGGCTTGAATCAAGCACTGAGATGACGAATTTTGAGGAAAGCAATCCTGGGATTGTGTGTAGGACAGTGAGAACTGTTGATTAGGAGGGAGCGGCTGACAGGCGTACCGGTAAATGGAACCATGCGAGATGAGGTTGAGGACAGGTCATAACTCTGTTTTATTTTCAGTCTATTCTGATGAAAGCGTGACGGCGTCGAGGCCAGCGGCCAAGTCCTCAATATCGTCGTTCGCGATCTAAACACGAATATGAAGCGTCCGAGCGATGAGAACGAACTTCAAGGGCTCGTACCCAATACACGATCAACACGACCATAAGCACCGCGGGCGCCTCGTTCTGGTGGCCATCAGGCGTGTGCGGAGGCTATACCCGTGATATACGACATCGGTGTGGCTCTTCAAAGATGAAAGTAAGGGGAGGCTTACCACAGCTCGACGGGATCCCTCTCTGGAAGACGGTTCCAAACGCGTGCGTGCATATGGGTGGTACCGCCGTTGTCGTGAGCCGCGACCGGTGGCCGGCGGCACCGGTGCAGGATGACGAATGTGAGCCATAGCACGCCACGGGCCTCGACGTCCTCGCTAGAGCAGCGACGGTTCATCTAAGGGCCTCGAGGGCAAGAAGACAGAAAGAAAGAAAGGGCAGGAGCCCGAGTTCTGTTCTAGTGCCAACGAGAAAACACCCTCGAGAGAAACCATGACACCGCTCCTTTATATATGCGGAAAGTACCGAGACTTGTGTACCGCCATGGACACGAGGGAAGGGAAGGGGGGGCGCCAAAATTACAACGAGGGCCGCGAGGCGACAGCCAGCTCGTTTCGGATTGAATTTGATTCCGCCGTTTTTTCGCCTTGGGGGATTGGGGATTGGCTCCGCCGCCGCCGCCGCCGCGTTGCCCACGTCGTACCGATGCGGTGGCCTACTGCGAAAGGACCTCTCCGCCGAACCTTATTTCATTCTGGAAACAATGCACCGCACGGCGCGCGCCCGCTGTGCGTGTGTGCGGCGAAGCTCGACAGCCAACCAAGCCCTGGAGCGAAATACGAGGATCCTATAACACGGGCAAGCTATGGGAGGGAAATCTGAACGCGGCGCCCATCTATGGAGACATGTCGAGGATGCACGAGACGGTTGGAACGGGAGGGCCAACAAGGATTGATCGGACTTTTGCGGTGGCAACGATGGTCGCCGAAAACCTGGGGGAAGTTCGACGCCTCGTTTCGAAGATCGTCCATCGCTATGTAGCGTTGCGCCGGTGCTCCACCGATGGGGCAACTCCCTCGGATGGGGAATATCATCCGAACTTGCCCATCCTGGACGCCTGTGTCGTGTCCGGGTGATATTGTTGTGTGTTCTTGTAGATTATGGTCGTATTCTGCTGCTCGAAGACTTGGGGACTTCTCCCGCTCCGGACTGCGGGCATCGCAACGGTTTTCGTTTTAATATATGTGTGGCGTTATGCGAACTCGGCTAGGCATGAGTATGTCGCACGATGACTCATGCCAAATCAGGGCGGATCTTGAGCATATCGGCGGCTCCGAGTCGCTGTGTGAAAGGCGGTCTTGAGCCCGAGAACGTGCGGTGAACTTGGCACAGAAATATCAATTTGGTTTATGCAGGGCAAAGCGCGCCTGAAGATGCATAGACAAGACACCCGCTCCCAAGAATCACGGTCGGATTGATACTGGGGTGCGGAGCGATACAGATAGCATCAGAGGAAAGAGACGGCGAGGGAGAGCCGAACCCAAGAAGGAAACCAGCGGCGTCCCGATTTATGAGGATCGTGGTGTCCGAAGCAGCATACCTCGTCTGGGTCCTGCGCTGTGAAAGGACGATCCAAGATAGAGCACACAGTGAAGCTGAGATCGCGGGCAGGCTACGACTTGCACTCACAAAGAGACTCCACATAGACCACATCACAGCGGCAAAGCTAAAGCGAACCAAGGCACACGCGCAGAAAGTGCAACAGACATGGACAGGGATGATAAGCAGTGAAGCATCCCTCCCCGAAGACTGGGCCACCAGAAAGAGGTTTTAGTGGGCATTGCGTTCCCCGGAGATATTCCCCGAATATTAGCCAGGTGACGCTAGCCCCACACTCATCCACTCTCCGAAAGGAGGTCAGTACGTTGATGCATTTTCCCTCGGGTCGGGCCGGTGACGGCCTGCCATTAGAGTAGTTCATTAGTGCTTGGCGTGTTAGTCGGTAACTAATGAACATTGTGCTCGGTCCAAACCAAAAAAAAAAAGAAGATGCATAGACAATGTAAACGCGTGTGCCAGACAACCGATGACCGTGCTATCTCTTTTGTGTTCCACGAGGCCGTGATTAGGCGCCGAGCTGGTTCAGAGAGAATGATCGCGTCGCACGCACGAGTTGAAATAAACAAATCAAGGTTTGCACTTGGAATGCCCAGAGGTGCGCCAAGTCTCGGTATAGCTACTTTCTTTCCGTCGTCACGATTGCCAGCGATAGGATGATCACCGATTCACCGAACGACGGAGAGAAGGAAGGTTGACGTCAAGATCAAGTAACCGGGACCACGCGAGCATTCGGGATTTGGCGGATATCGATAGGGGCTCGTACGAGCTGACATACCGGGGTGCCCTCATGTTGTTGAACATTACACATGTGCGAATGCATATGATGAATCTTGACTACCTGCAGCCTTCTAATACGCAACGTTCGTCTGTCTAAGGCGTGCCAGAATATATGCGCCCAAAGTAAACGCAAGCCCACGCCGCACGCCAAGGCCGCTGTGCAGTGCTATGACAAATCCGCTTACATGGCCTTGCCGGAGACCTCGGCAGGCCCGATGACCTCAGTGGCCAGGCTGCGTACCGGAATGCACTCACCGTGTCGGCTTCGCAGGCTCTGGCTCTCTTGCCTGCTCCTGCAGCATCTGGAACATCTACCTCTGAACATCGAATGAAATTCAACAGTCCTCTGCCCCAGCCTCTACCTAAAGAATGCCAGAAAGCTGCCAAGATCTGTATGTGGAGAGCGATTCGATGAGACCATTCACGATTGAACTCATCGAGCTGCGCGCAGTCCATTCCTTCGTCGATAGCGCCAACAATGGGTTGGATGGAGTGAGTAAAGCACGTTGCTGCTACTTGGGGCTCGCTTCTCACGAGATTGCTCTATAGGTCGTCCCTCGCACTGTCCTCGAACATGCAAAGGGGTTCGCGATCTTCTCAGTCGTGAAAGCAGGATTCGTGTTCTCAGCGCGAGCCGGCTCCGGCGTCGTGATCGCTCGGCTGGACGACGGAAGTGCGTCAAGCGTCATCGAGACCCAATTGTCATTTCTGAACACCTTGCAGGCTGGTCTGCGCCAAGTGCAATCGGCACGGCTGGTGTCGGTATCGGAGGTCAAGCCGGGGCCGAAGTGACCGACTTCCTGATAGTCCTCAACACCCGTTCGGTCTGCATCTCTACTTTGTACAACTACAAGCGCTGATCATCCGGTTCCAGGCAGTCGTAAGTTCGTCTGCTAGATGTACCCCAAACAGCTAAGGGAGCAGCGCAGAAATCGTTCATGGCCGCGGGATCGCTTACGATAGGAGGTAATCTCAGCGTCGCTGTCGGTCCTCTAGGGCGTAACGGTGAAGCCTCCGGTGTATTGAATACGTCCGGGAAGGTCGCAGCCATGTGAGTTCTGCAGCCCCAGTCTAGTCACCTTACCGACTTCCTCTTTGCCGCTGACAGGTACAGCTACTCGAAGACTCGTGGCCTGTTTGGTGGCGTCTCACTCGAAGGCTCCGCTATCGTCGAGCGCCAAGATGCGAACGCCCTTGCGTACCGATCCGACGTGACCGCCAAGATGCTTCTTTCCGGTGCCATACCTCCGCCCGAATGGGCACAGCCTCTGATCAAGACACTCGAGGCGTGTACGGGCATTCCAGGAAACCATCGATGGGTTCAAGACGTCACGAAGAACGACACCGACTACGCGTTTGGCGGTATCGGCAGCCCAAAGAACGAGAGTCCGAGTTTTCTGAGGAAGAAAGGGAGGACGGCCAGCGGGAACTTTCCGCCTGACACTTGGGGTCAGCGAAAGAACACCGGAAGCTACTTCGCGTCGGAGGAGAGCCCCGACATGGACTTTAACCCACCGGCGAACAGGGGGGGAGCCGGGTTTGGTGCGAACAGTTCGCCTTTCAGCCAGAGCAACTCGCTACCCTCAAGACTCGCGGATCGCACGCCGGACTTTGAGACGCATTTCGACTCGGATTATATTCCGGATGAACCCGCGAAGACTCGACCCAAGTCCCAGCTCACGTATGCGTCCATGACCCAGTCGCATTCTGAGCCATTTGACAATCGGTCGAGGCACAACCCTTACTTCCCTCCTACCGGCGATCTCCTCAACATGGATCCTTCGGGACCTGATCCGAGGTCCTCCCCCACGTACTCGTCGCACTCCAGCAGCAACCCGTTCGCGTCGGCTCGCGCGCCTGTTAGAACCAGTTTAGGTGGCGTCGAGGATCTGTACTCCAACAGGCTGGGCGACCTCTCGCTTGATGACGACGGCGACGACCTTCTTGGCGGGAAGGCAGACCGGCCAGGTCACGCTCGCAAACCGACCCTATCGTTGAAGCCGGAGTTGACGGCTCCTCTACCTCCAGGCGCGGTGGGCAGGGCGATCGCGCTGTACGATTTCGCGGCTGCCGAGCCCGGCGACCTCGGGTTCAAAACCGGGCAGGTCATCACGATACTGCAGAAGAGCGACAGCACCGACGACTGGTATGGTTTCCGCGAATCTCCTTTCAGGCCAGGTGCCTGACTGATCAATCCCCCTATGTTAGGTGGCGGGGTCGGTTGGACGGCCGGGAGGGTATCTTCCCCGCGAACTTTGTCGAGGTTGCGTAGTTTTACAGCCTTCGAAGTGTAGCTCTACAGTTTTCTTCTTGCAAGACCGATGTAGTGATATCTTTGTAGCGGATGCTCCTGAATGTGTTGTAACAACGCTCTCTCGTCTGGGGTCCGGTGGCGATCATCGAACGCGCGAATGATTAGGACGCGGATGTCGACGATTTCAGAGCCCCCGGAAGAATGGCCGTTGACTTCATTGTGCCGGCGTACAGCCCGGCAGCATGCATTGAGCACGGTGGGGGTATTCTTGTCTCTGCCGGCCCTATAATGGCGTGCATTGAGTCTGCGGCAACCTCGCTTTGGCCAGGAGCGAGCTGCACGGACTCCACCCCGCGGCAGGGTGTGCATGTGAACTTGGGCACTTCGGCGCCGAAGGTGCCGCTGCTCCAACCTAAACATCCAAGCAACAGTTTACTCAGCCGGAAGACATTTAGCCTCGTCTTAGAGTAGCGGCTCTGGACGTGCAATTGAGACAGGAGGAAGAAGCATGCGTCAGAGGCGCACTGATCATGAATGACCGAGATCATATGCATTGCCCTGATGAGAATTTCAGTGGGTAACTGCCCCTAACCGCCCCCGGCCTGTTGTTCCCGTGTCCCAAGCCCGTCCTTATATCGACCGGGCGTACACGACGCCTCCGTTCCCTTCTTATACCCACTCTTTCCCCCATTAACATATGTCTTTAATGCTCGGCCGCGCAGCCACTGCCGTCGCCGCTTTTGCGGCGTTTGCGTCGGGCGTCAATGCGATCTCCAAAATCTCGGTGGGCGGGAGGTATCTGTACGACGACTCCGGGAACAGGTTCTACATCAAGGGCATAGCCTACCAGCCTCAGGGTGCGTTCGTCGGCGATATCCGCTTCCATGCGCCGCCCTGACGGCGTTTCGCGTAGGCGAGGTTATCGCCAGCTCCACGAATACCTTCGGCGAACCTTCGACGTTCACTGACCCGTTGGCCAACGCTACCACTTGCTCTCGCGACGTCCAATTCTTGACCGAACTCGGGGTCAACACCATTCGAGCGTACAGCGTCAATTCCTCGTTGAACCACGATGATTGCATGTCGACGTTCAGTAATGCTGGCATCTACACCATGTGCGTGCCGCACCGCGTCTGCTCCGTGTTCTGTTCTAAACCCAGTCTGTAGTATCGACTTGTCGCTCCCCAACAACGGCTCAATCGACCGTGATTCGCCCTCATGGTGAGCTCGTCTCCGCGCAGCTAATGATGCGAAGTTCACCATACCATTTCCAGGGCAACGAACCTTCAGGACCAGTATCTCAGGACCATCGACGCTTTCTCCGCTTATGACAACGTTCTTGCATACAACGTTGGAAACGAGGTTGTCATCAACTCGAACGGCACTGGCACGGCTGCTTTTCTCAAGGCGGCAGCTCGGGACGTCAAGGCTTACTTGTGAGTAGTGACATCATTCTACCGCGTGGATATACTGAAACATTCCGATCGCAGGAAGTCCAAGGGTTCCTCCGCACTGGTCGGCTATGCCGCCATCGATGCGAGCGCGGATTGGAGACAGCCTCTTGCTAGCTATCTCGCTTGTGATCCCTCCGACAGCAACTCTGGCGAAACCGCCATCGATCTCTACGGCCTGAACAACTAGTATGTCGGGATTACATCGGGGCAGGGAATTGGCATCTGACCTTAACATCGAACAGCGAGTGGTGCGGTGACTCCTCGTTCCAGAGTAGCTACGCCGGTACGCAAGGCCAGTTCGCCGGATACAATGTACCGGCCTACTTCAGCGAGTTTGGCTGTCTCAATGGCGATTCGGCTCGGCCCTTCACGGAAGTCAGCGCGCTGTTGAGCAGCCAGATGTCGGACGTCTGGAGTGGAGGCTTGGCGTTCAGCTATTTCCCCGCCACCAGCGCCCAGGGTCAATTCGGTATGGTCACCATCTCAGGTAAGTCAGCTCGGCCGTATGAAGTGCAATCGAAGTGTAATCAGCTGATCCGCGTTGTAAAAGACGATGGAAGCACTGTCACCACGTCTCAAGATTTCGACAACCTCAAGTCCCAATACACTTCTGCCACACCCCCGAACACCCCCAGCCAGAGCAACGCCGGTTCGACCAGCTATCCGTCTTGCCCCTCCCAAAACGCCACCTGGCTCGCCTCCACCACACTTCCTGGAACTCCGAGCGACGATGCTTGCTCTTGCCTCGACAAGTCCCTGAGCTGCCAGTTCAAACCCCACACCACCAATGGCACGGAAATCAACATCATCATCGGCGATCTCATCGACTTCGGCTGCAGCCTATTGGGACAAATGTCGCTGGACTGCAACGCCATCAGCGGTAGCGGCTCGCAAGGCGTCTACGGAGATGTGCAGAGCTGCGATCCCGGTAAGCACAACTCGGAATTCGGTTCGCTGGGTCGCACACTTACGACGCGGCGTTCTCTATGTAGCAACCAAGCTTTCTTTCGTAATGAGCCAGTACTACGAGGCGAACAACCGGGACCCACAAGCCTGCAGCTTCGCCGGTAACGGAACCGTCAACACGTTAGCTCCCAGCAAGGCCTCCGCTGCTCAGGCGGCGGAGAGCACCTGCGTTACCGCTGGCGCCACGGGCACCTTTGTCCCGAGCTCGCCCCCCGTCCTCTCGGCGGCAGCTGCCACGTCTTCAGCGTCGAGCTCTGCGACGTCCGACAGCTCGTCCTCGAACAGCAGTGGCGCCGTCCCTCTCCTCGCCGACTCGCGAAGCCTTGTTGGCATCGTCCTTGTTGCGCTTATGACGGTTGCAGGAGGTCTGGTTACGCTGGCTTGAGACCTGAACTTCCGAATGGACAATGGCTATCCTTACTCTGGACTGTATTGGTTGATTAATTGTCTCGCGGCTCAGCCGCATTCCGCTCCCTCCCGTTCCCCTGCGTTCTATTCAGGATCCTATAACAATATACTATCTTCTCGAGGATGCACAGGCAAATATGGCCATTTCGGCGGATATGTCAGAGGTTCGGCAGCGTTCGAGAGAGGTGAAAAATGTCAGGGTTTGTATATTCCCACGCTCCCTTTTCTAACTCGGACGTTGACCATGGCTGCCTCACCGCCTGCTGACCACGGCATACCCTCTGAGGGTAAATGGGCCGGGGCTGACGACCAGCATTCCTCTGATGGTCCCACTCATGCTCAGACAAACGGCAATGGCAACGACGCAACGGAGCGCCCTGCTGAATCAGAGAAGGCCGACTACTCTCGCGGCAACGGCGAAAACGAAGACCCCCCTGACGAGAAGGGTGGAAGCCCCTACAGGGAGCACGGCGACAGGCAGGCCAAGGTGCTTAGGTCTTCCTTCTTGACGACTTGCTGGTCCATTCTCTCTGTGTGTGTTACGTGGCCCTGCGATAGGCGCCACTCTCCTTCCGCTATGCTGTTTCACCTTGGCTGGTTGGGAGCTCTTGCGACCCTTTTGCTCATCTTTCTTACCTCGTTCTGCTACAATCTGGCTCAACGGCTGTTCCTTTCTTGCTCTGGTAGCCCAACAAGGTGTACATCGGAGGCTTGCCCGAACACACTCGTCGAGAAGATTTGCAGAGCTGTTTCGGCAAAATAGGAAACATCGTTAACATCGAGTTGAAGTACGTCTATTGCTTGATCGTGATGACGTGTCACTGACTCCCGGTGCTCAGAGTTGGCTATGGCTTCGTTGTACGTGGATGTCGCGCTGATGTTGGCCAGATGTCTCCTTATGTGTTATACAGGAATTCGAGACTCGCGAAGCAGCTGAGGAGAGCGTTGCCAAATATAACGAAGGCTACTTCATGGGAAACAAGATTCGTGTTGAGATTTCGCATGGAGGTCGAACTGCGAAGTACCAGAGTGAGCCGGGAGCTTGTTTCAAGTGTGGCCAGCTCGGTCACTGGGCTCGGTACGTTGCCTTAATATTCATCGTCGTCCTATTGTCTCACGGAGTCACATCATAGCGAGTGTCCCAATTCAGGCCCTCCGTCGTAAGTCGTGGCTACTTGCCTTTACTACTTGGGGTCTGACGTATATGCAGACGTCGGGGTCCACATGGTGCTGGCGGCGATCCTCCCCTCATTGATCGTATCCATCCTGCCAGAGACTATCCTCCGGCACCTCCTCCAAGAGACTACCCTCCGTACGCCAGAGATGAGTACCCCCGCTATCCCCCGAGAGATAGAGCTTTTGGTGGCTATGACTACCCGCCACCTCCTGGGAGGGACTTGCGCCGACCGCCCTCTCCACCATATCGTGGTCCTTCTCGCGACTATCCGCCGCCCCCACCAAGGGTTGGCCGTGATTACGACGATTACAGAATGAGAGGCCCGCCTCCTCCCCCTGTGCCCGTTCCTGCGGGGCGCTTTGGCCCGGGATATGTTCCTCCTCCGTTCCCCCCGGACGACTATCCTCCTCCTCGAGCAGGTTATGGTGGACCTCCTCCCGTCCGGGAACCTTATGACAGATACGACCGACGGGGTCCGCCCCCGCCGCCGGTAGATAGGTATTCCGGATATCCACCTCCCGTTAGGTCGAGGACTCCACCCGGTGTCCCGCCGCCTCGTATCAGAGACGACTTTGATAGACCTGGACCTCCTCGGTACGCGGGCTTTGGCAGCAACCTCTCGCTCATCTTGCTGAGTGTGAATATAGTGACTATCCCCCTGGAGGACCTCCGGAATTCCGCGGAAGGCCCATCACCCCGCCTCCGGCTAGATATGGGGATTATCCGCCCCCACGCACTGCGAGCCCTACGGGTAGCGCTAGATATCGGTGAGGGCAAGTTGTACTAGTCGCTTCACTATCATCTGATATGCTCTTCAAGCCGGCGCTCCCAAAGCCCGCTTCCGCGCTCCAGTTCCGGCGCAATACCCTTCGACGGTCCTTATCCCCCTCCTCCCGGCGAGCGTTTCGGTAATGGATATGCTGGTGGCCCTGGCGGACCTCCTCCAATGCCTCCTCGAGGCGGTTCTAGGGACTATCCTCCTCGCGGCGTGGGCGAACCTGGCGGCTACAGGAGACCTTGAATCATTCCTTCCTACGCTGCCACCCAAAAGGTTATTGACGCTACCCCCCGGCAGCCCCCGTTCTCTGCTCTAAGCTAGACTATATCTGCTTCGACGTAACATCTTGAGTTGTGCTCTTGCTAACTGTGCCATGGTTTTTGCTTCGTTGTGGTACCGTCTTGGACCTGGCGACCAAAACTGACATGTTGTACTGGACCTGGCCGATATCTATATAAAATGAGTGTCCTTCGACTATCCCGGATCCAACGATGGCGCGGGTCTAACTCTCAGCAAGTATGGTAGGTGATCGGTTCCTGCATCCTCTCTGGTCACTGGGTTCCCTTGTCTGGCCACCAGATTCAAGTGCAACTATCATGGCTCAATGGCGCCATTGCGGCTAAAGCTATGACTGATGCAAACGCTGACCGATGTGACCAAATCGGCTGTATCGTGGTGCTCAGGCGGTACACAATGATGCTGCTTTAGTCGTCTTCGTAGAATGCGGCCATCGCCTCCTCGCTGTCCATCTCATCCTCGAACTCCTGCCCATCATGATGATCTTGCTGCTGCTCGTACCATTCCAGGACACGCGGATGCGCCCGAACCCTGACGAACGTGGTAGATGTGTGAATGACGCTGGTCTGCTCTCCTGGTTGAATGATGTAGGAGACGTACTTGGATGGATCAAAGTTCAGGACTTGTAGTGATTGCATGCTTGTGGCTCGCGAGAGCGCGACGTACGCTGTTGTGCGCAGTATTGGTGGTCAGCCCACTTGTACTATCGCGATGTAATAGGTACTGGCCTTGGCCTTTCTCGAATGTACGGCTAAGGTTGACCTTGACCCTCTCGAGCGTTTGTCCTTGCGACTTATGCATGCTCAACGCCCATGCCAGAATCAAAGGTACCTGTACGAACGGCCGTCAGTTACATCTTCGAAGATGAAAGCGATGGGGTTGGGCCATACCTGCGTCCGAGTAGCCTCGGCCTCCCCGTGGGCATTGTTCACTGTGAAGTCCTCAGGATGGCACATCTTGGTTATGCCATTGATGAACTGCACCACGGGCCATGCGGGCCCTTGGTTGGATGGTGCAGGTACCTGAGGTGGTTGTTCGCCTTGGGGTTCGCTGTCTGGCGGGGATGCAGGTGGTGATGGCGGCGGCGGCGGTGGGTGACCAAATGCGATCACTTTCCCTACGGAGCCGTTGACGAGGACTCCTTGCTCCAGGTTCTGCGCGCTGCATCAGCACCGCGCGCGGAGGTTTAGATGGTGATCCTGACCTTGATAAGCATGACCTGAGCACCGACCTGGTTTCCGTCACTTTAGTTCTGCGATGGCGTTGACGGGTGCGTGTTTATGTGTCCCTCACCTTTAGCGTGATCTCCTCCGGGGCGACAAGCCTCTCGAGCAGCTTCTTCGTCTTGTCTATCGGGAGGCGATTGCCATTGTCGTCGTAGCCCGGTACGTCAAGGGCCTTGTATTGACGAGGATCTCCGGGCAGCTGCCGTAGCCGGGTCTGATTCGCGCTATCGACTTCTCGTCGAGTCGGGTAGCTGACGGTGGTCCGTGTTTCAGCGTTGTTGGAAGCGGAGACGAGGGCGTACTTACAGCTCCGTGGGTTCTATGCCGTCGTCGTATTTCACAGTCCTCGAGAGCTTCTTGAAGGCAGCGATTGTGGGAGGCTCTAGGCGGCCGAATCGCATGGCGTTGAGCATGTCGACGAAGTCTGAGTCGTCGTGTGGTCAGTCATCGATATGAAGGGAGTATCCGTATCGCCCTTGCCTTGCTCTTTCTGCCTAAAGACCCGCGTGAGGGTGATCGAGTGCTTCACGCACCGTGCCCACGAGTTGGCGTCAAACGCAAACTTGGGCGTTATAATGACATTTCCACGACGCTCGGGCACGGGCGGGAGCTGGCAGAAGTCTCCGCACAGAACTAGCTACAGGCGCGTACCGGCATGAGATGGCGTCCGCACGGGCTGAGTGCAGTGCTGAATGCCCCGCACCTGGATACCACCGAAAGGCTGGTCATTTCCCCGCAGTATCCTTGCGAGCTCTTCCTGAGAATAAGGTTCAGCTTGCGCAGAAGACCGCCAGCTTAGATCACTTACAAGCTTGTCGAAGAAAGCTCCGTCAATCATCGATACTGCACTCTCTCACGTCAGCACGCGGCGCCCTAGACCAGCTCGAAGGACAGAAAACTGGATCAGTCCCTACTTTCGTCGATGACGAGCGTCTCCACGTTTTGCCAGCGTTTGAGCACCTTCTCGAGCAGCGGCTGGTATCGGATCTTGCCCGCGAGACGCTCAACGCTCTCCTGCCCGAGGCCGACCCCCGCCCAGGAATGCAGAGTCGTTCCACCGATGTTGACCGCCGCGATACCCGTAGAGGCTGTCACGGCCAGCGCCGAGCTCGATACGCCGCCGCGAACCCTGATGATCTCGCGTAAAAGGACGGATTTGCCGGTGCCTGTGTGTAAAATGAGAGAGAGCTACAGTTGGTAAGGGAAACAAGACGCGTACCGGCTGAGCCTGTGAAGAAAACGCTTTCACCTGCTTAGTGAAGTCGAGTACGCCTTCAACAATATGCCTTATAAGGACAATGGGTATCCTCACCCTGTTCCACGAGCCGGAGCACCTTCTTCTGGTCGTCCGACAGGACGATATTCGGGGTTTCGGTGCTCAGACCTGAATGTGAGCCTGATGGGTGCGTAATCGAGGAAGCCACAGCCTCTGTCGGCCGATCTTTTGATATGACAGAGGGATATGTTGCACGCGCCATGTTTCTGCGGCTCGACCGGGATCTGGAGGGTCCGGAAACGTAGGTTCTGTAAGATGTACTAGATGCGTCTCCGTCGGTCATCATAGTCACATCCTCGTCGGCACCTGGTGAGGGGAACACGGCGTTAGCGTTTGTGGAGCCTCGGGTGTGAGGAACCCTCCGAGGTAGCGAAGTTACCCGCGTCGTAAGCTCCGTCGCGATTGGGGATCACACTAGTAGAAGGGTGCGGTTGGCTGAGCCACTCTTCTGCCTGGGGGCGCGTGTGGAAGCTCTTGAACTCCGAGCTGGGCCATCGAGAGGTCTGTCGCCGTACGAGCGGTATTCAGTACGATCATGGCTTCGATCTGCCGTTGTTGACGTACAGCCGCTTTGCACTGCGGATGAGGTCAACGCCAATGTAAACGACACATTTGCCCAGCAAATGAAGGAAGCGAACGTTACCTCGTCCCAGGAGAGATATATCTTTGGCCCCTCGCGGCCTTGCCGCACGGCGTAATATTTAACCTTGGGCATATCACTAGGCGGCTTCAGCCTCAGTTCAGGGAATCTCCGCCGGGATTGCGTCCGTACGAGCCTCGAGGAAGATCTGCGAATCGAGGAGGAGGGAGGAATGAGTTGGTATTTATAGCTAGCGGCAGCGCGTTAAGCGCGTAGCTGACCGCGTCACGCTGTCCTTACATCGTGTACGTGTGAGCGTGGTCAACGTGTATACAGCGTATTTGTGTATTCGCAACAGAAGATGAAGCAATAGAGAGAACTTCAAGGAGACGACTCATGGTAGCTTGAAAGTGACGCAGAGTCGGAGGGAGCGCTCCTTCACTCGATGCCAGGTGCTGTATATTTCTCTCGGACGAGCTTCTGCGTAAGGTGTTGATACCAAAGAGAACTTGCACTTCAGACATATAGTGCCACCTAGAAAACTCGATCCCGTTACTGGTGCGGTAGTGGTACATATATATGGGTGGTGATTCATCGCGAGAAGTGGGCAATGACATGCATAAATAGATTAAACCTCGCCGAGCTCGGGCTCGTTCGGCGTCGTCGACAGGACCCTGAACATCTTCGTCAGGAGACCAGCAGGTCGAAACTCGCCCAGCGCCTCCAAGAAGTGGTCGAGCAGCCAGGGTTGCGTGGTATCCCAAACGGTGAGCATACACCAGGCTATGAGCAAGAAAGATATGAAACAGAAGAGCCCAAGGGTTATCCACGTGGGAATATTAGTGCCTAGGAAGAAGAGCAAACAGCACGCCAAGGCGAAGGAGATCATGCTAAACCCCGTATGAGCATATGCAGTCCAAGGGAGAACAGCGGCAACTCACCCCCACATCATTAGGGCATATGGGAGCGAATACAAGATGGCTGGTGTCGGCTGGTAAGAACATAGATATATCAGCAATCATTCAGGAACTCACCGAGCGCCTCTATGCCATATTTCGGATGCTCTTTCGCGGCCAGAGTCAGCGCCTAAGCCATATCAGCGAAATATGGCAGAGGGAATGCGTGATCGAACTCACCGCCTCCCCCGCTGTCATGCGATGAGCCAGTCGATGATGTCTGTCCAGCATCAGACCAATCTGCGATAAGGGAGGAGATGAGGTGTGAGTCCTATGAGATTGGTAGAAGAAAGAGTACGAACGATGATGGTGCCGGTGGATGCGGCAGTAGATACATACGACGCCAGTTGGGCAGCAGAACGATTCGGGGTGGCAGCATTGAAGTCGAACGTCGATGATGTCTGAGAGTTCTCGTATGATGTTGTGTTGCCGAAGTTGAGAAAATTCGGGGCTTGATTTGTTTGGTCCACGCTCGGAATCGCCAGGAATGCGACCTGTAACAATATCCTTAGAAGCACGTCTTTCAGATTTGTGAGATGGGCGCGTACATTGACGGAAAGCAAGACTGTAGCCTGTGGTGTCAAGCAATGTAGTCAGAGTCATTTGCAGGCAATTCTCGCGTGTTTGACGAACCGGGAGGAGATATTTGTCCCATTCGCTCTGGATCTTCTCGATAAATCTCTTCCAGGCCACTTCCGCGACGATTTTGTCCACCCAGACATGTCGCAAACTTCTCATATGGATGTCGGGCGCGAAGAAGAGGAGTGGAGATAGAATCTTTATCAATAGCGTGGGAGGTTTCTTCTCTTCTTCGTGGAGACACTCCCAGCGGCTCAATCGCGCCTCTTGCTGACCATGCAAGTTGAGGAATTGAGTGTGGACTGCATGGATCGTTAGATATCAACCGCCTCACTATTAAGAAATCTGTAGTTACGCAGCAGAGACATCACTCGGCCTGGAATCGAGTGTTAGCTTAAGCGACTCTCTAATGGTAGTTTTGCGCCCACCAACAACATGAGCTGAATATCCGTTGACCTCCTTCACGTCTATCGTCACATCAAACCAAAGCCTAGTGCGCGCATAATTCGTCTTACAGTTGACATTCTTGAGCAGCTCCATGAGATGCATCACGTCCTCTATGCTGTATGAAAAGGTGGAGCTCCTTGAAGTTTTCAGGTCTGATGACGAAGTTCAGCATGAGACCACGGCAGAGAATTTGGACGTACCAACACCTCCCTGCATCATCATCCCGATCAATTCTTGCAGCAAAGATTCTGTCACCGTCCTCTTGAGAGGGAACAACTCCCAGTGTTTCCTGGATCAGATGTCAGTGTGGAGCACGAGCCTTATTCCGAGTCAGTAAGTGGTGGTGTCCGGTTCGTCACTATAGGTACGTACGGAGTGTCTGAGCGGCATGCCAGTATTGAGATTCCAGTTGGGTCTCTGACGATGTCGTCAACGTCAATCGTCCACTCAGTACCAACGATAGTCCCCGTACTGGCTTGGGATAGCTTGGTGATGCCCTTGACTTCCTTGATCGACCAATCGAAATCCATCTTGTTAAGCCAGAACAGGGTCCGTCCCTTAGGGTTTATGCAGTAGTAGTAGCATAAATGATTGTCGCCATCCAGGGGGGCAAGCTCAAGCATAATCTCCGCCTCCTCAGGGAATTGTGGGTCACTGAACGTTTTCTTGGCATACATCAAATGCGTCGCGCTGTCCTCTATCCGTCTATGCAACTCCGGGTCGTACAGGTCGACGTCCGTGACCAAGCGCTGGTGGCGAGATGCAGAAGTTACTTTAAGTCTAGATGGCCATTGACATACCCTGATTGGATCCCAAAAGTAGACACAGCCTTCAGGATGGATATAGCTGCGCCATGGATCTGGAGGACTTTGACTGAGGGGGCAATGTGTAAGTGTACGTCCCTTAGACGCATGGCATGTACATACTATCCAACGTCCAGCGTCATGGGCGAAATTTCCAACTTGGATTCATGACTAGGTCTGACGAAGAGCATGGTGAATTAGTGGATGCTCCGAAGAATCATCTGCGGCTTAGCGTACAGTATGCGATGGCGGTCGTATCTGCCCACGTAGTCGGTGTCGACAGGGAATATTCCCCAGCTCCGCAAATAATCATCGGGGTGCTCGTCCTTGAGCTGGCCCAGCTGCCCGGGCGTTGTAGGCACTTCGCGGGCTGGAACGGCCCTTACGGCTCGTGACGGAGTACGCTACGGAGGGTTAGTCGGTTACCGCTGAGCCGACGAGTCTACATGACTGACCGGTGCCGAACCGACGCCGCGCGTTCGCGACTGCGATGTGCCTGGTAGCGACATATCATAGCCTGCTAACGTCGTCTCGTCACCGCTCGGCTCATCGAGAGGGGACACATCAGGAGGAGAAGTATCATGATTCACAGCATCCGGCTCTTCGGGGGGTTGTATTGTGACAGTGACGGGATCCAAGACCGATGCCCCAGCTATATCGTGGCAAGAGCTACCAGGCGAAGAAGGCATGCCCATGGATGTCGTTGTCGGAACCACGACTCCTTCAAGGGGTACGTGAGGGCTGTGCAGATTGGGGGTTGATTGGTGCCGTCCATCGTATTGCGATCGTTGGTACGGGGTGTTGGTAGAGGGGAGATCGATGGATGAGCGAGAGACGTAGTCGTTGTTAGCGAATTTGGGGATGGCAAGCAGGCCATTAGAGACCCTGGACATTGCAACAGCATGTCGATCTGCTGATGCAGGAAGAGCCATCATGTTCACAGCAGTGTGATCGGCTTCGTTCGATATACTCCTCCGGGATAACGGGGAAGGCGAAGGTGGCATGCGGCTTGCGAGAATCATATCCTGCGGGTGGTAAGCCATACTACGTGGCGGGCTCTCTTTCTTATCGACGACCGCCCGACGGTCCCGTTCATCACCGTTCTTATAGCGCCCGAAGAGCATCGATGAAAGCTTTCGGAGAGCATCTTGCGCCTGAAGAATGTGACGAAGAGTGAATCGTCCGAAAAGTTTGCGAATTTGGCCTAGCAGTAGTCGCAGGGCATCGAACAGAGTCATGATAGACATGATGGTAGTGGAGGACACAGCTGCAAGAGCGAAGGAAGGTGGCCGCACATTTTGCGCCCCATGGCAGGCATGCAGCCTCCATAGCTCTGTAGAAGGTCGAGGCGGATGGCTGTGGAACACGATGGCATACCTCAATTGACTACGGCGCCAATGCATAAACAGCTTATCATCGATCCCACATTAGCCTCCATGACCTAGGCGTGAGCGTGTCCTCATTAGCATATATGCGGAACGCCTCCCAAAATGGCGCCGAGTCGTGTTCCCAGACCAGCGCGGTGACGCGCGGCGAGTTGCGCCAGGTATGATTGAGTACGCAGTATTGGCGTCAGCAGGCGTTGGACCGTTGACCCTTAGCGAAGAGCCGGAAGCTCATGGTAGCAAAGATAGCGATATGCATTATATCGTCGTGAAGAATGAACATTGAGGGATTGCAGAGGAAACGCAAAGCGGTGAAACGGGATAGGCTACGCCCGGCTGGAAACTTGATTGGATGGCGGGAGGTCGTGTGAACTCATCGTGGCGGTGCTCGGCAAGGGCGAAAAAGTATCACATTCCTTCCCAGCGTCACCCATCGGCCGCTCCGCAGAGTCCCGCACTCCACCTTTCCCTCAAAACCTTCCCGTTGAGATCGCCAGACCATCTTCTCTTTCGCTTTCCATACCTTACTATCAAAATGCACTATTTCTCTCAGTTGTTCAACTATGAGTGAGTCAGAGCATAGCTGTCTTGTGGGCGATGCTGTATGTGCTGACGACGGACGCTTGGTAGTCATCCATGGTCACACGTCGTGATTGGGATGTGGCACAAGTATCCCAACCCGCACTGTAGCCATGTTATCAGTGTCGACGTTGTCGACCGCTCGGTAGACCCGAACACCGGCATTATTCGGACGGAGCGCATTCTGGGATGCAAGCAGAAAGCTCCAGCATGGATATTGAAGGTGCGTCCCTCGACTCCCTCTTGTCTCCATTTCCGCTCATTCTCCGTCTGTATAGCTCTTCGGCGGTTCGGAAGACGCGTTCGTGCGGGAAATATCCCTAGTCGACCCAGCGAAGCAAGAGGTCACGGTCACCTCCATCAACATGTCGCTTTCCCAATTCGCGACGTGCAACGAGTACATCCGGTACTCTCCCGCCGGCGCTTCACGGACAGAGTTCGTGCAAAAAGCCGAGATCGAGTCGCGGATGACGAATTGGCGGATACTTGCCGACAAGGTGGAGGATTGGCTGGTGCAGCGGTTCGAACAGAACGCGCAGCTGGGCAAAATGGGCTTTAATGAGGTCTTGCGGGCATTACGGGAACAGGGCGAGCATCGGCAATTAGCCCCTGCATAGTTTCATGCGTGGGTTGTTGATCTTTGCTTTCGTTTTCCGTGTTGTGTTGTTGGCTGTCGTTTTTACTAGATACATACCCTCACGGTCTAGATGTTCTCCCAAAAGCGTATTTGCAGACGCCCTCATTTACCCTCACGACCTCTTACGTTACAACGCAATTGTATTTCCTGCATGCATACTAGACCGCTCTTTGCTTCATCCCACTTCATCGAGGAATACTACGACGGATCCAAAATCGCGGCAAAGCGGCGCATCGATCCGCGGCATGTGACTTGAGTCAATGACTCATGTCGCGGGCACCTGCGGTTTCATGTCGGTCTCGACGACGTTCCCTGTATAATCTCCAGCGATATCAGCACCTTGTACATACCCTATACGGGCGCGTCCCGTTGTATAACAGGAGATCTGCCACGATACAATCCAGTGGCAAGAATCTCGGCGAGATCGGATCCAGTTTCGGGCAAGTCATTTTGACGACCGCGGCTCTGGATGGACGAACTCGTGCACCACTGCATTCGGGAACTCTCGTTCGACGGCGACCTTGGTGCGTGCCAAGCTGCCCGCAGTTTCTCATCTTCTTGAGATCCTTCTTTTCTCCGATCTACTTTTGCCATTTTGTGGGAAGAGGGGACCTTGACGGGCGCTTAGGACATGCCGTCCTGCGTTCGAACCTCGACTGTGCAAAAAGTATCGAACCCGAAACTGAACATTGCTTTTTCTGTGCAGGCTGTGATGTATCGAGACTGTCCGAGTTCATAATCGGTTTTTACAATCACGGCGCGGAGGTGAGGCAGCAGAACGTCGACGATGCCTATCGCGCGTTCGTCTGGTCGGTCATCGTGCAGCAGCCCAATGTTCGGGTGGGCACCGTACCGGAGGGCAAATACTCCGAAGTGTATATTGCTCCGCAAACTAGCGCTAAGAGGAAGGCGAAAGAGAAGGGACAGGATCTCGAGGAACCTTCGGCGCCGACTACCCTCCAAATCGTCGATGATGCCAAGTTGAAGAGCCTCGAAGAGCTGCGGGAGCAGTATGGCGATCGGTTGCGCATTGCTGTCGACCCTGAAACTTCCTTTGTTGCCATCACCGGCTCACATATCCGCGTTGGTGCACATGTTGAAGCGAGATTGCACAGGCAAACTGAATATCCCCTTTAGCCGTCAAAATTGACGCCTATGGTGTACTCATGCCTGCAGCTAATAGCTCGCGGGCGCGAAAAGGGTGTTTCGACCATCGACCTTGGCAAGAAGACGGGTTACGACCAGAAGACCATTCACTACCTCATCAACCAACTCATCAGTCTTGACATGATGTACGCGAGTTCGTGTATATGGGCCGCATGACGTACACTGAGACCCAGAACCTTAGCCTCAAGCTGCGACAGGCTGGTCAGGCCTTGCATGTATGCGTGCTGAAGTACTTCTACGAACGGAGTTTACACTGGAAGGAGGTCCGGGAAGCGAATCTCATGGCTAAAGAGGATGCTGAGGAGGAGAAGCCAGTCGAAGGAGGCGAAGAAGGGCCGACGGCATCAGCCTCGGTCACATTCGATCCCATAGACACGCAACACCTAGCCAGCCTGCCCCTAATTCGCTCGCGAATAATCAAGCTACTCAGAGCGTCTCCGAACTTCACGCACATAGCCCGAACGGTGCTCACGAAGATCGTAAGTAGTTTGTTGTGCTTAGGGAGAACGTTGATTGACGTGGCACGTTATATCAGGGGTTTGAGAAACCAACCAAATCCGATAGACGTTTCTTTAATACACGTCTCAAGGAACTCATTGATGAGGGTCTCGTCGAGTTGGTTCAGGTTCGTGGAAACACAAAGAAGGACGAAGAGATGTGGTACAGGTGCCTTCGACTCGTACAAACTGTTGAAGACCAGTCCATGCAAGTCGACGAACCCGCCGGCGTACCCCCCCAGGCCTCGATGGGGGTGCAAGGAAACGACGGTCTGTTAGATCTCCAGATCAGCAAAAGAATGCATTTCCTCATGTTATTGATAGGAATCCATGGGCTGAAGATGAATCTCACGCTGCATAAACAGATCATGAATGTCATAGCAGAATCCGGGGTGGAGGGTATCACGCTAAGTGTTCGTCCTTGCTGGCGTCCCTCTTGGCAACAACTCATCGTGTCTGTAGGAGATCAGCGACGCCCTTGGAAACTTCGACCGCCGGACCATCGAGCTCCTACTTACGCGTCTCGAGAGCAATCCACCCCCTCCGCATCTTGGAGATCTGGGTGTCGCCCAGGCGATGGACCACGCAGGACGGGAAAGGCGTTATAAATATTTCACGGTCGCAGAGTACAACGTACTCGCCGCGAAAGAAGGCTTTTCTCCTGGCGAGAACAAGTATCACAATCGCATCGACATCGAGCATGTGATGCAGTTCGCTCCCATGGACGCCAGCCTATTCTACAACACGGAGGAGGATGTTTTGAAGCATGTGGATGCCCTCCGTCGGCCTGGAACTGATGTATTCTATACGAGTGCCGGGACGAAGAAGAAGCCCAAGAAACACAAGAATCCGATCCTACCGGACGGCACCGTAAAGAAAGGGCGTCCTCGCAAGAACCCGGACGCGCCACCAAGGAAGCGTCCCAAGGCCGAAGGTGAGCCCCCGCGTAAGCGGGGGCGCCCTCCCAAAGCGAAGCCGGAGCCAGTGGACGTGCCTGACGAAGAGACAGGGGCAGCGGAGTCGAAGACCCCAGAAGAACCAGAGGAAAGCGAAGCCCCACAAACGGCGCCTACCGAAGCAAGTTCCGTGGTTCCCCAGAAGCGTAAACGAGGTCGCCCGCCGAAACCGAAGACAACATCTGCTGTTGCTGAAGTAGACAATGGTTCATCCAATGTGCCAGGGGGCCGGTCTACGAGTGCAGCTGGTGTACAGCCTTCCCCATCTTCAGCACGTAAACGTGGACGCGCTTCGGTCCGGATGTCCGAGGTGGAGGATGCTCCGTCTGCGCAAGCCATCGACGCGGCAGATATGTCGATGACAGATCACAATTTCCTAGACCCAGCTCAACCCTCTGACCGTGCCGATGTTGTTGCTTCGATCGTGACACAAGCAGCCGATCCAGAGGTACCGCGTTCATCCCCTTCTTCACAAGTCAAAGGTGCCCGCAAAACACCTCGTAAACAGCAGGTTGACGTCGCCAGCGAAGACAGACCGTCCGTAGAGGATGACGCGGATCAAGAGCTCGGTCTGGCCGCAGAGTACGGATCCGGCAACCGCGGCAGACGATCCCAGCGAGCCAGGTTGTCCGAAGTATCGAATAACGAGCCAGGGAATGCACCGACTTCTGTGCCTGGGATTACACGTGTGGAAAACTCACAGGAGCAACGTGGTCAGGAGCCTACCGACGCTGGCGCGGAGCATAACTGCAGTCGGTTTTTGCCAGAGACTACTATGGGGGATAATCAGGTGGAGGGTCCGATACCGAAGCGACGCGGTAGGCCGAGGAAACGCAAACAGCCAGATGAAGACGAGGTCGAACCGAAGACCGTAGCGCCTGTTAATAAGCGTTCGCGCCTCTCGGATCCGACACCAGGTGAAGGCTTTATCGATGCTTCTGCTCCGGAAGGCATGGCTGGAGAAGCGCAGGTTGATCTGGAAGATGCGACACAACCGCGTCTAGAGCGGGATGGAAACCTTGCACCGGATTCTCTTCCGATGCATCCGAAAGAATCTATCGACGACCAGTCTCCCCGGAGATCACCAAGGAAGCCTCGCCCATCGGAGAAAGCCTCCGCAACAAAGGATCCTCGGCGTCCAAGGCAATCGGGCCCTACACCAGCTCAACCCGAGGGCGAACCTACCGAACATGTCTTACAGAGCGACAAACAGCCAGGACACCACGCAGTCCGTGCCGACGAGTTGCAGTACGCGGGAGTCCCACACGATGACCCAGGATCCCAAGGGGGTGTTCCGTTCCGTAGCTCCAGTTCACAGGTAGCGGTGAGCGCCGTAGATTGTACCTGATTGGGGGATATCACTCACATGAATGGAGAAGGACAATGCCTTGACAGAGCAAACAGATGTCCCGCTTGAAACGCCGGCCGCCGCGCACGACGAACAGGAACGGACATCACCGGTGCAAAACAGGGAGCACATCGCTGAGCCCATCACGGATGCCGGAAACCCCTCTCGAGAAAGCGGCGATGCCTCTATGCCTATTGCATCTTCTTCCAAGTCGCGCGTTCGTCGAAGTGGGAACCTCTCCCATCAACGCAGGGAAAATGAGTATTTGCGTGTACTCGAGCGTCTTGGCGGGATCGCGGCCGTCAACCTGAAGGTGTTCCAAGACGCGCACCTTACATTGATAGAGGAGATGCATAAAAATGGCGAACCCACCTCTGGTCCTGTCGGCATTCGTGCTGACAAGCGAACGCTGGATGCCACGTTGAACAAGATGGTCGAAGGCGGGAAGATCAAAACATTGAAGACTTCGGTGCAGATTCAGACCGGCGCAAGTCGATCTATCGTTGTCGCTTATCTACAGTCGCTATCGCAAGAGAAGGTGGCTGCTTATTTACTCCAGTTAGGTCGTAGCAGTTTCATTCCCCAGGCTCCTGTCCTGAAGAGGATCGAGGAACCTATGATATTCGCCACCGGTAGAGAATCCCGCCCAACTCCAGATCTCCCGTTGCACTTATTGCGAATGGACGACGTTGGGGATAGCAAGAATCCACGCCTATTCCACGATATGGCTAGGACAGACGAGCTATTCTCCCTCGATGATCAAACTGTTCGTGACGTACTCCTCTCGGAAAGATCGACGCTATCGCAACTCTATGGCTACATCATCGCCAAAGCGTTACGTGTCCGGGAGCTGCATATGTTGACTGTTCAAGCATTCCATGGACCTGTGCAAACCCCTCGAGTCGTATCTAACGAACAGCGGATCATCGACATTTCCCACTATCATCATGAGATTCCGGCGTCTGGTTACTTCGCGTTGGTCTCTGCCACCGAATATAGTGAAGAGCTATGCCATATACTGGGGAAACCCGAAGAACGTCTTATGCCCGTCAAGGATCTGCCAGCTACGGTCAGATCTGCACTACGCGTGGGCCAATCTCGAAGTCGTACACGCATCATGGAACTTCTTGAAGTGCTACGAGCACTGAACATTGCAACTCCTTTGACCATTTCCATATCAGAACGTCCGACCATCACTTGCGAGTGCAATCTCGACTATCCCACAACGTTCGACTTCCTTCCGCCCGGTGGTGACGCGACGCAATGTACTTTCTGGCAATTCCAGATCACCGCGCCTATCCACCTGTGGTCCATTTCAAAGGATTCCCCCCCTTTCCTTCGTGACGCCCCGGTAGTCACTCTCGAAGATTGCGCGTCATATTGGCGCGAGCTGAAGGAGGTCGCACTCAACCAAGACTACGCGAAGTCGCTAGCCTGGTCCATGACCCAAAGCAATACCGGCCCTCTCGGCGACATACGTCTGGTCGAGAAGGTCGTATGCCGCCGCGCATCCTGGAGGACAACATACTTCTTTACATGGCATCAGGAGCAGTACATGAAGAAACATGTAGAACAAACGTCGACAGGAGAAGACGAGGCGGATAACACGAGGCGTCTCCGTAGAGTGGCTTGGGTCACGGGTGCCCCGCTACAAGCGGTTCAGGAATACATGGCTCGTTTACAGCAGAAACATGAACGCGAGAAGACGAGAGCTCGCCGTCGGGCCCACCGGGAGAATAGAGAGCTCCGCGAGAAGAAGCAGGTCCTCGCGAAAGCCGAGTTGGCGCGGAAAGCTAAGGCTGCCAAAGCGCAGAGGGAGAAGGAATGGGACAGTCTAATTCAATCTGTTCATCCTCAACCTCTGCGAGGGTCCAAAGCCTCGCGCATCCGCCAAATACGATCCCGTTTTGTTGCGACGCGAGGACAAGATCTCGAGCGTTGGCGGGCTGAAATCCAGCAGACGCTGCAGGAAAATCCCTACAAGCCGGATTCCCTTTACGGGGCGACTAGACAAGCGGGTGCCCCCAGCTTCATCGTCATTGAGCCTACCAACCCACCACCACCGGTTGTGCAGAATTGGACGGAGCCCAGCATACGGCGCCTCATCGAGGACCAAGGACCTGCAGTGGCTCAACGGAATGCCAAGAACAAACAACACTCCACAGGTACGTGTCTACCTTCCCTGCTTCGGACTAGGTCGCCTTGACACCGTGCGCAGCCGCACAAAAGCCAGCCACGCGTCGCAGGTTTAACTGGACTCGAGAGTACGACGAGCTTGCCCGCGACGCTGCGGCGGTTATCAAAGCCCGATGTCGTGATGGCACGAAGCTCGAATGGGCTGCGTTGGACGCCGTCTTCCCATCTCTCAACAGGAACACCGCCCGCCAGCGCATCGTCAGCCTTACAAAGGAGGCGGCGGACGCGATGTACTTGAAGCGTCTTGAGGATGAATGGTACCGTCTTTGGACCCGGCATCGTGGGACACCTCTGCTCCCAGACGATGACCCGCGAAGTGCGTCTAACTTCGACATCGTCGCCCACATCGAGTTCCTGCGCAAATACATCGATAAGAATGCGCTGTACGTGGATTTTATTTTCTCCGTCGTTTACCGTCTGACGTTCTGTAGTCGAGTTGGATTTGTGCAGCCGGCGGAGCCCGATGCTACTCCTTTCTTGGCCACTTTGCCCAGCTCGGTCGAGGAGCTCATGCATGAATGGAACGTGGTGGAGAAGCCGCAAGACCCTACGTGGGACTTCCTGTGGAGCAATGAACTTGGCGAGGAAGGCCGGGAGAAGAGCATGCACAAAGTAGCCCTGTTCGCCGACAACCAGGATACTCCCATCGTTTCTGAGACCGTTGAAGAGAGCATTCGCGTCGCCGAAGGTGCCCTCAAGGTCAGCTTTTGTTCCAAGAGGGCGTTCTCATAGAGCTCATGGTAGCGTTTTCGTACAGATGGTGTTCGGCGCTCCGGCATCGACGTATTCCCCGCAGAAAGCATCGGAGACGCTGCGCAGCGTTGGACAGGCCGCTGTGACGACGGCCACCCACAACCTCCTAGCCCGCGGTGTTCTCACCAAGGTCAATCGCGATCCTAGCAAACCGAAGCCTGGAAGGTCTATGAGGATTTCCGACAGGTAAGTAAAAATCGAAGGCGCAACGGATCGTTCTCATGGAGTTCGTGTGCAGCAACCAGACGGCCTCAAATGGACCTATACCGATCGACACCTTCGCCGATGCCGCTGCGTTTGAGGAATCGCATGAAGATCAAGCCGGGGAACCGAGAGAATGGTCGTTGCTGGCCTCTGATGGCGATATCGCAGCGTTGATGCAGCTGGTGTCTGATAACAAGGTAAATTGGTCCTTATAATTGTTTTAGGGAAATCTTGATGATTTACGAGGAACAAGGTTGTTTTTGATGTGGATACTGCGGGACCGAGGGCTGCTCGCGCGGGATTGGACTGGAACAGTAAAAAGGCCGGTAGGTGACGTCGTTCAGATAAGGTGCAGATACCGGTGCTGATCCCCTTGGAAACTAGACGACGACGAAATCGAGACGACGATTCGTTTCTTGGTGAAAGCAGACACCGCTGCATTGCCGGAGGAAACGAGCGATGCAGAGAGCAATGCTCCGCTACCCGCCACCAACGACGTTGAGGGCCCTCCGGCGGGGGTTCAGCACGGAGCTACCATTACGAGCGAAGTTGCTTGCTGTTCACTGAAATCCGCGGTCCTACCAAGAGGATGCTTGATAGACTGCGAAGCTTGCCTTCAGAAGGAATTGGCTTCGTACCGAAAGTCCAGTGCACCGGAATCACAAGCCATCATCGAGCCTTTACTGGAACTCGTTAAGGGAGCCGGCGCCAATGGCATTTCAAAACGGCAGCTGTTGGTAAGTAGGATAAAGAACGTGACGACCCTCATCGACTCTGGCTGATATCTTGGCACCATAGGATGATCTCAAGTCACTGGACAGACTCGCGGTGTTGAAGGTGGTTCATCACCTATGCAAGTCTCCCGTTCCTCTATTATTCTGGGCCGGATATTCGGAACTGGTCCTTGTCTCCGCTCTCTTCGCAACGCCGTGGACTGTAGAAGTCAGCGCGTCTGATGGCGCTGAGGCAACGGAGGGAAAGGCGTTTGCGCGTGTTTTGCCGCGGAGATGGCTGGACCTTGGCGGTAGCGTGGTTAAAGAAGCCTGGACGGCTGCACTCCGCGCATTGGTCGGATACATCGTCTTCAGACCCGGTATCTCACAGGTCCGTAGGCGCAGCTTCGTGTCTGCACGCAGCACTGATGTTAGGGGATTGCTATACAGGCGGAACTTCGATGGCGCGTGCGATCAGTGTACGATAGGCAGGAGATCAACCAGGTGCTGTGCTTCCTCGAGGGCGAAGGTTATATCAGAAGACGGAGATGGCCAAGCTCGGCTTTCCCGGACATGAATCCTCTTGACGAGCAAGAAGAACGGACGACCTATTGGTTCCTTGGCGACAGGCATTGGTTCCACCTGTAGAACGCGTACGGATGTATTTGCACCTGCCTCAGAACTCGAATGTAGCCCTAGTATACTTATTCACTGTGCAATATCCACGCACACAACGGCACCATCAAAGACCGATGATTTCATCTAGACCCACAATGGAAAACGCCGGATTACTTGCAGATCACGGAAGGGAATACGACACCTCGGTCTGTGTCCACGGGCCATGGGGAGACCCAGAGCGCGCCGTCTGATGCATTGCAGCTATTTTTTCACTAAACGCCGCATATGCACCCTGAGAATAGCCAGCGGCGCGGAACGTTCGAACTTGGGGTGATGATGGTCACGACGCGAAGTGTCAAGGTAACATCACAGCAACTGCCGCGTCCGTACTTGGTGTCCGTCCTCTTCCTCCCCCTTCCTCCCTTGTACCTCTCCGGCTGGGCCGCCTAGGCTACTCACTCTCTTTCATTGTTCACGATCCTGGCTCCATTGCCTTTCTGTTTTTTCATTTAGTCTCTCCTAGAGAGTACTGTTGCTTTATTCAACTCGACTGTATCGCTAGTCTTTCTCTGTTCTCTGCCTCAAGGTTGCTGAGGCAATTCAGCCACAAAACCCGACAGCTCAGTCTTGAAACGGACAGCGTTCTGCTATCATGCGTGTAAAGCAGATCTGGGCTTTCCTTCCCTTGCCGGCAAAGATCAAACTCTTTGTGAGTCGGTGCATCTTGTTGGCGCGAGTGGCTGGCACTCTCGTCGACCGGTTGAGCGCATTTGCTAACACAAAGGATTCAACAGTGGTCACGTATCACCTCTTCTCGGACAACCACCTTCTATTTCATCTTCTCCGTGCTTCACTGCATCGTCCAAGTTGTTTTCCAAGTCCAAGCCTTCTCGGTCAACTCCCAAGCCGCCAGCTTCCTTTGGAACATCGTCCTTCAGGGCAATGCCGTCGCCAAGGGCTTCACCGTCCTCGGCAAGGACCTCCGGGACTGCGCCAACGTGCCGAACACCTGGAGCACTGCCAGCTGCGAGGTTGTGTGGAACGGCACCGCGCTGAACGACAACTACGGTCATAAGGCGCAAAGCTCTGCCGACCCCGTCGTACAGGCCATCTCGACAATCTTGTCGTCGTCTGCTGCCGCGAGCTCTACGGCCAGCTCTTCGGTGTTAGCGTCCGCGACGTCTTCCGTCGTGGCCCCATCATCTGCCGCCGTCACCTCATCTGCCTCTTCTCCTATTATCACGGCAGTAGCTACCGAAGCCATCAACTCCACGGCCACGTCAACTTCGGTTGCGAAAGGTACCAAGACGGTCACCGTGGTCGTAGCGGCAACCGCTGCCCCCGCCAAGACAGACGACGAGGAGGATGACGACGAGGACGAGGACCATCAGGTGAGTTCAAAGCCGTTGTCTCACAGATTCGCACACGAGCTCAGTCGCCCGCCAGCACGACAAGCGCGAGGCCTCCTTGGGTAGGATCACTGCTGTAGAGGTGAGTTCAGAGAGACATACCCCGAACGTTGCTAAACATTTCCCAGGGAAATGGCACGACAACAGTCAACATCACCGGTCTCGGATATACGAATAACGAAGTCACTCTCGACCGGGCGTGCCTCATTTCGCTCAACTGGCCTGTCACGATGTATGTACTCAGCCCTGCCTCCAAGTCTGATAGATCTAATGAATTCACCTAGCCTGCAAAACACCAAGCGTGAAGACGTCACCTTCATCGCCTTCCAGTTCTGGGTGCTCGGCATGTCCATCGTTGCTGTGCGTGACCGCTTGCATGTATTGGAAGTTATATGAAAATCGCTGATTAAACCTCACAGATACTGAACGAGTCCATCCCCCACATCGTCGCGTCCCTCCTCACGCACATCGCTGCCACCGCATGGGGCGGCTTCCAGATCGAACACACGCGCAACTTCCGCGACCAGTTTATGCGACTAACGGCAGATGGTGCCTGCAAGCCAATCCATCTCCTTCCGACCTACTGGGAGGCGCGTGGTAAAGCCGAGATCCCGAGCTTGGTGCTAAACGTCGTCGCTCTCGCGGTATCCGTCCTCCTGTCGTGGCGCCTGATCAAGTCGTTCGGATGGCAGACCTTCAAGCGCGTCGGCGCCTCCCTCACCATTAACCGCGTTTACAAATGCGTGCTCTCGCTCTCGATCGTCATCCAGCTCTCCGTATTCTTCGTCGTCGCCTCCTTGGCGCTTTGGATCGATCAGCTCCTGAACGGCGACATCGCGAAGATGGCGAGCACGAAGATCCCGTACAAGGCTATGATCATCCTCGTTGGATGCTTGCTCTTGCCGTGGCTCATGCTGGGATGGTTCTCCGTGCGACGCGAGATGCGGATTCCCATGCTCATCTTCTTGGGCATGTCGCTGCTCTACCTCGGAGGATGGGGCGCGATGTTCAAGTCGACCACGTTCCGCTGGACGTTCAAGGAGTGGCGCTTCTTCTCCATCATGGTCGCAGCATCGGCTTTCTTGGTCCTTATCAGCTTCGTTCTCGGCGTCATCTGCCGCGTGAACTTCGGGAAGGGATTGCCTCGTTATCGTGCGTACTCACGTTTGCGAATCTCGTACTATACGACTGATACCTCGTTATTATTCCTTATAGTGAACGCGCAGGAGCCCCTTCCTGGCGACGACTTCGCTACCGTCACGCCCGGCGACGTCGAGGCGGCCTACAACGAGAAGGAAGAGAAGGTCGAGTTCCCGTCGACGACCGGAGGTTCGCGCCCGATCCCGACCTTCTCCGCCGCGTTCGGCGCCGGCGCCGAGGTCCCCCCGCCCAGCCAGATGCAATTCGCGCCCCGGCATATGGGCCCGCGCTTCAACAACCCGTCCGCGGAGCCGTTCGATACGGCGTCGACCGTGGGGCGGTCGTCCGAGCCGTCGGAGTACGGGTCGAACGCGCCGCTGACCCGCCAGGTCAGCGTATCGAGCGTCGGCAGCGATCGGTCGACGAGGACGACCGACAGCCAGCGGTCGATAGGGAGCAAACAACGATGGGTGATCGAGTAGGCATGGGGAACGGTTGTCCGTGCGTGATTTGACTACCACCGGGTGGTTTTTATGCTGTAGATATTCTCATTGGACATCGGACGCAAAGCGCCCCCCTTTTGTATACGTTAAAGCTAATCCAAGGATCTTCCTGGGTGGACTGTACTCTATCTCTATCAATCAACGTGGCTTACTCCGGCACAACGTTTCCGGACGTCATTTTTATGTCGACCATGACCATGGTCCGTATATGCAGAAATGCTAGATTCGTTATGCTTGACGGAATTGAAGAATATTGAATCTTGAGGTGACTCTACAGCGTTCGGTACGATCCCTCGTGTTTGGCAGTTTGGATATACAGATATACAGATCAATAGAGTCGAATGATACAGCAGCATGCAAAATGGTAATGTACAACATTGGATATTGCGCGGAAACAGATGGAAAGCGTATATGAGTGTAGAAAAAACTAACGTGAATGGCTGCTGTTGCCGCTCCCCGAACGATCGCTCAGACCGGAACCTGAAGAACCTTCGGGCGTGATCCCCTCCGAGCTGACCTCCACTGGCTCCAGCTCGGGAGAGGGCTGTTGGATGGCTTCCACCTCCTTCTCCTGGATGATCGCCGCGTGACGCGCGACGGACGCGTTCTCGAAGTTCTCCTCGGGCATGTGTTGAGGCGGGCTCGTTGCCATCTCGTCTTCTTCGTAGCTGATGAGCACGTCGCGGAACTCGACCATCCAAGGGTGCTCCATCAGCTCGACGGCGGTCGGTCGCTTCATCGGATCAATGGTGAGGCACTGCTTGATCTATTGATAGAGATATGTCGGCATTGACAATCGAGAGGTTATATACGGTACTCACAAAGTCGATGCCAAGAGCACTGAGTTGGTGGGGTTCGGGCAACGGCGGATGTTGGGTCGCTACTCCAATGTGGAACATGATTGCCCTGCGATAATAGGTCTGAAACTTGCGCTCAGTACCCGAGGACATGCCGCTCACCATTCGTTGTCGAGATTGCTCCATGGTTTCCGTCCGGTAGCGCACTCGAGCACCACACACCCCATTGACCATATGTCCATGGCGCCGTGCCTACCCCGGCGATCATTCTTGATCACCTCTCTGAGCATATAGTCAGCATTACGAAGGAGAGAGAGCAAATGGGTGGTATCACTGACGGGCTCATGTACATCGGGGTGCCAGTGAGACTGTTGTTCATGCCTAGTCCACCGCCCATCGCACCAGGTTCGGGCGCGCGGCGACTGCGCTGCATGGTCCGCTGGTTCTTTGCAAGCACCTTAGCCGCGCCGAAGTCAACGAACTTAATGACGCCGAGGTGATCAAGAAGGATATCTAACGGAGTCGTCAGCATACCCACAGATTGAGAGTGTTGTTGACTTACTATCAGGTTTAATGTCACGATGCACGATGTTCTGCGAATGAAGGTACGTGAGGCCCTCCAGCATCTGCATCGTATAAACCTGTATGATACGCTCGTCTTCGATCCGGCCATGGTCCAGCAGCGAGCTCAAGCTTCCACCTTGACAGTACTCCTCGAAGATGTAGACCTTGTCCCTGTGCACCTCGATGCCATAAAACTCGACAACGTTGGGGTGATGCAGCATCTCCATCACGCTCAGCTCGTCTTTCACCTGAGCAACGAGGTTGGGGAGGCCCGAAAACTCTTGGAACTTGATCTCCTTCACCGCCATAAGCGACCCAGAGTCGAGGTTCACTGCCGAGTACACGGAACCAAACGCGCCCGCGCCGATGAACTTGCCCTGCTGCCAGCGGATCGCAAAGTTGGACGAGGAGCCCGCGAGGAAGAGCAGCGATCGGTTCTCTGGCTTGTCCTCAAGCACGCGGCCAGCGATGTGCTGCTCGGATAGGACCGCGGCCCGGTTCCTCTCCAGCTCGCGCACGGCGCGCGCCGCCTTCTCCCAGAACAGGCGCACGGAGCGATCGATGAAGCCGTGGTCCACGACACCTTCGTCCGTCTCGGGCGGCGAGGTCGCGCGCTCCCAATCCTCGACCTCGCGCGCGGTGTGGGCCTGCTGGCGGAGCAGCTCCTCCTGGCGCTCGCGCTCCTTGATCGAGCGCGCGCCGAGGATGTCAAAGTGGCCGATGAGGAGCGTCATGCAGCTCGCGACCTTCTGCCGGAGGTGCTCGAACTGGTCGCTCGGCATCTGCAGGATGTTGTTGCGCCGGGTGCGGTGGAGCGCGAACTCGAGCGCGCTGACCGCCCAGCGGAACGTGCGCCGGTCGTTGGGGTCGCAGTCGTCGCAGATGAAGGTGACCCAGGAGATGGCGAGCTTGATGAGCAGCCTGTTGAACTTGGCGAGCGACGCGCGCTCCACGTATTTCTGCGCGTGCTGGCCGTGCTCGGACGCGAAGCCGTACCAGTTCTCGAGCAGCTCCTGGTAGCCGGACGTCTCGCGGAGCGAGGTGCGCACGTGGTGGACCGAGTCGACGATCGACTCCGCGAGCCGGTTCGTCGCGCGCAGGATCTTGCGCAGCTCGCGGTTGACGTTCGGTAGGTGCGCGCGGCTCTCGACGACGCACTGCAGCGGCGGGAGCGGCGGCTCAAGCGGGTTCCCGTCCTCGTCCTCGATGAGGAAGCTCGCCGCGAACTCCTCCTTGGCCATGGCGAGCCGCCGGTGGGAGCCGTCCGCGATGAGCCGAACGGTGTTGTCCTCGAGGTCGAGCTCGATCTTCGGGATCTCGAGCATAAGCACGAGGCCGTTCCAGAGGAACTGGCTGCGCGGGGAGAGCACGAGGAGGTAGGGCACATCCTCGTCCGCAAGCACGTCCTCGTCCTCGTCCTCGCCGCTACTCACGATCCGCGTGCCTTCCTCAGTGAACGCCTCGTGCACCTGGAAGGCCTCTGTCATCAGCCGCCGGATCGTCTCCGGCCGGTCGCGGAGGATGTGTGGCGCTACTATGTACGTGCTGTCTTCCTCATATGTCTGGGTGTAGACTAGGATGTGATCCGTTTCGACGAGCGTGGCGATGAAGAGGTCAAGGGGGACGTCGTTCAGGGTGTATTCGGCGGCGTTGTTAAACTTCTGCGTGAGCGACCTGGTGTGGTGGGAAAGGATGAGCGTCGTGCGCGCCGATGAGAAGAAAGCTCACTGTACCGGGCGAATCGCTGGAGCTTCCGATGTCGCAGCCGACCGCTCTCGAGAATCTTTGCATACCAGTTGATGAGCTGCTCGTCCGACATCTTCTTGCGCGCGAGTGCGCTGGCCCCGTTGGCGTGGGCGGCGAGTCGCTGTGCTTTGTGCGAGAACGAGTTGTTGAGCGGAACTCGGACCTGATTGTCGAAGTAGTTGGTGACCCGGACCATGAGCTTGTTCGTCAAGACACTGAAACGAACGTTGTCAGGTTGTGTAGATGTATCAAAAAGAAGCATGACAGCTCACCAGAGCTGTTCAGCAACAAGCGCCGAACCACCAGCGGTGCTCAAGCTAACGTCGTTAAACGTCGCCCACTGGCTCTCGAGGACGTCGGTCTCCTTGAAATATATGCTCTTCGCACCGCTCTTCAGCTTCCAGTGTATGAGCTTGAACAGGAAAGCAAGCGCCTCCAACACGACCGCATCGTAGTCCTTATCAATGCAGGGCGGGAGATTCCAGTTGCCCCCGGGATCGGGCGCGAGGAAAGCATCGTATTGGCGCTTGAGTGTGCACGCGAGGCCGATGTTGATCTTGAGGTCGTCGATCATCTGGTCGATGATGAGCACCTCGGGATCCTTCAGCTTGCGGGCGTACTCGAGCCGAACGCGGAGGATGGCCTGGACGAGGTTGGTGGGAAAGGAGATGAGGAGCGTGAGCTCGCGCTCGAACGTGGGCAGGTTCATCTCGTGGAAGTACGGGGCGAGGTTGACCTGCGCGTCGCGCGCGGTGCCGATGAGGGCGTGGACGGTCGTGAGCGCGCCCTTCTCGAATGTGCGCTGGGAGGAGTCTTCCTTCAGGATGCGGTCGACGAACGTCGTGCCGTCCGCGACCTCGTGCGTGCCGCGCTCGCCCCGGCGCCGGCTCTCGCGGCGGAGGGGCAGGTCCGGGTCCGTGTTGGGTTGGGTGACGTCGAGCGTCTCGCTGCCGGTGAGCGCGCGAAGGGTGTCGATCTGTTTCCGGAGGGAGAGGAGCACGTTGGACCAGGTGTAGAGCGTGTCGAGCCGGGTCTGGAAGACGCCTTCGGCGGCGACGGGCTTGTCGAGGTAGAACGCCTTGAGGGTGGGGTAGAGCGAGAGCGCGGTGTCGAGCCGGGCGAGGAGGGCCTTCACCTGGCGCATCGCGCCGGACGGGTCCGGGTCGTCGGCGGTGACGCGGAAGTGGAGGATGTCGGCGATGACGGGGTCGACGATGCGGAGGCGGCGCTCGTCGAGGCTCTTGCGCTCCTCCTCGTCCGTCCGGCCGTGGAGCTTGGCGCGGATGCCGAGCCAGATGTTGAGCCGCGACTTCTCCTCGGCGGTGCCCTCGCCGAGGACGGTCGCGATGCGCGTCTTCTCCGAGCGGAGGACGTCGCCGCCGAGGACGGAGGCGAGCATCGTCTGCCACTCGAGCCGCTCGCGCTCCTCGAGCGTCGTGGGCTCCATCGGTTCCGCGTCGAGCACGAGCGACGAGAAGCGGTCGGCGAGTTCGCCAGGCGGCGCGTCATCGTCGTCGCTGTCCCCGAGGTCCTGGAGCTGTCCAATTCCGCGGTGGATATAGTGGCTGTCCGGGTCGTTGCGCGGGTCGTCGTCGATGTCGGGCGCGGAGCGGTAGCGCCGGATGAACTGCGAGTAGACGTCCGAGTACTTGGAGAGGCGGGCGGCGCTGGGCGTGGCGGAGGTGGAGGCAGCTGCGGGGGAGGCGGAGGAAGGCTGGGAGGTGGAGGCGTTGTAGGATTTGCGGGAGCGGAGGGTGAGGCGGGAGGGAGTGGACGCGGGCATGGCGTCGGGGTAGACGTCCCAGTCGGCGCCGTCGTCGTCGTCCGAGTCGTTCTCGTCGTGGGTGTACAGCGTCGGCGTGTGGCGGGAGATCATCCTCTTGAGTGTTGGGATCACCCTTTATGCTATCAGCGAGCCCGCAAGACGTGGCCGGGACTGTGGTGAGCGACGTCTGGAGAGTGTGCCTGCGCTGCTGCAGGCGCTTTCATGCGCGTCGGACGCTCGGCATCTTCCGCGCAATCATATCTTTCTGCTTTGGCCGTCGCCGCCGATTCGCGTAACACATATCGTCGTACTTCACGGCTATTCGATCACACCATGGGCGTCGTAGAGAAGGCAAATACATGCGACGCGATCTTGTGCCCGTGCTCAACAGGCGCTGATGTGCACCTCTCGTAGATCAAGGAAATCGAGGGCAAGTCGAATATTGCGTGCATGTATGCGTATACGGAGCGTTGACGGTGTTCCGGGCGCGATGTTTCAGAGGAGATGGCGCGAAGTCAGTGCGGACGTTTTCTTATCTGCCGTCTCGTGTGTTGAACCTCCCTGCAGCGCAGAAGAACAAGGTGCGCCGTCCCACCGCACGCGTCTTCGTGTGCCAACGTCTTGCCCTGCATATAGGCCACGGAATACCATCTCGGTCTTCTCAAAGCCAAGCTCGCGCGGTACCGTGCCCAGCTCCTCGAGCCGACCTCCAAGTCCGGTCCGGCAGGCACGGGTTTCGACGTCCAAAAATCAGGCGATGCCCGCGTCGCGCTCATCGGCTTCCCCTCGGTCGGAAAGGTACGCAACTGACCATCTGTTCCCATTCTCCCGGTGCTTAGAGAACGGATGCTGATGTCCCGACGCGCAGTCGACGCTATTGAGCAAGATGACGCACACGCAATCCGAGGCGGCGGCGTACGAGTTCACGACGTTGACCGCGATCCCGGGCGTGATTGAGTACCAAGGGGCGCGCATACAGCTGCTCGATCTGCCCGGGATCGTCGAGGGCGCTAGTCAGGGTGCGCTTCCTTCTCCGCCTTTGCCACCATCTTCGCTGATCTACGCCCAGGTCGTGGTCGAGGGCGGCAGGTCGTATCCAGTGCGTGCCGACGTTACCGTTTTTTCGGGCGGTTCTGCTAATTACCGCTGTCGTCCGCAGCCGCCAAAACTGCCGATCTCATCCTGATCATGCTCGACGCGACCAAGTCGGAGGAGCAACGGCGCTTGCTCGAAATTGAGCTTGACGCGGTCGGCATCCGGCTCAACAAGCGTAAGCCAGACGTCGTGTTCAAGCGCAAGACAACGGGCGGGGTGAGTCTGTTCTCTGTGAGTATGCGATGTACGACGGGGCTAAAACCTTCGCAGATCACTGTGCGTTCATCTCCGTTGTGACAAAGGAGGAGCATCGCTGAAGTGCGTTGTCACAGCTCAACACGACCGTCAAGCTGACTAAGACGGACGAGAAGACGATCAGGAGTATCCTTGCCAGCTGTAAGGAATATTCTTCACCTGCCCTTTCCCGCCTTCCAACAAATGCTTACCACCCATATACCCCAGATAAGCTGCATAACTGTGACGTGATGATACGTGAAGACGTGAGCACTTTCTATTATCCGCCCTTGCTTGCTGCCCGCTCAACGGGAGGAGCACGATTCCTAGATCACGACAGACGAATTCATCGACGTACTGATTGGTACGACTACGTTTGTTGCCACGCTCGCCGCGTGCGCTGACACCGACGAATGCAGGTACTCGCAAATACATACCCTGTTTATGTACGCGTCTTCTCCTCTACCCTACATGTCGCCCGACTTCACATAGCGAGCACACCTAGACGTCTACAACAAGATCGATGCCATCTCGCTCGAACGCGTCGACCAGCTCGCCCGCCAGGACCACACCGTCGTCATCTCCTGCGAGATGGACCTCAAGTGCGTACTCGTTCTCCTCTCGCGTTTCTGCCTTCTCTCGATTGACCTTTCGCCCTCCCTCTTTCCTCTTCTTCGCGTGCGTAGCATGGACTACCTCATCGAACGCATCTGGGCCGAGCTCGGCCTCGTCCGCGTCTACACCAAGAAACGCGGCGAACATCCAGACCTCTCCGACCCCGTCTGTCTGCGAACGGGCGCCACGATCGAGGTCAGCCGCGCCGCCTATATACCCACGCTTGCCCCTTTTTCTCTCTCGTTTTGTCGAAGCCGAATTCCTGATCGTTTGCACTCATCCGTATCGTCGCGCAGAACGTGTGTAACGGCATCCATCGGTCGCTCGCGACGAATTTCCGGTACGCGCTCGTATGGGTGAGCGTCCGGACTCCTTTTTTTCCCCCTTGTTTCGTTATTCCTCGCTGTATGTCGGAAGGGCGATGGGCTGAAGCCTCTTGTGGTCACGATAGGGCAAGTCTTCCAAGTTTGCACCGCACGCGCAGAAGGTGAGCTTGAATCACCTGGTGCTGGACGAAGACGTGGTGTCCAGTACGTACTCTCTTCTTTTCCCCCTTGCTATCCATGATGCGCGCTGAACGCGAGCGCTCTGCAGTCTTCACGAAGTAGTTGTGGGTCAGCTGTGGCTCCATATGGCATCGATGTACAACAACGCAATAACTAGCGTGACAACATCGCTTGACTATCCGCGGTCAAGATCACGCCTGAGCTTGTTCGGCACCCATACTCGATGCAGTATCATCTACCAACCAACGAGCGGCTGATGATGCTTCCGCGTTCCGGGCTCATCGTCTACAGGTACAATGTTATGGGCAACAAGCAGGATATAAACTCGCGATTCGTTCCTCGTCTCCAACGGTGTCTTGAGCGAATCGGTCCTTTCCGCTCTCAGAGATCTGCCATGCAGCGGGTTCGACGTCGCCATGATTTGTTGTGAGATCGAGTCTCATGAGAGAGTTTTGACGATCCTTTTCCGTCTCCCATATACCTACCAGAGCCAGGCCCAGGGTGGAGATGCAAGGATATTGACGATCCTCGTGTCCCCGTAAGTGAGATCTATCGAGAAACGTTCGGTTCTTTGTCAGATCAGACTGTTCGAGCTCTCAAGCGTGGGCCCCAGCGCAGCCATCTCCTCGTCGATGATGTTCTTGACATTTTGCAACGATAATTTATCGAGTGTATCTTGTGCCCCCTGTGTTTTGACTACACAATTGTGTCGTCGCGGAGGACGGCGCATATGCGAAAGAATCGTCGCAAAGTCGCAACGCCCTTCGCCGCAGGCCGGCGCCAATTCTCCTCGCATGTGATCACCTGACCGAGCGGTGTCGAGTTTTGAGCGCCTTTCTTCCTTCTGTGAGCAGGTCGCATCCGTCGCATGATGCACATCATTGACATCTATGCTTTCTTTCTTATAATATTCTCTTAGAATATTACGACGACGACGTCAAACTTGGACAACATTGCACCATCATAACAACGACCTTTCTCGGTCTGGTCGCACTGTCATCGAGTCGATCATCCTGCATAAAATATCTATATGCACGGCGTTATTGCTGCCCGCTAGTCTGCAGTATGCTTGAATCCATGTGCGTGAACGCATCTGATGGACTTGCGTTGAGATGCTTTTACATCACTAGTTCGTCGGGCTTCCATCCTGTGTACGTCTGCGCTTAACAGTTGACAGAAGACACCATTTTCTTTGGCTATCTGTCGTATAGAATCCGTCTGAGTACTCGCTCTTGTTCTACACTCATGGAATTACATCGCAGATGCCCTCCCTTCTGCATGACCATCGCTTCCCACTCAGTCCAACTTGAGGCATCGTAGCGTATCCCTACCCAAAATTCCTTCAAGAATAGCGCAAAGTAGCTGAGTATCGGTACCTTGGCTCTCGGATCGGGATGGCTCAAGCGTGCCCAGTCACTCTCAGATAACTTGGATACCTCAATTCCGAAGCAGGTACGCCAACGGCGGAATGACATTATTTGGTTTACTCTGCCTAGCGTATAGGCAGAGACGGCGGAAACGATTTTAGATAGCAGCGCAGCTACGAGAGCGACGGGAGATACAGTAGGTAGGAGGGGAGGAAATTACGCTGGATCCCGACGCTCACGGCCGATTACAGAGACACGAGATAACAATGCAAGTATGGAGACGAGAGAAGTTCATGACTCATGAACTTCTCTCGTCTCCATACTTGGTTCTGGCACCATGTGCAGCTTTGCAAGACCATGATGGTATGCGGTGAGAAATAAAGCATCCAAGACAATGCCGTTGTGAGGTTCAGGTAATAATCCCTCAAAAACTGGCAGAATACACTTTAGGTTGTGGGGCTCTTTAGTGAGTGACAAGCAGGACTTCAAATGAACAGATAATGCGAACCTGAAGAGCATCTTCATAGTCACGAGCAGCAATGTTCCTCAGGTCTGCTACATTTCTTTGGAAGTGCCGGATCGTCGAACGACCAAATGATGTGATGCCCCGAAATCTGTGGAATTACTGTAGTTGAGATCTCTGCGCAATAAGATCACAATTAGTCACCTACCTTTGGTTAAATTCATCGATCTTTCCCTGCTTAACCACATGGAGTATGCGAATGAGATGCATGAGCATATCTTTCCATGTCCCCAGTTCGATCTCATGCATCAAGTCAACCACCATCATTGTGAAGAGATCGAATCCGTCAAACTCGCCAAGTCTCTCGGAGAATGCATTCTGTGAGGATCATATATGATCAGAACATACAACATCTCTGATGAACCATGTAACATACTATCGTCGGAACTAATGACTCTCCCTTGATGATTCCTTCTACGGCGGCACTTTTCACGTTATATCCCTTTTCATAGATTAGCTGTCGAGCACGCTGAACCTTGTCTTTGCGAAGGTGATCATCAACATGCTTAAGGTGGGTCCGACGCCGTAGATCACGCTTAGTTCCTGTCTCCGGGAACAGTGTCTTTGGGACAAGACATCGCGGACACGGGCATGCACCCATGTCCCGTATGGTTACCAGGAGGACCCTGTAGTAACATGTAAGCACTACGTCACAATCCCACGACAGGATACATTTACTTCTCTGGATAATCTGCGGAGTAGGTGAAAAACCGGGGATATAGTCTCCGCCATATGCCGTCACTGCAAAGAACTACAATCCCATGTTTGTACGCATGGACAAAGTCCTTGTCCAGTAGCAACCTCCAAATTGCATGCATCAGCTCCCGGCGACAATGAGTCAAAACGGCATTAGAGGCTGGCTTGCCACCCATCTCTTTACGGTACCAATCTTGAAAACTATCCGATAACTGAAAACACCTTGTGAGTTGATATTTCTCTGGAAACAGGTTGTGACTATTACCTTTGGTATGTACGCTATGTGATGACATGCATGAGATGACGGCCGTTCTCGGGTGTACATGGACTGGTTGCCGAACATGAGATAGAATGGCCAAAGTGATGCATCTCCGAAATCTGTGAGATGTGTAGAATCCGACCATGCCATGCACGCAACGATACTACGAGGGAGCTGACAGTCACCCTCTGGTGGAGATTGTTGAAGGGCAATGTGTTCTTTCATCATGGCCTCCGAGTGATAGATCTCGGAATAGACGGGGACTTTTGATGCAGTGGGATCAGGCGGCTGCCAATAGAGATAATATGGGACCCAGTGATACAATTTCGACATTGGACCTTCGCATATGGATCTGATGACGTCGACTAACCGCCGGTAGAGGAGGCCATTGACAATGTATTCTTTGGGTCTTTCACCCTTGGCAGCCGGAGGTACCGAGATCGACACACCAGTCTTGATCCACGCATCTCGTCGAAGACGGCCATGATGTTGGTCGTTATCACTCAGGCTATCGTCTACTTTATGCCAGTTTGTGTCCCGGATCTCATCGATATTGAAGCGATCGTTGAGGAGAACCTTCCTGACGAGTTGATCGAATGTGTTGTCGGTCAACTTGCCTTGTGCGGAGTGGCGCCAGTCCCCAAGCAGGTAGGAGCTAACATTCGGATACGGGGTGAACGGATTGACAGGAATGTCGGCATGGGAAGGATTGTTTACCGTCTGAGTAGCGCGGTCGGACATGAGATCATCGAGCGACAGCTCATCCTCTGGATCGGTAATGGGAAGGGGGCCATGGTACTCTCGTATCAATCCAAATCGGTTTGGACCGGTTCGTGTGATTTGCAGGGATGTGGGGAGATCATTTGGTGCTCGGATATCAGCATCATCTAGTGCTTGAAGCAGAGTATTTGGAGTTTCACTGCAATCTATTACAGTCGCGACAGGAGGGGGGCCCTCCGGGAGTACATCACGGTAACGTTTCGGAAGAATATTCCTGGTCGAACGAACCGGACGTTGTTCTTCGGAACTGAAGTCCATATGTTCATTCAGTGCAGATGGAGTGTGCGGTCCTACGTTATGAGGGTGTACTGAGCCCGATGAGATGAGCTCTGCTGCACTCGAAGGGCCTGCCGCACGGCTTGGGCTGAAGTACGACGCCGCTTCACTCTATGAAAGCATTAATTGGCTAATCAGATAGAATCATCAGAAATTTCTACTCACATCGTGTTGAGATGAGGTATACAATGTATCTGGATCTGATCGGTGCTCGTGAGCCATGCTGGGCACGCTGATTGAGCCGTCATCCTCCATCCTGTTAAAAGTCGGGCGGCATGTTGGGCGCGGAGCGCGCTTGACCCGTCTGCAATGCGAGGGGTAAGATTGCTGGGCAAGCGCGTAAGGTACATCGGATGCGAGCGCGAGTAGATATACGTGTACAGCGATCAGATAATAGTGAGCACTGAACGCGCACTGAATTCTCATATTCCAACACACTCCCTTGCACGGAAGGGCTCACGAGAATGAGACGGCGACACTCCCTGAAGCGAGCGAAAGGTAACAGAAAGGCACTCCCTCAAACGTGCAATCAACAAAGTCCATACTCCATTGGTCCAACATGCACACCACAGTGCGGGCGAATGGCGAGGTAACAGGTGCGAGGTGCGACGGCGGAGGGTAGCGGCGAGCGGCGGCGGCAGCGAGATCTTCGGCCGGCGGCGAGAAACAGTAAAAACGGTGCGACTACGGCGCGGGTTCGATAGCGGCCTCGGCGGCGGCGACAACGGGATGCGACCTCGATGAGGCGCGGTACGACTGGCTTCGGCCCCAGTGGCAAGCGGGTTCGGTTACGGATCGGCGGCGGGTACGTCTGGATTCGGCCCCAGAAGGCAAGCGACGGCGGGTTCGGGTTCGGGTTCGTGGTTCGGGTACGGTTCGTGGTTCGTGGTTCGCGGTTCGTGTGGTTTCGGCCCCACAAGGCAGGTGCGTATCGATGCGGGTTCATGTTCGGTGACTTCAGCCTCACCAGGCGGGTACGGGTGCGAGTGCGAGCATCGCGATGAGCGGCGATCTGCGGCGACGGGCGGGAGCGACGACCTCCGTGACTACGGTCGTGCGAGCGGGTGGTTTCGGCCCCACCGGGCAGCTTGGATGACCCCAAGTGGTTGACGCGCTTGTGTTAAAAGTTGGGCGGCATGTTGGGCGCGGAGCGCGCTTGACCCGTCTGCAATGCGAGGGGTAAGATTGCTGGGCAAGCGCGTAAGGTACATCGGATGCGAGCGCGAGTAGATATACGTGTACAGCGATCAGATAATAGTGAGCACTGAACGCGCACTGAATTCTCATATTCCAACACATCCGCCGCCGTTTCTGTCTTTGACCAGCTCGTCGACGCTCTCTTGTAGCAGAAATGATGGCACGCATCTGCGATCTATGAGGCTCGCATGTTGCTTCATGATGCTGGCGGCCGCCCTCTGTACGAAAGACACGACCACAGACACATTGTAGTGACGAGTTTGATGACATTTGGTGATATCTAGGGAGTGCAGAATCGGCAGCTTGATGCAAAGCTCGAAGTCGATGCGATCAGTGTCCAGCCAGGGTTGCGAGTATGTACCGAGAGTCAATATTCCCGGTCAAGTCAGTAACAAAGTGGCGGCAGCCAGCATGGCCGCGGCGGAACATATACCTACCTACCTACCTACCATGTGATCTCACATCTTGAATTCAGTTGTAGGACGGATGAAAGACTCAGTTAACTTGGCAATTGCATGGAAGCATTTTGACAACCTTGCACGTAAACGCAAGGAAGATGCGAGCCACGCATACAGCATGCAGGATCACTGGAAGTCGCGCAGAGCCTTCGCTGAGGTTTCAGAAGCATCTGATAAGTCAGACAAGTAAGACAACAATTCTGACAGCTTAGCAACCCATCGCATGCGATCATATTCTGAGACTAGTCTATGCCTAGCTTGGGAGTTACAGAATGTTAACCAAGATCGGAGCCGATTTTGTGATGGACGCGTCGTGTATGGCGCCCATATCTTTTTGCGTTGGTTGGCTCGCTGATGGCACATCGACGCCGAGCGTCATTTTTCTCGATTCCCGACGGTCAAGAGTCGGTGGGCATCCGGTAGTGCGACACGCCTTGGCGCTGCCCATAACAGGATGCCTCCTGGCGCGCGTACGAATGGCTCCAAGGGAAGAAGCAGGAGAGGTTATCGCGGCGGCCTGCTAGGTTGCAATCCAGTGATTTGAAGGGGATCGGATTCGCCTGAGGCCGAGGAGGAGGCGGGCACCACGACGCGGGGTCCATGATCGAGGAGCAGGGAGGAAGCACGACCTGCTCGGCAGCCCTCGGGGAGGGGGAGGAAGTGCTGGACGGCGCGTCGTCGCGGGACTGTGCGGACGCGGCGGCACGGAGCTCCTCGTCGGACCATGTGCAGGGACGAAGGGTCGGCACCAGGTAGCGAGGACGAGGCTCGACGTCGTGGAAGGTCACCGTGGGCGATGGCGATCTCGGAGCCTTCACCGGGCAATCTTCGACCTCCTCAAGACGCTCGTCGGAGGGCTTGCGCGGGAGTGGCCAAGGAATCTCGTCGATATCACCCCTCTGGATCTCGTCGTAGATCGGATGGGACCTCCGACCGATGGATTGGTACAAGGCCGTCGGCCTGACTTTGTGCTCTTTCTTGCAGTGCCGCGTGTACGTCGAGGGCATGTTGCCGTCGAAGTCGCACCCTGGAACCAGGCACCAATAGATGATAGGGGGCCATCCACTAACGAATGTATGAGTCTTGGAATCCATGCGGAGAAAGCATCACGTACTGGTCCAAGGTCATATGATACCGTAAGTTTGTCGCTTGTAGCACCGCACGCTTGCACCCTTCGACTGGGCATTTTATCAAACTGCACCGCGCAGTAGTGTCTTCAGTGATTCGCTCGGGTCAGAGGAGAAGGGCACTCACTGAAGCGCCTTGTTGTGCACTTTCATGTGCCGTCCCAGGTCGTTACTCCGATTGATTATCGTGTCGCATTCGGAGCACCGTACAGGCTTTCTGGAGTTCTTCTAGTGTGGCGTAACTCGTCGGATCCAACGTCGTGAAAGCACGTATGACGCACCGCCTTTTGGATCCTAGGAACGGCGGACTTGCCGCGAGAATCAACCGTCTGGGTGCGCGAGCGTGCCATCGAGGAGGAAGAAATTGAAGGCCGAGTCGCTACAAAATCCGTCGCCTTGGCCTCTCCGTTTCATCCTGACGCTTTAAGAGAGCAACCGGCCGTGAGGCAAAGCTGTCGAAAGGACCCGAGCCTTTCGCACGCGGTCCAGCAGAACGTCCCGGACTATCGTTTGCTTCTGGCGTAAGCTCGAGAGGACCCCGGTGTCGGTCGAGACGCGAAGTGTTGGAGCGCAGAAGCTCGGCAAACCCATCCGAAAAGGAAACGTTCCGCGCAGTCTTCCGAGATGGCCTGCACCATCAATCGGCGGCACATAGAGACCATAAGGACGGCGGAGGGTGCCTTGCGGGATACCTTGTCCAGAACAGGATGCGTTGCGTCGCGATCAGGAAGGCGCCTGGCGCCGTACATACTTCAATCTAGCCCTGCGCGGTCGTAGCTTCGCGGCGGAGATCCAAGAAAAATTGCCACTGCGGAATAGACAGCCACTTGTCACCGTATGACGGACCCTTTGACTAGCCTCGAGGTGCTTAACGGCAGGCACACGAAGTGGCCTGAGGGGAGTGCTGCAATCAGGACCGGGTGAAGGTTTGAAATCCTGCCACAGCGCCATGTTTTCTGCGCCGCCGAGGACCAAGGTCGAATGCCTTATCGTGCTCCCTGAACAGCATTTCAATCCATTTCGCGTACAAGTGAACAATCGGCCTCGATTTCGTCGCCCTGAAGAATATAACCGTGAGTATCGCGTTCTTGACTCGCCGCGCTGCCGCGAAGCGCTCATCCACCGTGGCATCACCTCAGAAGGCCTTCTTAGCTCCGCTGCACGAATACAAGAGCTCTTCGTGTGTGAAAGTAGTCTCTAAAACAGCCGATTTGGGAAAGGGCAATCTCTCGAAGCTTAAGCCTAAGCAGAGCCAAATATCAGAGAACACGACATTTGATCGAACACGTCCCGAAGCTTGCTGCACCTTCACACGCCTCTGGTAGGGCACCCAGACCCGTCCGTCGGCTTTCAGATGGCCGAATACAGGCGTATCCAGCCAATTGTGACGTCTTCCACGGAGCATCGCGGTTTAATTTGGGCATGCTACAACACGGGCGTTGGAGCTCATCATTTGGCAAATTCAAGATATAACATAGGTTCATTATGAACTTCATGGCTTGGCTTATTGAAAATGCAACGCATACACGACAGTAGAGAAAGGAAGCGACGGGAGATATCACAGGTGAGACGGGAAGTAACTACGATGGATCCCGACGCTCACGGCCGATTCCAGAGACGCGACATGATAGTGCGGAGACGGAGATCTGAAAAATCTATGGCGCATCGTGTATGGTGCCGAAGATGATATTAAAACGAGTATATGGCTGATGGCACCAGGGAGCATCGAGGAAGAGCAGTGCTGTTCGGGACGACAAAAGGTCAAGCGCCGGTGTGCGTCCGGTGGTCAGATGCGCCCTGGCCTGGTCCGTAGGCGGGATCCTCCTGACGCCCGTGCGCAAAAATTGACGGGAACAAACGAACAAGGATCTCGCGGAAATCGGGGCCCGCTGCGTCGCAGCTCAACTTCCTTATCGGAGCAACCGGCGCCACGGGTCCAGGAGGGGGTGGGCACCACAGCGCGGGGTCCAATATCGAGGAGCAAGGAGGCAGGACGATTTGCTCAGCCGGAGTCGTGAGATGGACGGAGGAAGGGCCGGGTGTAGGAGCTGTCTTCGAGGGGAAGGAGGGAGCGCAGGAGGTAGCAGCCGTCTTCGTAACGTCCATCGGCCTAACGGCCATCGGGTGTATATAGACTTTGCTCTCTCTGCTGTTTCACGAAGAGTTAGACACGGGTATACCGAAATGGTATTGATCCCTTACTGAGCGATAGCGATGTGCGCTTCGACGAATTCAATCGTCCCTTCAAACCCGCACTCTGAGCAAAACACCATCTAAGCGGACGCGCCGAGAAATCAGCAAATAACAACACCCGCTGAGTTGGCCCGTGCTCACGTATATGCGCAAACGTTGAGTGAGTAACTCGCGACGGGACGTTGCGCGCACTCGGTAGCTTCCCTATGAAACTTCTTATATCAGCGGCGAGTCATTCAGGTTCCGAGCTTCTGTGAAGTACCAGTTCGAACTGCGTCGAGGCGAACGAGACGTGGGAGAGTCTCTGGAAATATTACGGGCGAAGGAACTGTCATTACAACATGTTCTGAAGGCTTCGACGAGCTAACATGAGACATTTGGCCAGGAGGCGTCAGCGATAGGAGAGCGTGTCGAGCCTTCCGATCTGTTGGTCGCTAACGAATGGCTCTTTCGACGTGGGATACACATGAGCGGCTTCTTCCCAGCGTCGGAGTCCGCCCTTCAAACGGTGACATGGGTTCAGTAAGAATTTGCGAGCACTATTCGAGACTGCCGTGAAAGGAACAAGTACCGGTCGTAACTGACCGAGACGAGACGCGGTGTTTGTTCTGAAGCGTGGAGACCGACGTCGCAACGTTCCGAGGCGATTGCGTCGGAGTTCCACAGCGGCTCACCCCTTCTACCGCGTTGCCGATCGACTCTGCCCTTTTCGTACCATCGTTAGACCTGAGGCGAACAAGGAATATATTTCATACGTAGCGTCCGGCTTTGGCGCACCGATGTCCACTGGTATTGACACCGGACGGTGGTACACATACCGACGGGCTAGGCTACGAAGAGGTCAGAGAATACCGTCAGGCTTCCTGACCAATCGTAACGATCTCCCCTTGACTCGTCGTGTAACCGCAGGGAATCCCTTGGTCTCCGTATGGAGTTATATTGCACTCATGAGGCCTAGCCAAAGTTCTCCGGCTGCTCCGACGGTATAGCAATACCTCGTGTACGGCTTATCGTCCAGGAGGGCGAGGAATCGGGGTCCTGTATGGAATGGAGCATCGAACATCAGAAACGATATTATGATCGACCCAGAACTGGAAGCGAGCTCACCACGCCCACCACAGCCCTCCAAGGCGGCACCCAGACCCTTCGCCCCATCCGCCACATCCCAGCGACCCGGGTGCACTTCGAGCCCCCCAGTGCATCTGCCACCGTCGCGAGATGCCCTTCTCCCTGAGCGCCCTCTCGACCCTCCGCCTCCCACCTGTCGGTGTATTCAGCAACTCAGTCTTGAAGAGACATGCGTCACGCCACCGAGTGAAATTGTCGCTGGTGCCGGAGTTCAACCGTCTTCCCATGACCGTAAGCCACAGAATCACCAGCATGCAGCGAGCAAATCACTGAGGGATTTGTGTTAGTGCAGGACACCATAGCCAGCGTCAACGCACCCCCCAGGCGTGTATCACAGGCCGCCGCAGCTGCCCTGGGCTCTAGGCGCACTGACAATCTCCCGGACGGTCCATCTCGACGTAGGGCCGGTATGGCCAGAGACTGAAGCGTAAAGATACACACGACATGACGCCGCCACTCAACCAAGAGCAACCATTGTCCGGACGTTCATATTGAATCCCTGTAAGCAAATGGCCACTCCTATAAGCCGTGGAGCCGCCGACATAATGCCAGAAGATAACTGATGACTCTGTGTCAGGAGCCACCTAGGAGACGGGGGTCGCCGTCGACATACCAGCAGACAAGGTGATCGGAAATCGCACATCGTAAGTCGCGAATGCACTGTATGACTCTCCGTCGGATGCGAAGGTACGCTAACAAGAATGCGTCATTGTTAGGGAAACACTCACATCGTCATAGCCGCAAGGATACAAGGATGAGCAAAAAATCCCGTATGATTTCACTCCCTGAAATCAAACTGAATTTCTTGCTCATCCAGCACCCACAGGTCACCCCTTGACCAAGCTTTCTAGACTGCAAAGCCACAGCATGGTGCTGTTATGGAGGTGAGCACAATGTTGGGTGGGATCAAAGATACAGAAACTGACACACACAGGCAACAGAGACCTTCTTTGAGCGATGTCGGCATTGTTATACCACGTCTACAATGTTGGATGCAGTCCGCGCAACCAACACCCACGTTAGCACGCGGCATCGGTGAGCTTTCGAAGATTTCGGTGTTGCCTCTATTAAGCCCTGCCTATATCGTCTAGGTTCGCCCAAGGTTGCTATGCACCCAGGTTCGCATGACATCAAATCCGTCATCGAGACACTGTATCGTTGCACTGAGTGAGGAACACGTGCTTGAAGCAGAACATGTGTGAGTATCGTGGTCATAATCGTTCTACATGTCGCAGTTTCCTAATATCGCGTAGTCAGAGTCCAACGACGTGATATCATCGACAAGTCGGGGTCGTACACCGCAACTGTCAGATTGCACTTGTCGCATTCTCCTCGGTGCTCGAAGAGGGTCCGCCACGCTCGATGAAATGTCCACGCCGCGTGCATCGGATGGGCCTGGGGTCCATGTCGTAGGAGCCCTCCGACATAACGCGTCGATATGCTACTGTCGAGAAATCGCAGATGAACCATGACCGCTTTCGGTAAGAGCGAGGTGTATACGCTGACGGCCCTCCGACAGCATTACCAAGTCGCTTTCGATGCCCATCCGCTTCTCTTCCCGTTGACGACCTATACCGACCACGGAGATCGTTCGGAGGCGCCGCTTCTGCGACCACCTCAGAAGATACCAGCAATCGTCAGAAACGGTTACACACCAGACGTCAGTTCGGACAATATGCATCCGCGCCTCCCCCGTTCTCATCCGACATCGCGGGGAAAACCATCCCGCCCGTGTGATCGTCCGGTTCGTGGTGTGTTCGCTGGCAGTTGTGATCGGAGTATAATCGACTCATGACATCCTCCAGGAGCTAAGGATAGAGCTAGAGATTCGGATTTCAGCATTCGCCACGTACATTCGTGTAATCTCACTACGGCCAAGACGCACCACGAAACGTCGGCTTGACGTTCGGGTCCTGTACGCGAGGCGAGGGTATTCATGTCCAGCGGGAAACGAGACACTTACAGGATATGTAGACGAAGGCCGCTGGATGAACGCTGGAACCAGGGTCGATGAGAGATGAGATGATTGACGGAATGCGCTCGATAACCAAGCGGCGAGCTCTCATCGTGCGCATGGACGTATACGGCTTTCGCTGTACGATTAAATGATCACTGTCTCCGGGCATGCACCGACTCATGTGCTTTGGCCCGCTCGAACACCATGAACGAACGCTCAGGGTTACAATAGCGGAGGACCACGACTCTGCATCAGTGGTCTGCTCATAGCCTGGTTCATACGGCCATCCCTAAGTCACCCCAGAAGAGACAAGTAGACCGCAAGCGGAATCCGGGCCTGCTTACCCGATCTCGTTCTACTCTTCCTTCATGCCCCGCATCGGGAGCGCGATGGTCAAGTCCAACTTACTGGATCCCCTTCCAAGCTCACGGCGCTTTTTGTGCTCTTTATCCACGATCGACGTCTCAAGGCCTGTCGTGCCACGTCGCACCTTTTCCGTCGCGGCGACTACTTGCAATGACCTCTTCGAATACACAAATGGACGCTAGGTGTAAGTCTCGTGCGTTGACGCGGTATTCCTGTTCTAGTCGATCTAACACATCTTTCTGGATTTTTCCAGTTATAATGAAGGGCTTCGACTCGCGGAGCGGAGGGTCGTTTTTGACGTGAAGTCACTCGCGCGATGTCAGTGGGCCGAACCCCTGCGGACGTTATCAGCTTGACAAAGCTCGCCGAGGGTAGATTCAACCGTTCCTCCTCGTCACCATGCGCGACAGCTTCCACATGGTCGCTCGCACTCCTTACCCGCTTACCGTCCCCCAAGTACTACGCCGTTACCAGACGCTCTATAGCGCAAGTGCACGAAACTCAAAACTGACATTTCCATAACATGACTTGACATTGTGCGACGTTCGACATATTCTATCATTCCTACCCTTCGCTCAGACTCAGCATAGACTCCATCCCATCCCTTTGCTTTGAGTTTCATGTGCTTGCGATAGAGTGGCTGGATTTGAGACTACCATTGTATTAGTATTATGGTCTTATCTGTCAGAGCAGTCCGCGGCCGACTGCCAGATGTCAAACTAAACCTACTCTGCGAGGTAAGTTTCGTCCCTGGTGCACGGCACGGCCGAGGTTTCTCAGGTCAACGCATATACGCCTGCTTATTTTTGTTGTTATTGTACGCAGAGTATCGGTCAAATCGCTGGCTGTCAAATGGCTGTCGATGTAGCAAGTTGGCTTGTTACCGGTACTTCCGCGGTCCGCGCGCATTGTCCCTGCAGTTTATTTTTCTTCCCTGCGTTTGGTGTCGGGTGCCTGCGCCATCCGTCGTTATTGTTGGTCGCTGATTGGACTGAATTGAGAGAAGCTCGTCGGTCCCATAACGCAGGCGCAGCCGGAAGCAGATCCCGGAGGTCGATCTGCGTGAGGGCCGGGGCCACGTGGATCGGATGACCGTCGGACCGGCAGCAATTTCTTCCAGTTTCGTGCTGGCCGGGAACGCGCTGTCTGTTTGTGTGACCCGCTCGCCCCGCATCTGCTCGTCCCGCGAAGGAGTCCACTCGTATTCTCAGAGTCTAGACGGCCGTCATCAAAGGCGCCATCACGTCTCGCATATCATACCTTAGACGGGTCCTAATACCCTCTTGACCCCGCCCGGCCCCCCCCATCCTTTGACCTCGCAAACGGCGTACTGTGCTGCACTCAGAGCCCTCGGTTTTCCGCATCCAGACAATACCTCTCAAACAGAAGTCATGTCGACCTACGACTCGGACGTAGAATTCATCTTCCTCGGCACGGGCACGTCCTCGAGCCTGCCGCACGTCGACTGCCTCACGCGCCCGCCAGGCGCGAAGCAATGCCGCACCTGCCTTTCGACGCGCACGCCCGAGGGGAAGAAGAATTGCAGGCGTAACACGTCCGGGGTCGTGCGGATGAAGGGGAAAGACGGCCAGTCGGTGTGCGTATGTCCCGCGCACGCCCGCGGGCTGGCTCTGTCGGGTGTGGTGACGCTGATTCATTCTTGGGTGCAGGACGATCGTGATCGACGTTGGGAAGACGTTCCAGGCGGCGTCGCTGGAGTGGTTTCCGAAATATGGGCTTAGGAGGATAGACGCTGTGCTTATAACGCATGCGCACGCCGATGGTGCGTTTTTTGTAATGTCATGTCGGGGCCGGACGGTCTCGCTGATCGCGACTGATAGCTATGAACGGCTTGGACGATCTACGGGGTGTGTATCGACGTGAAAATCGCTATTTTTCCTCGTGAGGCTGACAGTCCAGCAGCGTGGACGCTACGCTCGGCGATTCAACCGCATGTAGATCTTTATGTTACCCAAACCACGTTCAAGGAGGTCCAGCGCTCGTTTCCGTACTTGGTCTCGAAGGCGTTCGCTACTGGGGGCGGTGATGTAAGGCCCTTTCTCAAATTGCATCGCGTACGCAGCCGTGATGATGACATCGCAGGTACCGGACTTCAAATGGCACATCATCGAGGATAAGGTGCCTTTCGAGATCGAAGGCACTGGGATTCACGTTACGCCATTCGCCGGTGAGCATATGTCCTCCCAAACGCGTCAGCGCGCTCATCATCGTGCAGTTCACCACGGGCGACTCTTCGCACAAGCCCCCGTCCCTGGGTTCGTGCCAACCCCGGAACAGCTTCCCGAGGTGGACGGCCAGCACCCTCAACCACACCCGTCGAACGCCCATCCTAGCCACGACCACCCTCCTCCCACCGGCGACCCTAAATCCGCCAAAGGCGACATCCAGCCCTTGCTCTGCTTCGGCTTCCGCATCGGCGACGCCGTGCTCTACATCTCCGACGTCTCGCACATCCCGGACGACGTCTGGCCGCTGCTGCTCGCCCCGCCGCCCGCGATCCTCGCGCTCGACTGCCTGCACATCGCGCCGCACACGTCGCACTTTGGGCTGGAGCAGGCGGTCGCGGCCGCGAGGAGGATCGGCGCCGCGAGGACGTACCTCCTTGGGTTTGGGCACGAGGTGTCGCATGAGGAGTACGTTACCATCGGCGAGGCGGCCGGTGGGCGGAGGGTGGAGGATGTGAGCGGGCTGAGCGCGGCGGAGAGGGAGGGGGTCGCGATCGTGCAGAAGGAGGGAGAGCCGATTTGGATGCGTCCAGCGTTCGACGGCCTGCAAGTGCGGATTCGCGGCCGCGAGCAGGTTCGGGATAACGGGTACGATTGATCTATTGGTTAGGCATGGCTAGACTGTACACTAGGATCTGGTGTAATTGCAAGATGGAATAAGTACATGCAGCTTCGTGCTCCTGGCGGGCTTTCTACTCAGTTAAGCTTCGGTTCGTGGCTGTGTTCGGCTCGCCTTCTTGCGGCGACTTGCGCGGTCACGCGGCAGCCTCGGCGCAGACATCTTTGGAGCTCGAGTAACCTCGACCCAGTCGATCGTGGAGTGTATCTCATAAGCCCTCAACCCCTTTCTTCCATCAACCACCCAACTGCTGTCTTCACTTGCTCACAACAACGACGACAACAACACCGATATCGCCTTTTCTATCGACGCAGCGTAACCGCAAGCCGGGGTCGTCGTCGCTGCCATGAGATTCTTCTCCCAGTCCTTCCAGTACGAGTACGTTTTCCGCAGTGAAGTCGACGAAAACGAGGACTCCTTTCTCATCGCTCGCGCACAGCGATCCGTGGTCCATCGTTACCCTCGCCTACTTCCTGCGCTATCCGAACCCGTACGCGGCGCATATCGTCTCCTGCGACGTCGTCTCGCGCCACCTCACCGACGCCGGCACGCTCGTCACCACCCGGCTCATCCTCAAGCGCGGTGCGCTCCCGCGCTGGGCGCCGCAGGGGATCGTCAGCCGCGCCGAGTCGTGGGTCGTCGAGGAGAGCGAGGTCGACCCGGCGGGCAAGGTCGTGCGCTGCCAGACGAGGAACTTGGAGCATGTGAAGGTCATGCAGGTGATCGAGTCTGTGACGCTGCGGGAGGCGGAGAACGGGTATGGATATGCTTCTATCGTTGATTGTATCATCTTTTCTCTGACATGTTTGCTGGAAGGGGAACTCTGCAGAACACGGAGGCGAGCGTCGTGTCTCGGTTTGGCTGGGGTCTCGGTAGCAGAATCGAGAATCACGGCCTGGCCAAGTTCAAGGCAAACATACAGCGTGTAAGCCCCGTGGTCATCTAATCGTCATCCTCTCCTTGCTGACATTCGTACAGTCTCGTCAGGGCGTCTCTGTGATCTTGGAACTATTGCGGCAATCCCGGCAACCGATGACGCTCGGCGGGCCTGCGCACGAAGCTTTTGTCACCGAGAGACCCTCAACGTCCCCTGCAGCCTCCTCTTCGACGGATCAGTCCGCTCCCACTGGACGGTGGACCAAACTGAAGTCCTGGTTCGGTGCCCGCTGAGCACCTAAAGTACCGCGCTATTTTTCCTGTTTCTTCGTCTTCTGAGCACCCGTAGTACGTACCGATTCATATTGCAGGCACCCTCTCTCGCGAGTCGCCGCGCTGTATCATAGCCATGTAATTGTACACTAACCCGTACCTATTCCTGGATTTTGTCCCTGTCGCTCGTTACGTAGGCGAATAAAGCTACCGCCGTCAATCCCCCCTCCTCCGATTGGCACGCACTCCGCCATTTGTCCGAACCGTCCGTGAGAGATGGACCGAACGTCGCCGGAGTCTGCCTCTCATGCATGCGAACGCGAACCAGCTTCATGCCACGACGACGACGACGTGTATAAGTACATTACGACGAGGGCTTTCCGCCATCCCTCACCGTGTTTGCTCTGAGGCCGCCTCCTAAGCTATCGTAACAGGCCCGAGGGTTGTTGGGCACAGACTCCAGCGCGACCATGTACTTCCCCACAGCAGCGGCTCGGCAGCTCTGCACCGTGCCCGCCTTGCCTCTGCTCGAGCCCGAGCCGGTCCTGTGCATCCGCCCGAACGCGCGGCGGAACCTGTTCTGCAGCCTCACCCGGAGCGGGCTGACGGTGTGGCGAGTCCGGGTGCGTTCCGCCTTCTCTCTGTGGAGATCACTGCGGGGAAGCTGACCTTGGCCGTCAACGTACATATGTCATGCGCTGGTCACTAGCCCTCGGCGGTTCTTTCATATCTTTCGCGAACGCCGACGTCCTTGGCTGAGCACGGGGAGAACGCGTCCGCGCACTGGTCTCCGGACGGGAAGAGGATCATCATCCAGGTGTGTGCCCACCCGTTTCAACGCGTTGTTGCCTCGTTACCTGCCCCCGTCAACGTTCACTCATGCCAGCTTGGCTCTCCGGATAGACAAACGCGTCTTTCCTGGTGCTTGTCGCCGTCGACTATGACCCGAACGAGACGCCCTATAAAGCGCCGCCGCTCGCGCCCAACGCGCAGCGAAACTTCCTGGCTGGACCGGGTGAATCTCTGCCGTTGCAAGCAGTGACCCTGCGCTTCGAGGGGGTGATCCGCATAGAAGGAACACTACGGAGGTGAGTGCGCAGCGCGAACCGACTCCTCTACGGTAACCAACGCTGCCCTCAGCGTGTCTCCCCGAAAACACTACATCCTCTTCTCAACCCAGGATCCGCCTGCCGTCCAGCGCATCCCGTGGCCCGACATCGGAGACGAATCGAACTCTGCGAAGAAGTCGGACTGGGTCGGATATGATACGTGGGTCCTCAACGACCACGAGCTGCCTTGGTTGGTGGACGCGAACGGTATATGTTTTGTGTTCGCGTGGATATATGCGCTGACTGTCATTCTTGGAATAGTGACGATTGCCGATATAGGCTACTCTCGGGCCATGGGCGTTGATACGTGGATCACGTCGGACGGACGGGGGTACATTGCTCAACTCATAGACAGCAGCCTAAGTCCTCCCAGCGCTACCGATCTCGGCACGGTGGACGAAGAGGCCCATCAAGTGAGAGTCCCGTTCTCTGATCTCCACTTCCACTCATATAATGTCGGGACAGAGATTCGAGGGGAAACTTCCGAAAGCTTCGATGGACAGCACCGCGTCTCAGACGACTCTCCAGTGGCAGGGTATCTGCATACACAACTTCGACCCCCCGCGCTGGGTCGGCAAGCGGCGGCAGGTCGACGCAGATTCGAGCGACTCGAGCGACTCGGGCTACTACGACGAGCCCCGACGCGCTGTGGCGATCGCCGTCAACGGCAAGTTCTCCGTCATCGCCATCGGGACCCATGGGTGAGCCAGTCTCGTTCCGCTCGCGCGCCACATACGACTGCAACTCGCCCATGTGACAGCGGAGCGGTGCATCTGTCTAATCTGCCCTCCGAAGAAGGCGCGGTGCCACGGTCTGACACCCTGCAGATACCGGCGAGCCATCTGTCTAAGAAAACGGGGCCCGTGCGAGTCATGGAATGGAGTTCAGACGGGTACGTCCTCGCCGTCGGTTGGCAGTACGGGTGGGCCGTGTGGAGTGTCGGAGGTCGGTGCCTAGCATGGGGTTTTGGGACGGTGGACGAGGTGGACGAAGACAGGTCGGTCTATAGCCTTCGGGTTGACGTGGTGATCGGGTTTGTCATCGCAAAGATAGGTTCCAGGACGCGTTTATGCACGGAGTACGGGACCTGGTGCGTAGGCTCGATGCAGACGTGATGTAGCATGCTCACGATCGACCCAGTTCTGGGCGCCAGGTAACTTCGAGCTGTTCGTATTGGCTCAGTCATCCCCGAACAGTGAGCATTCTAAGCATCGCGGCTGATCTACGCGGCTGATGCTTAGTCCAGCGGAGGACGGTCAACTATTCGTGATTCCGTTCGCGAAAAGTGCGGCTACCAGCCAACACTCGCCGGCACGTCTGCAGCACCTCGTCGCTCATGTTCTTCACATTAAAACGTGCCTTAGGACAATACCCGCTACGCATTCCTACAACTGGACGATCGGATGCTTGTCTATCGGGGAGCGGATCAACCAGACATGAGCGTCATCAATCCGGAATCCGATGTTTGGCAACATATCAAGGCATACGCCCATGACTAGCCTTCGCTCCGGCCTCGTTGATCTAACTTTATATTCGTCAGGTCCCGCACGACTACATCGCTGCGAATTGGCCAATACGCTACTCAGCTTTAAGCACGGATGGTCGACTCATAGCAGTAGCGGGCCGGCGGGGGCTGATCCACTACAGCTCAAACTCCGGCCGATGGAAGTTGTTCGCCGACGAGATGCAAGAGCAAGCGTTTTCTGTCCGGGGAGGTTTGGTGTGGTTCCATCATGTCCTCATCGCCGCGGTCGAAGTCTCTCGTTCATATCAGGTGCGTGCAGCATCTTTGCGATTGCAAACAGGTGGATGAACATACTAGGAAAGGTACGCCTATATTCGAGAGACCTCGAGCTCAGCAACAAGAACGTGCTTCATCGGGAAATCCTGTCGTCCCCGGTTGTGATACTATCCTTGGTGGACAACTCGCTCCTGGTGTATACCGCGGACAACACGTTGCTTCATTATCTGATTATCCCGACGCCTGACTCCATCAAGTTGCACCTCTGCGGAAGTATCACCTTCGAGGGTGTCATCGCCAACCCAAATGCCGTACGAGTGCTCAGTTGGATGATCCCCTCGGCACAGAAGCGTCAGTGCTGTCGTGCATACACTCGGACGTTGGTGCTGATTAAAGATACAGAACTGGGCGACCCAGCCGACGACATGTCAGTGGCTACTGTGCTCATGATGGTCGGCGGAAAACTGGTTTTACTCAAACCACGACGAGTGGGTAATCTGTGTCTTCGTCATGAACATATCGTTAACTCGACGCAGTCAGGAGACCAGGAGGTCAAATACGACATGCAAATCCTTGCCGACAGAATCGAGTTCTGCTGGATACATTTGCGGGGTATTCGTGCGCTAGAGAACTCGTTATGGGGATACGACGGACAGGGCGTTCGTGTCTGGCTCAATGCACTGGCTATCGAGGCTCCGCCTGCAGATGATGCATCGGAACCCCAAGACAGTGTCAAGGAGAGCGTGAACATGCCTCTCGACTTCTATCCTCTGTGTACGTCTTCAACCTTGGCGATTACTTTGATCACTAACGTTAGCACAGCGGCACTTATGGATAAGGGGATCATCATCGGTGTTGAGCATGAGGTAGTCACCAGGTCGAACCTCCCGTTCGTTATGTTTAGGCATGCGACGAGTGTACGTGTTGAACCATTCTCATGGTATACGCTGTCCAATGACCAAGTCACCGTTTTAGTCCCATCTTTTCTTGCATCATATCCTCCTCTTCCACCTCGAAGCTGGGCAGGTTCGCGAAGCTGTACAGTTCGCCGCGGAATACGCAAATCTCGTGTACTTCGCGCACGCGTTGGAGATGCTACTTCATGACGTGGTGGAGTCCGAGTTCGACTCTGCTAATTCCACGGCCAATGGCACGATCGACGGAGAAGCTGCGGGTGACGGCGTGTTGCCGACCGTAGTGGAGTTTCTTGATCACTTTGACGAGGCGCTCGACGTGATCGTCAAGTGTGCCAGAAAGACTGAGGTTACACGATGGCCAAGGCTCTTTGACATTGTCGGAAGTCCACAAGCTCTCTTCGAGGTTCGCTGTCTGACTTTCCCCTCCTTCGTAATTACTGACTTCCGGTCGATATAGACTTGCCTAGAAACCGGTCGCCTGACAACGGCTGGATCGTATCTGCTCGTGTTGCATACCCTTGAGCAACTCGAAGGTAATGCTCGTGATGACGCGGCGAGGTTGCTGCGCTCTGCGCAAGAGGCAGGCGAATGGAAGTTATGCCGAGAGCTCATGCGCTTCCTAAGGAGCGTTGACGAGAGCGGCAACCTGCTGAGAGAGGCATGCGAAAAGGCTGGCATCCTGGATAGTGCGAGACCAGCTGATGATCAGGGTCAGAGTGTGGAACAGACGGAAGCAAAAGTGGACAATGTCAGCGTCAGTGTATCATCATAGTGGTTCTGTTTATATACCAAGTCATATACAGTGCATAGACCATCGCAGTTTCCGTTGTATTCAATGAGGCTTCACGCAGGTTTTCAAATGATATGTGCTGGAGAGTACTAGATATATATGCGTAACGGACATAGTTCATCATCGCCCGCCTAGCTCAATCGGATAGAGCGTCAGACTCTTATCACTGGCTAGTGCGGATATCTGAAGGCTGCGAGTTCGACCCTCGCGGTGGGCTAGTACTTTTCCTCGGTTTTCCTCCTTACTCGTGCCTCTCACCTCCTGTCTCAACGTCGAGCATGAGATGTAGCAATCCACCGATGTGGCAAATTTCACGCACATAGTGGAATGTATAAAGTAATTCTAAATGTTGTAATTCGTTCACTCTATCCTCACAGCAATGAGCCTATGTTTTGACCCGAAGACGAGCCTGTCCTGCATCCACCCCGCGAATTCCTCCTGCGATTTGATCTGTGCTACGGCTTCTGCGATCGTCTCATCTGGAGGACACTGGGTATTTGTCGTTCCTTCAGGACGGGTCAATACCTGAACATGGAGCCGCACGGTATAGCCAAGCTTCGATTGAATCGAATCCATGAGTTCGTCGAAGGTAGTATCTTCCGCGATGCGAATCCGCCATAGGTCCGCCGTGGCAGGCACGTAGACCTTCACGACGATCGTGGTAGGGTCCCCGAAAGGAGTTTGCGGGGTCTCAGGCCCGGGTAAACCCGCCACTTGCAGCTGAACCTGAGATAGCACAGAGGTATCTGACTGAGCGCGCCGCCGCGTCGGAACAGACCTGGAAAGCGGACTGACGACGCGTCCCGAGGTACATCTCGCTCTCGCAGAAGCTGGGGAAGAGGGTGGAGGAGATGCTGAGAAGGCGCCAAGTCGCGGTCTAAGGCCCAGTCCGGTGAGAGACCCCATCTTTTTGAGGTTCGAGTCCGAGTAAGAGAAAGGCAACTTCGGGGACTCGTCGGAAACGGGCAACGTCGACGTGGTCGAGAATTCCGACCAAGTAGGAGAAGGAACACCGTAGGGGAAGGTAAGGGTACTGGCAGGCGAGGTTGGTGGCCCTAGCTCGATATCGAAGAAGCTGTCGTGAGACATGTCCAAGTAACCGGTCGGAGCTGCGGCTCGGCGCAGTGGTCGCGTCGTGCAATATAGAGCAGAACCTGTACTCGTAGAGAGAGAGATCCGGCTGAGATCTGGAGATGTGTGCAACGCTCGCAGACGCGGTTCATTGGCTTGTGCCGAGGTCTTCCTTCGGAGCGAAAAGTGGGGCAGGGCAAATGACGTGAGGCTCCGACGATGGTCTGCCCTATCCCACAAGATACGTGCTGGCACCAACTTGAGCCGGTTCATCGCATACCATGCGTGCGACTGGTGACGAATTCGTTAGATATAAACGCAAAGTAGATAGGAGAGGGAACTCGCTTTCGCAATTGGGGCTTCTTCGCTGAAAGCCCTAGCAGCGTCTGCACCACCTCGGCATCCAAAGTCGAGGGTCTGATTCATCTGTTGATGCAGCTGCTGGAGCAACTCGCGAAAGCACCGAATGCGGCGAACGACCAGCCATTGCCCGATTGCTCCGACGGTGACGGCAGCCAAAGCGGCAAGTTGGCCGATAGGAGACAAGAGTCGATCACTAGCGGAGGTTCCGTTCCGTCTCCGTATGGTAGGTAGACGGAGTTCTCTGATGCAACAAGGGGATGTTGTGCGTGATCGTTGATACCTGCGTATAAGCCATGCCAGGGCAGGGAGGCCGAACAAGAGCCCGAAAATGACCGGGATGATAGGCACGGCCCCGGACGCGGTTGACCTCTTAGTGAGGGTGACCGTGATTGAGCTTGCTGGCGGCATCGTTCCAAGATCTTAAGGAGCGTACGAAGTAAGGATTGTGGGGATAGACTGAGCAGCGACCAGACGCATATGGCGGGGGGATGCCAAGCGGTCGACCGAACACAGACGAGCGCAGACTTGAAAATGATTCTCGGGGTGCGACAGCGATGACCAACTCGAACTTGACTGTGACCTTGACGTGGCGGACGTGAAACATCTGCCGGGAGTAAAAGGCAGAACTACCAGCTCAGTAATTCCTGACTTTCCTGTATCACCAGCAGATAGCATCCACTTGAAGAATGCATTTGCTCTAACGCAAGGCAGAGATCAAACTAGTTGGTGGTTATAGTCCGAGTCGAACGTCCATGTGTGGGAACGGAAGATTGGTAGTTCGAAGTCATGCGCGGGGTGCAAGTTCGGATCAAATCAGACGACCTCTGTACTTAGAGTCTCTTCAGTTTCATAGCAATCATGGCAAGGCATTTGTCGCGTACGATGGCCACTCTAACAAGGTTATCCCAGTCTCCGGCGGTTCAGGTTACCTCGGAAGGAGCTGTAACCGTCTCGTACCCCACGCTGAAGTCGTCGCCATTATCTCTTCGAGATTCCATTGGTGCGCGTTGCGTGTATCTCGTTCGCCCCGTCAAGTTTACCAACACAGGCATCTGTTCTCGTAGAACAGGCGTTTGGATCTCATCCCAAGTCATTGGGCATCATTATCGTGAAGGATTTGCCCGAGACTTATCGCTCGCAGCGCGAGCGACTCTTGAAGATCGCCGACAAATTTGCGAGCCTCGACGAGGCAACGAGAGAGAAGTATGCAGACTCGCGGAGCCGATATAGGTACGGGAAAGGGCTTAGGTTCATAGTTCAACACAATGACGATGCTCCAGCTTCGGATGGTCGTATGGCAAGGTCAGCCAAAAGGTCATCGAGCTCGGAGTATCGCTCAACATCAATCATTGTAGGAAATCATGAACGGAAAGCCAGGTCTGTGATTCTTACTCTTCAATCAGCCGGCATGCTCAGCGTGAAAATGAAATAGACACCTTGAAGGGTTCATACTATGCCAATCCAATCGTGGACAAACCGACCGTGTCTCAGGCGCTGAAAGAAGCATATCCCGAGTACTATGGGGAGAACATTTGTAAGGTTTGACCTCAGAGCTTGGTCTCGTGCAACTGAACTGGGGACCTTTAGGGCCGGATAAGGATCTGAAACCAGTGGAAGGGTTCGAAGACGCCTTCAAGGACCTCGGAAGGTACACAGCCGCCGCACACATCGACCTTCCCCGACTTTTTGACCCGTTTCATTAGATTCGTCTTCGCAGTAGGATGTGAACTGGCGGCTGCATGCCAGCCATTTGGCAAGCACATACGTACACTCCATCAGCCCAGGCCGAGCTGATCGCCTTCCAGCATCCTATCTTACGGACGCCTCGATCTCGCTCCCGCAGCTCATCAGCATGTCGCAAACGACGAAAGCCCGTCTTCTTCACTACTTCCCTCCATCGGCTGAGAACCCCCTTCCGTCAGAAGATGAGCCCATAGACAGCTGGTGTGGCTTCCATCTCGACCACTCCCTGTTGACGGGATTATGCTCAGTGAGCACCTTTATACAATTTATGCAGCGCTGCCCCCAGTTCACCATACCTCGTAGGCAATGTATCTCCGCCACGAGCCTGGACAATCAGAGCCTGAAATCGTCAGCTCTCCCTCGCCCTCTAGCGGACTGTATATACGCACTCGCGGCGGCGACCTCACGAAGGTGTCGATCCCCAGCGATTGTCTCGCATTCCAAACGGGCGAAGCGCTCGAATTGGCAACGGGAGGCAAGCTTCGTGCGACCCCTCACTGCGTCCGGGTGGGCGCCGGTGAAGGCGCCGAGAAGGTGTCTCGAGAGGTGAGTACCTCCCTCACGAGACTTGCCTATGCCTCTGCTAACTCCCCATTTTACTCTGACAGACGTTCGCGCTCTTCATGCAGCCCGACGTCGACCAGACGATCGGCCCCAATAACACGTTCGGACAATTCAGTAAGAAGGTGTTCGATGAGCATTACAGGGACGAAGCCGTACTCTAGACATGCAGACGGTCTTCGGAGGATGTACTAGAGGGTATATCTATCGTACAATATCTAGGTATAGCAGTTGCATAGTGATTGCATAAGGAAGTTCATTCAGCACGAGTGTATTTCCAACCAATAGCAATGGTGTGAGTGGGATTTCGAAACTCTTTGTGAGACAGTCAAGGTCGTTAGCGAGAAGGGGACGGAGACGATGTTGAGCGGGGGGTCCGGGGGCGTATCGCAGCGGGAGACGGCAACACAGACAGAACAGCGGCGGCGAGGCTGTTTCGCTTTGGCAGCTGCGGACGGTCGAGCCTGCCGTCACCCCCGTAGCTGGATCGCCGGGAGGTCAGCGATGAGGGCGTGCCGTCGTCGCCAGAGATGACGCTCCAGTCACTAGATGCTCGAGGGCCAGAACCGTAGGAGCTGGCCACAGATTCGGGACTTTGCGGGTCGGGTAACGCTTCGAGGGATTCACGGATGGTAGCGTTCTCCGCGTCAGAGCCAACGTCCTCGTCGGCACGACGCTTGATCAAGGAACGAGCATATTCAAGATCACGATATATGGCTTCGATGGCCGTGCCAACGCCGTTCTCCTGTATAGCAGTCAATTACACAGATCTCTGTGAACATACAGAAGCCCGTACCGCGCGGATGCGTTCGCCCACAACCTTGGCACGTTGGATCTGTTTCTCATCAGTAGTGGCGGCTATCAGAGCTTGCGCGAGGCTTTCTGATGTCAGATGCCTGACGCCAGCGCCGACGCCCAAAGCCTCGACACGGTCAGCCCAGAAGAACTGATCGCCGAAGAAAGGCCTGATGATGGTAGGGATACCGGCTAACAGCAGGAATCTCAGCACTCGGTGCATGTACGAAGGCAAATCCATACCTCGCAGACTCGCCCCAGTAGTCCCTGCGCCACCATGGTGGCAGGCGGCATCGATCCGCTGGAACAGCCAGTCGTGGGGGATTGAATTGATCTGATAGATCTGCTTGGGCAGAGGCTCTTCTGGCTCGGAGGCTTCGCCGGTCTTTGCATTCAGTCTATCAGACCAACCTTTGGAAAGGATTGCATATACTCCGCTGCGAACGATGGCTTCGATGACAGACCGCGTCATGCCCTTGGGGTCTGACACGACGATACTGCCGAAGCCGATGTATACCACCTTCTTGCCGGCTTGGTGGGCGGAGTCTATGAACTGTACGAGCTCCGCGGGGGGCGTCCACTTCTGGGCGCTCACTTCGGCTGAGTCGAGGAACCAGTAGCCTGCCATGGAGATCAGTGCAAGATCCTATGGACGAGTATCTTGCGTCTCACCGGTCACTCGAATCCACTCGGGCCAGTCTAACGGAGGCGGAACGATGGTGGGGCTGAAGTTGTACAAGAAAGGCACCTTGTGAGGCTCCATCTTGTCAAGACTGGTGCTGGGAAGGCCGAGAGTCTTCCTACGCCATCTGTTGATCTGTCCAGAGATGGCCCGCCAGAAGACTTGATCGAACATGACAAACGTCTAATCATTTCTTCATCAGCATCGCGCTAGCAACACCGAGATGCAAGCTTACCATATAGTTGTAACCTCCACCCATCTAGCAACAGTATATCAGCATATCCATGAATTTGCGATAGAACGAATGTCTCACCTTGCGTTCTGGCACGGCGAACGCGTGCGGATAGGCACTACAAGCACGCATCAGGCACAGACACCGACGAGGCAGACATAAACGCACCGTGTGCGAGTCCACGTCATGGTGAATGCACGAAAATAAGGTATCCTGAGCGCCTCGGCGATATGGAAGCCTGCCATGGCGCTGGGGCTTTCTATGAGAACGTCGGTGCCTTGACACGCCTCCCAGGAGGTCTTCAGCAGGTCATCCAACCAACCACGGAACTATGACATTGTCAGTCGCGCGTTTCTGACGTACAAGGTTCTGTTGTGCAAACCTTCAAGAGTCCTTCTTTCAAGAAAGACACGGTGAACGTCCCGTTCTCGACGCATATACGCATGAGTTCCGCCGGGTCTCCGCCCACATATCCAAACTCGATGCCGTGCTGCATGTAGGTCCGCTTCAGTCAGTCCCACGTCTGCACGTCAACCCACAGGTGAACAAACCGATTCGATCCACTCCTTGAATTCCCCGTGCGTAGCAATCCGCACCCGATGGCCATCCGCCATCAGGCCCTTCGCGAGCGCGATATACGGCTGCACGTCTCCCCTCGACCCGATCGTCAAGAACGTGAAATGAAGCGATTCCTTGGGCTTGAACGTCAAGAACGTGGACGACGCCGACGTGAACATATGCGCCGGGAGCGACTCCGTCACCGCCGCGTCGGTCGAGCCGCGCATGTCCGAGCCGCTGCTGATCGACGACGACTGCCGCGAGTCGTACTCCTCGAAGATGAGCGCGTCCCGCGTGTCTTGTTGACCGGCCGCTCCTGCCAGCTGTGCGCGCGACCGGACGTCTTCCATCTGCCTCTCGAGCAGGCGCACGAACGCCGACCGTCGGTCCTCGACACCGAACTCGAAGAAGAGCTCCTCGTACCCCTTGAGGTTCATGACTAGCCCGTAGCGACCGAAATGGAACGCCTTCGAGGGCTCCGTGCTCAGGATGTCGCGAATGGGTAGGATCATCTGATAACGCGTGAGCACGGCGAACGAACGAGCCGGCGTGGTTTTCACTCGCCTTCGTCTTCGACGCCAAGGCGCCCGCTTTGAAACAGAAATAGTTCGTCGACACGTACAGTCGCCCGTAGACCGGTAACACGCGGTAGATGTACCCGGGAAAATCTTTATCTCGCACGATCAGCGCTAACGCATCACCTACAAAAAAAAAAAAAAAGAAACCAGCACTCACAGCCCAACAACGTCTCCTTCTCGTCGAACGCGAAATACGTCCTAAACTTGTCGCGCATCTCCGGGTCCACGCCCGCCCCGGGATCGAGAACGCTGTACCCGAGCTCCGCCCCGCTCCCCGCGCTGCCCGTCGACCGGTGCCTCCCCCCGCTCGTCGCGTACACCTCCTTCACGCCCGCGACCGACCCGGCGACCACAGCCGCGCTCGCGGGCGACGTCGGCGCGCGCCGTCCGGGGACCCTCAGCCACGACGGCACGCCGACGCTCCACGTCGGGCTCGGCGCCGGCTCGGCCTCGACGGCCAGCGTGCCGGGCGGATACGTGTGCTCGCTGCGCGCCAGGCCCGCAGCGCCCTCGGACACGCTCCGCTCGCCCATCATCCCCGGCACCGCGTGCGCGTGCGCGCGCGCGTGCACGCCGGGGTCCGTCGTCATCGAGCGCGGCGCGGCCGTGCGCGGGACGAAGGAGCTGCCCTTCTTGATGTGCATGAACTCGTCCGGGCGCTCGCCCGCCTGCGGCTCGAGGCTCGCGCCGGCCGAGACGGGGGAGCGCACGAGCGGGAGCGAGTCCGAGATCGGCTTCCACAGCGACGACAGCCGGAACGCCGCCGACATGCGCGAAGACGAGGTAGACGCGGACGGGGAGAGCTCCCCCGCGCGGTCCAGGGACGGCCGCGGCGGCGCGTCCTGCGGCGACGACGCGGGCGCGCGCGGCACCGTCGTGTCCATGATCTGCGCCGTGCCGCTGCCGCTGCCGCCCTCGACCGCGGGGCGGTACGTGCGCACGACGTCGCGCATCTGCTCGAGCGCGCCGTCGATATCCTTGAAGTACGCGAAGAAGTAGCTGTCCATCGCGACGCCGCCCTCGAGGACCTTCACCTCGACCGTCTCCGTCCAGTCCATCGCGCGGCTCTTGTCGACGTCGACGATGAGCCCGTACGGCACCGCGACCTTGACGTGCGCGCCCTCGTGCTGGCTCTTGAACATCGCGCGCCGGACGGCCTTGGCCCAGTCGTCCCGCTGCCGCGCCGAGTCCGCGGACAGGTGGATCGTCTTCGCGTTCGTGCGGATGCGGAGCTCCTTCTCCCCGTGCGGCTCGCAGGAAAGCGCGTAGCGGAGGTCGGCGACGCCGTGCGGGAAGTACGGGTCCGCGGCGGACTGGTACCACGACAGCACGTCGTTCTTGAGCACGAACCAGTGCTTGATCCAGCGCTTCGTGCGCTGCGCCTTCTTGTAGAGCGAGCCCGACTTGAGTACTTGATCCTGCAGCGCATATACGCGTACCCGTGAGCCCTCGGCGAGAAGAACGAAAGATTAGGCGACGAAATAACGCACCTCCTTGGCCGGCAGGTGCGCAAAGAAGCACAGGTAGGCGTTCGTGAGGTACATGAACCCCTGCAGCAGCACCGACCGGCTGAACAGCCAGCACGGCAGCTCCGCCACGACCTCGTTGATCCCGGGCAGCTCGAACACGTCCCTCAACTTATCCGCCAACCTCGCGCGCCGCTTCAGCCGCACCGTCGCCATACTCCCGCTCCGGCTCGCCGTGCTCCGCTCCCTGAGGCTCTCCACCCTGTCCCTCGCTCCTCCCCCTCCCCCTCCTCCCTCCTTCTGCATCTCGCGGCCGATGCGCTCCGCGACGGCGGACATGGCGACCTTCGGCGTCGTCTGCGCAGACGACGGACTCGGCGGCCCGCGCGCGCCTCCCCTCACATCCGCCGCGAAGCTCTCGGGCTCCTCCACCTCGAAATCCCCGCCGTCCTCGCCTCGCTCGTCCCGCTCGCTCTCGTCTTCCACTTCCCCCTCCGCCCCGCTCTCGCCTTCGCCCTCGCTCGGACTCTGCTCCACGTCCGACATCGCCGGCCGCCTCCGCAGCCCTCCCATCCCCATCCCCGTCTCCAACTCCTTGCCCTTTCCTTTTCCCTTATTATGGTACCCGGGGATCGGCACCGCGTCGCGCGTGCGCCGTTTGCGCGCGAGCGGGCGGTGGATGGTGTGGATGCTGCTCGCGAGGCCGGCGACGTCCTCGTTCGAGTCGGATTCGGCGTCCGCCGGCGGTGCGGGGGAGAGCGGCGGGGGGCGGGGGCGTTCGTCGGCGGAGGAGGCCGAGGCCGAGGTCGGGTCGGCGTCGTGCTCGGCGTCGGCGTCGGAGAGGGGTAAGCCCTGGAGCGCCTGGAGGGCCTGGATGAGGGCCTGGGTGCCGACGCGCATCTGTGGGCGGGGACACAAAGGGAGGGGGGGTTTAGTAAGTGATGTGCGGCGCATATAGTGAGCGGAGGGAGGGAGTCGAGATGGAGGACGTACGGAGGCTTCGAGTCCGAATGTGAGGCGCGGGCCGCGGCTGGCGGACAAAGGTGGCGAGGACGAGGGCGAAGGTGGCCGGATGAAGGGCGAATCGTCGTCCTTGTTCGCGCTCGCGCTCGGGTTGGGGGAGGGCTTGGAGGCACTCCCGCGGGCTGTGAGAGGCGGACGGCTGTGGGCGCCTGTTCGATAGATCCCAACGCAAGGTTCGTTAGCACGGTGCCCCAGGAAGAGATGGATTGCACCAAATTTGAGGTGCAGGGGGTGTGGATAACGGCTGTGAGGATGGATGGGAGAAGCTCACCGCCATCCGTCCCGTCCCTCTGCTTCTCCTTCTCCTTCTCCTTGCCCCTGTCTCGTCTGCTGATGCTGAATATGCGCCTCGGGCCGCTGGTACTACCGCCTCCGCCGGAAGCCGAGACGCTGCTGTTCATGTTCGCGGGGCCGGCAGGGCTGTTCGTCGTGCTGCTCGCGCTCGGTCCTGCGTACGACTGCGCGAGGCCGCGTCCGCTTCCGTTGCTGCTGCCGCCGCCGGCGCTCTTGTTCCGCGCGAGCTTCTGCACGAAGCTGGTCCGCAGGGGCGAGGGGCTGCTGGGCGGGTACTGGCTGGCGCTGGGGTTGCAGGTGCCCTTGTCGGGCTGGTCGGTGCCCATGGTGGTCGGTGGGAAGGAGTCAAGCCAAGTAAGTCGACTAGCGATCGACTCGTACGTCGTGCGAGGAGGGCTGAATGGGTGTATGGCTCGGTCAATGTCGGCTGAGAGGATGACAGGCTCGGCGCAAGCGCAAGGGCCGCGCGTTTGGACTGGGGCCGCGATGGGACGAGGTGCTGCGATGGCTGTGCTCGACCGAAATGAGAAGGCGCGGCGATCGAGCCTTCGCCCCGTCCTCCGTCCGACGCTGATACACGAGGCTCCCGGCGACGGCGTCCAAACCCTCCCCCGTGTGTTGCCCACCCTACACGCCCAACAGCCTCACAAGCCGCCCCCGCAAAACGTGGATCAACGGGAAACTCAATGGCATGGCCCAAGGGACAATGAGTCACCGCCACAGTCGCAAAGCGTGGGAAGTCCGCGGCGCGCTCATGATACACGTGGAAGCGTGAGAAGGCGGTAACGTGACGCCAACACGCTCCCCTCGCGTTTTCGAGGGTGACGCTGCGTTTGTGGGCCCTGAGCGTAATCCAGCGCGAGTACTTAGGGAAGCACTCCTTCCTCCGTGCCCGGGGTTAGCGACTTCGCCTGTCTTCCTGCTTTATTCGTTTCTCTAGCTTACTCCCCGAACGTACTTGATCTGTGACGACGCCCCCTCCCCTCGATTCCTACCCGCCATGGGATACCGGCTGCGCGGCGAGTTCTGCATCGGATTCGCCTCTTCATTGTCGTGCGTCCTCTCCCACTCGCAAAGCAACGCTTTTAGTCATGCCGCCGTTACAGCCTCGTCTCCCTCATCCTCCTCATATTCCTCCATGTAAGCTCCTTATCCTCCGTGCCCGGCCGGACCTGGTGCCTGACGATGCGCAAGGTCGGCCAAATAAGCACTTCGACCGTCCCTCGAAGCATCTCCATGGTCAGTTCGCAGCCCTACCCATAAAAACCCTCGATTTTCTATCGGCTCATCCCGAGCTCACCCACAGGCCAAAGTGAACACCTCCAACTACGGCGCCGCCCTCGCCGCCGAGTTCAACGACCCCATCCACGGCCTCTACACGACCAACACCTCCCTCCCGCTCTCCAACGGCACCGGCCTGCGCACGCACTACTCCTGGGGCCTCTACTCCTACTGCGCCTTCTCCCCCAACACCACCTCCACCACCAACTCTACCTCCTCCTCCAACTTGACCACCACCTCCTCCTCCTCCGACGGAGAGAAGAAGCTGCACGGAAAATGCTCCAACTCGACCGTCGCCCGCAAGTTCCAGCCCTACCGCGCGCTCACCGCGGACATGATCGCGAACTACACCCAGTTCACGGACAACATCTTCGCCCAGGCCTCCACCCGCTTCGACGACTCCAACTACCTCGGCTCGCTCACCACCCCCGCGTACTATCTCATCCTCCTCGGCACCATCTGCTCCGCGCTCGCCTTCTTCGTGTACGTAACCACCACCAACACCTTCCCCGTTCCTTTTTTTCCCCCAAACTTCCGTGCACGCTTTTCCTTCCTTCCCCCGACATTTCCGGGTCCCATCCGACCCGTCCCATTAAACCCTCTCCACACATTTCATCTCCCTCGCTTCTTCCCCACACTTCCCAGCCTCCCGCCATTACCCCTCTCCACCTCATCACCGGTAACCTCACTAACTCTTCCCTCTTCCCTCTTCCCTCTTTCCCTCTCGCAGCGGCATCCTCCGACACACCTACACCTTCTTCCTCTCCACCCTCTTCGCCCTCGTCGGCTCCTTACTCCTCCTCGTCGCCGCCGCCATCTGGACCGCCGCCCTCGCCTCCGCCCGCTCCGTCAACGCCCTGCACCTCACCCGGCCCGACGCCGCCCCCGCCATCGCGCTCGGCATCCACCTCGACGCCGGCAACGGACTCTTCATCCTCTGGGCCGCCTTCGCCACGCTCTTCGCCAGCCTCGGACCTTATCTCGTCTCGTGCGTCTTTTGCTCCTCTCTCTCTCTCTCTCTCTCTCTCTCTCTCTCTCTCTCTCTCTCTCTCTCTCTCCCTCTCCCTATCTCCCTCTCTATCTCCCTCCCTCTCCGTCTGTCTTCTCTTGTACACGCGGAAGCTCTGATCGGCGCAATGTCTCTTGTCAATCCACAGATGCTGCACGTTCCGAGGATAAAGGATGCAATCGATTCGCCTTTTTTTTATACACCATTCCAAGGAAGAGACCCGCGAACCGTCGTCCATCCGGTCATGGACAAGCCAAAGAAAAAAAGAAAACAAAAAGGAAACAAATCGTTCCGTTCCGTTCACGATCCACTTCCACGTTCCTCCTCCCTCCTCCTCCCCCCTTTTTTCGTACTTATTTTCCAAACCTTTTACACCCTTCCATCCGGACATGGACGAATCCTTTCTTCTTCTTCTTTTTCCCCCCTACTTGCTCTTTTACTTTTTACTTTTTTTTGCTCCATCGCCATTATCGCTCAACCTCAACGAATCCGGACACCTCTCTCTCCTCACACACATACTGACCATCTTGCGCCACCCCATCCCATCCGTTCCGAGCCATCACTCCACCCCCCCCCCCGGGGGAACGCCTATATTCACGATACGAATCGACGAACAAAAACAATCTTCTTTTCCTTTCCCCCTTTTTTTTTCTGTACCACCAAAAACTGACGACGTGGCATCGCCTGAGCTCTCATGATGCTACATTGATACACGCATGCGAACCACGAACACGAATGTATAGAACGTAATCGGAACGGCCTGCCGAATATATATCTATGTAAATGAATTCGCTACATACGAATTCCCCCCCTTCTCCCCCCTCCAATGTTCGCGAAATCCCGACCGACAACTACCATAGAAGGGAGTCGGGTCCTCAGTGGTCTCCGGGCTCCCCCGGGACGCTCCGGATTCCTTTCTGCACGGGCTCGCCTTGAACTCGCATTTGCGTCTTGGTTGCTTGCAGGCGTGCGCTGACACAGCGGGAAATCCCTGGAATCTGGGGAAAACATATAACAAAATTATTCTATAATAACTATGGTTGTTACTGACATATTTGCAGCTAAGCTAGTCTGAAGTTATGACAGATTTATCTCAAGGATGCAGATATATGTCAAAAATATGAATACTTTCCCGGTCTCTTTGCAGTAAGTTTGACATCATTTGGGTCAACTTATCTCGTAGCTTTTCTGAATTATTTTGGCAATTATTTTCGATATATTTTGCCCAGATTCAGCCTGTTTGCCGCAGTGCATGAGCGGCTTATGCATGGCAACTCATGACATGACACAGATATGTACCAGCCGTACATGCATCTCTTTCAAGTTATCGACCTGCCTGGCATCTTCCCCTCCAAGAGCGGATCTACCGGGTCTTCTTCTCGAACGTGCACGATGCTTACGAGACGCCACGCCCCTACGAGCCTGCGATTATCCAGAAGGGCATACTGTACTTTTACGACCATAAGTTCGTCCCCGTTCCCCCCTACCCTTGAACTGAACCTAAATCAGGGTTTTGTCCCCTGTCCCCTCCCATTTCGGCCGAACCTTACTGACCGTGGGAGCTGTTGATACTTACTGTGAGAACAAAGCAATCTGATTGATATCAGTTCATGAACTTCCCACGGGTCCGAACTTACAGCGTGTCCCCTGTCCCCAAGGGGTCCGCTTGAACTTATGGTCGTAAAAGTACAGTATCTATATGCGTGCATCCACGTGTATTACGCGACCGGCCCGGCCCGTACTTACGCTGCTCGACGGTTCGATATGCTCAAGTAGGTTTCATTGGGGGTCTCATGTGCTATCTGCTTCCTTTCATCACTACGGTTCATTGGAGCTCGACCCAAGTCTTAAGAACGAGGCATGGAACTGCTATGCCGAACACAGCCAAGTTCAAACTCGCCTCTTCCGTGTGTTGTCGAGCCTCACGCAACACCGCCAGCATATATATATATACGCAGTACACGATGATCTCTACACTTACTTCTGCCTTCTCGCCTCCATATGCTCAAGACATCTTTTCCCCGTTTACTGCGACAGCTACTCGACTTGCTTCGCTGTTATCTTCGACAGCATCGCGTCCATCGTATTTGGCATGTACTCGGCGGATTGTTGCGCATGCTCTTTCGACGTGGAGGGAGCCACCACACACACCCGAGGACTATCGCTGATGGGTTACAGGGGCTATACGCGTCATCATGCCTTGGGACGTGCCATTCTACGACGAAGGATGTAGTTCTAGCTTCTCGGACGCCCAAGGTCTCGTTATTCCAGCGCGGCAAATCGAAGAAACCCGAACACATCGCTCTTGACATGACAAACGTTTCTGCCATGTCCTCCCGGTCAACGAATAATTTGCTCGCGGTTCCTGGCGCGAGGTCTCCCATGGACAGTCAAGCCTCTCTCTCGTCTGACGTCCTCGCCCCAATGTGCGAGAATAAAGAACAGAATCCGTCGTCCATCAACATCGTTCTGCCTAGCGTTCCCCTTGAGGGAGTCACTCTCCCGTCAGCTGAGTCTCTGGGCATGCCTCCCGCTTCCCCCACCGGCTCCTGCAATGCGTCCCATTCAATCACCCGCCCAAGTTCCATCATAGTATCGGTAACGTCTCCACTCGAACATGAAGCAGGAGCTCGAGACTCCTTCAGTCCGCAGTGGGAGGACCCCAGCGGTGACGATAGCGGAACGAGGGGCTACGATTTAACTACGGGAGTCGCAAATCCTCGCTCGCACGCTGCTTCAGCTCTTGCAACTACTGCCGACACTGCATCAGTCAGTCCATACTCTTAGCCAGGACCCAAATCGTTGAACTCCCTCTCGCTTTTATATAGCATTCTCCAGTAGTAGCCACTCCAGCTGGCGTTACGCCCGCAGAACCAGATTTGACGCTAGGCCCGCATCGTGAAGAATACCCTAATGACTACCTGCGAAGTTGGGCAATATTACCTGTCGATACCGACTACGTCAAGAAATATGTGCGCGGCCTTAAAATGTGAGCGGCGACGGTGGTGCCTCGCTGGATGTATCATGGATCTCATTCTACATGCCGATAGACCTCGTCGCGAATCGACGTGTGAAGTTCCGCCCATGACGATCAAAATCGAGTAGTACGTAGTATTGCACGTTCAAAGCCATTCTCTCACGCAATCACTCAGCGGACCTGCGCCAGACGGGTGGACTCGCCAAATTCATCCCGACGGATGCATCTACTTCTGGGATCCGAAAAGAGTGCGTCTTATTTCGCTGCATCACCATCTCGATACGAATTGCAAGTGACATGTGCTTTACGCGGTCACTAGCGCATGGTCACAGGAGCAGATCTCTACAACAAGGAAGTCCTAGCACGCATAGAGAAGAGCGCAAGGCGTCTCGAAACTGTTAAATGCAGTCTCGGCGAGGAATTTCCAACCAACGCAGAAATCATGCTTGAGCTCCCTGACACCGGAGATGATGCCGAATGCTACTACTATTGCGCGAATCCGGACGCGCGAACACTATTTTGGATTAACAAGATGAACATCGGATGGACTATCAGGGAAGTGAAGGGAATCACTGAGCTGTCCCAAGCAAGTATGAGCGGTTTGCTATCTCAATCGTGTGTTGTACGCTGAACGCGTTGTCAGAGATCGAGCTCGAAGCTCTGTATTGGTATGCCGACATGTCGCTAGGTAAGTATCGTTGCTCATCAATCAAATCAGACCAAAAGACTCACTCTGCATAAGGTTCATGAGCCTAGTTAACGTCCGAACCAGGACTCACTGGGAGCTGTTTCCACTCGATAGACCGGTGGCTCCAGACTTGCTGCAGGAGTTGATCGGTATGATGGTGCATGGTGGTGTTGGTATGCTGAAAATTCTTTGGCAACAACGTTGCGTTGAAGGACCGTCAGATCAGGCAACCTCGAGAAACTCGACATTCCCATACGGTATCGAAAAGGTGATGATGCTCGTGGAACTGCTCAAGAATATCAATTGTAAGGACATATCCTCCGCCTCATAATTGACTAGCACGATCATAGAATAGTCGTAGAGAACGCACATGGATACTCCGCTCAAGTTGTCGGTAGGTCACACAGACTGTCAACGGAACGTTCACTGATGCTGGCATGGATTGCAAGGGCGAGTAATGAACTTCATCCGTACGTTGAAGTTGGCCTTCTACGAGAGACGGGATGTTGACGGTTCTTCAGTTCACACAAGGTTCCTCAACTTGTATGGTCAACGAGAGGCAAGACTCAGCAGTTGGGAATCTATCTACGAAGACGCTGAGGGAGCTCCAACTTTGCTGATAACCATCTTATCCCCGCTCCTGTTTTTTGCCCCGGACATTCATATGAGGAACCTCAAGCGTATATGGGTGGACAGCATCATCGTGGAATCTGCCTGGAAGCAGTTCGTCGATAACATCGAGAGGGAGTGGGAAAAGTATCTCATCCCGGTCTGTTCAAACAACATTTGAGTCGATACGCGAAATCTTACCCTCTTCCCCTTAGGCCACAGTTCTGCTTTCGGTCAATGTACGCGGTTGTCGCATCGGAGCCTGGTAGTCTCTGAACCTGTTCTCCAGCTAGCCTTTCTGGCAATTCCGAGTGTAGTTCAGTCGAACCAAGCCACGAACCTCCAGATCTTGTCAGCGCTCACTCCTAGTCCCGCGAGTCCGGCACCGTCTCTCGCACAACTTGCGTCGTACATCTCAACCGCTTCCTCCACCGGAACCATCATTGTATGTGCCATTACTAGCACGTTGAGAGTGGTGCCTGATTCGTCTTTCGAAGATTGGTCTGCTGCTGGATAGGCATTATGGAAGGAGTCATCGCATGACAGCTGGAGAAGCGGTTAGCTTAGATCATGTGTCTTCTTCGAGCCACGTATTGACGGCTATACCCAGGCAAATGCGCTTGCTGCTAAACAACATCCGGTATATGGCATAGAGACGCTCGGTGAGGATTCCGGAGATCGACATTTGCTCCATCTCACATGTCATCCCAGCCATCCTCTATTCTCTGCCATACGCACTTATGATGTGGGGGTGCGTGCATCTTGCATGCTGTCTCAACCATACGCATGCCCACCCGAACCTCAGCATGGTTTCGTTCGCCGTGGCATGCTGTTTGCTCTTTTTCCAGAATACCGACATCAGAACATGGATCCCTTTAGGTATTGTCTGTTCTATAGGGTTTTCACTCACGATCTGGTGCATGATCAACGTCTGGGATTCCGCTCACCCATGGTTCAACCAATTTTTCACTGCTATTCGCACCTCGAGGCCCGCACGTTTCCTGATGGATCGATGGGAGATCATGACCCGCAGCGCCGCTACTGGGAGCGGGGTCGAATGACGGTAAAGCGCTTCCATTTTGCATCACGACGACCTGAGGATACACCCTCGATCAGTGAGCCCGGATATGCAAGGGAATGCATCTTTGTACCGCACTCTACAGCGACGGTTCATGAGTGAATAACATTATCTTCAATGTCGTGGAATGCAGGCGAAGCCTAATCATTCACTCTCGTCGTCCTCATCCTCATCTCCGCTGTACTCCTCCGCTTCGTCGTCGATGAAGCCGTTAATGCGTGGTTCGCCGTCGTCTGATTCATCATCCTCATCCTCATCGTCTTCGTCTTCATCCTCCTCGTCGGTCTCGTCCTCCTCTCCCAACTCAATGTCCTCCACGCTCCCTTCGTCATCGCCGCTCTCCACCTCGACCTCCATCTCATCCTCATTCTCCTCCTCGTCTTCGCTCTCGCCCTCCACATACTTCCTCACCTCCTTCTGCGGTCCCTTCGCACGAGCGTTCGCCTTGGCGCCTTTAGGCATCGCCAACGGCGCCGGCGCGACCGAGGCCCTCATCTCAATTTGGGACAGCACCATGTCGAGACGACCGCTCAAGGACAGCAAGCTTTCCTGTAGCGCGAGCCTTGCCGTGAGCGTCTGATGTAGAGCCGACAACCGCGCCACGAGGTCCGGCATCTGCGAGAAAAGCGCTTCAGGATCACGCTGACGCCCGTAAGTCAAAGAACAACAAACCGTCATAAGGTGTCCGCTATGCACCGCCAGCACCGCCTTCACCCACTTCACGAGCCCCATCCCCCTTTGCGAGCTCGCGCCCCCTCCGCCGCCCTTCGAGTTCGCCGCACGAGCGCCACGCCCGAGGCGCTCCATGCACGCGTCCAAGAGCGGCACCGCGAGCTGCGGCGGCAGCCGACGTACCGTATTCCGCACGAGCGCCGCGTCCGAGTGCGCGAGGCAGGTCTCGAGCAGGCGCGCGTCAGACGAGTGCAGCGCCTGGATGAGCGTCCGCGTGAGCGAGTTCGCCGGCACGGCCTCGCCGCCGCGTTTTGGGGGCTTGGTACGCCCGGGTTGGGCATCGGCGTCCGAGTCCGAGTCGACGGGCGCGCCGAAGGGGTCGTCGGCGCCTTTGAGCGCCGTTAAACGTTCGCCGAGGGTAAGCTCGGCGAGATCGGTATCGAGGGCGCCGTCGGCGGCGCGGAGCGCTGGGTCGTCGTGGGCTTCGTCTTGGCCGAGCGCCAGACCCGAGCGTACTGCCAATGATGACGGTTCCGCGTATCTGTGCGTCGGCGCGCCCTGTTCTATGTTTAGCGCATGAAGAGCCTTTGGTAGTGAACGCTTACAGTATTTGTTTGACTTGGTGCCGAAGCGGTATCGTCGGGTGTGATCGTCACTTCCGCGACGTATTGGCCCGCGTCGTTCGTGTAAGCCTGATATAACCGCCAATCAACAGCTCGTCCGTCACATGGAAAGGACGGAGGCGTACCACATCCTCGAAGATTGGCCGTACGCCGCCGACGAGCCTAATCACCCTCGCCTGACGTTTTCCTGGAACGAAAACGGCGCTGAGCACCTGTGCCGGCGTCTGCTGTCCCTTCTTCTGCGAAACGGATATGGTCGAGCGCGGGACGAGCGTCGGCACCTTCTGCTTCGACTTTTTCGATATTGCCGGGTCCGTGAGCTCGGCAGGAATGGGGTAGATCGTGATTTTCCCGGATGCGGACACGGCGAGGAGGACATTTTCGGCGGAGGATCCGGGGGCGGGTGGTGAGAGGGCGATATGTCGTGCCTCGGCGTCAAGCGGGATGGATGCGGCAAGCTTGCCTTCGACGGTGGACTCGGATTCGAGGTCCTCCGGTATTTCCCATACGTTCACGAAGCGATCCGACTCGGCAATGGAGAAAAATCGGGTTTGTGAGGTAGTGGAGGGTTCGAGGGAGGTGACTGGAGATGCGTGGCCCGTGACGGAGGCGAGGACATCGCACTCGATGGACGAAGAGACGTCTTCGTGAGTGAGGGAGAGAAGCTGAATAGCATGGTTCGCGGCCAGTAGCTCGGTGTCTGCGTCGTCTTCATCATCACCTGCTGATGGTGGCCGAACGGTTATGCAGGAGTAGGGTATGTGACCACCTGATTTCCAGGTGCCTATTACGATACCCTTGACGGGGTCCCATAAGCGGAGAGCGTTGTCTGCGCTTGAAGTCCATATCCTGTGCTGTTTCTGCGAGACTGCGATGGAAAGGATGGAGGAAGTGCTTGCGGGATGGCTGAGCGTGCTGAGCACGCGTCCATGGGCGGGGGAGAATACAACAACAGAACCGTTCGCGAGACCAAGTAATATCACCTCATTCGCAGTAGACGACGATGCCCCTGCGCTTTCCCGCTGTTTCCTTTTTTTCTTGGTCGGCTCTTCGCCGCCCACGGCCTCCTTCAGGTGCGCCCACCGCAAGGCGGTGACCCGCGCGGCATCCACAGAGTACTCCGATGTACAGCGTCCAGTTGATGCATCGTATACCCGTAAACGATGCTTGTCTACGGAAAGGGAGACTAACGCGAAAAGTTGTCCAGTGCTGGAGAAGGCGGACAGAGAGGGAGACAAGGACGAGGACTCGGGTGCCGGTTGGGAGTGTCCGGCAGTGGATACGGGCCTTTTGCGAGGAGGTCTCGTCCGTGTTCGTTTTGTTTTGTGTCCATCCATGGCTACCGTAGAGTCGCTACTTTCACAAATTTTGGAAGAGGGAAATCGACGCCACGTGATGCGCGAATAATCGGGTCTTGATTCAAGCGTCGGAGTCCTACTTCAGAGTACTTCTTACCGCTCTGTTACAGTCAAGGTATCCCTGCGAGGCTTAACTAGAGGAATATCAAGTGGCATTGCTACCGCCCTTCGCGGTTTCGCCTGGTTTGGCGTAAATGCGTCCTCGAACGTCTCCAGTGGCCCAGATAGAAGACCCATGAACGCCACCACTGCACTCTGTGCTGTCCTCTCCTCAACACCCACCGTGAACGCGACACGAAGATCACAACCTCCGGCATAGAAGTCAGCTCGCTGTCTCACTTCATGTCGTCCACCCGGTTCAGGTTGTTCCCTTGGTTCAAGACAGATGATACGCAGAAAGCCACCACTGTCGCTCATCGTCCATCTTATGGAGACTACGTACTATCTCGGCTGCCCCAGGAACTCGAACGCTACGTATTCGAGATGTCCTGTCAAGATGACGTCCGGCACGCGAGAATGCTAAGCCAGGTTGCCCAACGGGTGCGCATATGGTCGCTACAGCTCCATTACCCGGTCGGCCAGCTGCTCACTCGCAATCTATGCAGGGTTTCCCCATTTGTGAAGGAACACGTCCTCCTTGATGCCCCGGATTACGATCGAAGCGTCCGTCAGCTCATGCGCGACGTCAGCAAGCACCCGCCTCCCGAGTTCTACGTGGGGTCCATCATGATCCCATACAACTTGAAAATTCCGGACGCGATCGTCTTCCTTCGCTCGTACCGCAAGCTCCAGTCCCTTGCGTGCTGGATCAAGAAGGAGCATTCGGGGGACATGCAGAATCTCTGGGCCGCGCTGAACGAGCACGCGCCAGAGAAGCTCAGCATCCGGCTTTGGGGCCTCTTTCGTCAGAGCGACGAGGTCGACTGGTCCGCGCCGCTCTTTCAGAGTGTGACCCATCTGGAGATCGTCGACTCGCATCGCGTTTGGCTCGACTGGCGTGGGCTGGCAGGTTTGCCCAAGTTGACCTATCTGAGCCTGTACTCGGATCTGAGGCCGGAAGGACAGTGCCTGATCGCAGTAAAGGACGCGGTCATGGATATTTTGGAGAACAGTCCACGCATGGAAGTGCTCGGGATGAACGCGTCTCACACGGATGACCGCCGCGTATTCGAGGTGTTTGACGAGGTGACGGACCCTCGGCTCGTGTTTTACCGCCTGCGCCCTCACGGTCGCGTCGACTGGGCGTGGAATTGTCACGCCCGCGGCATGCCGGACTTGTACAACGTCCTCGCAGCGTTCGTGGCCAGTAACCCCACGCCCAAGAGCGGTACGTCCACGTTGACCACCTTCCTGCAAGAGCTAGTGTTGATGGGGTCTGCATGGTCACGCGCAGCTAAGGACCGGTGGTGCGACATAGAGATCTCCCCGACCGCCCTCAGTCGCTTCTTTGATCGTGATTCGAGCAAGTGTCAGACCGGAACAGCAGCCTGACAACCCATCTTTGTACCTGCGCAGACCTATGGACTCGTGTGAGGTCGGCGATGACTCAGAGACCGAATGGTCGAGCACAAGAAGTGTATCTTGGACGGTAGGATTCGCGCGTCACATATTTGGTGTCAAGGGTCAAAAGGATTGCTACGAAAACATGTGGTTCATGAAGCGGAGACGTATCATGAGTTTATAAGCACTGTGAATCCTGTTTCAAGGAACAAGGGAGGTCCCGGGTGATGCCTCAGAGGGCCCTCTTGCGGATCTGAGTGCGCTTGCGCGTGGAACGCTTTGCAGCAGCCTGGCAACGCTCGCCGTACGGCAAGTTTCTGCAGGAAAGTAGCCGTCGACGGTCTCGACAACGTCAACGGCCGAACCGCTACCTCGCATCGCCACATCTTTCACGGCCGTTCACCCTCTCTGCCAACCTGCCCCCAATTCAACGCACCACGTTGGCCATCTTCGGCATAGAAAACGCCTCTATTGCACGAGATAGAAGGAGATTTCATATCATGACGTAGCTAATTACATCCATGGTCCTACCACGGCAGAGGGACTTGAGTGAATGGTACGAGTGCGTCTTATGGAACACAAACGTTACAAACGGGCCTGCTTGACACACACAAATCTCAGCCCCGATATGTGCAGCACCTTGTTCGGGTTCTATAAGCACGACGTAGCAATTGCGATGTGATGCACTCACATAACTAGACGAGGGAGTATTGTGAGCACGGAAGCCCCGAATGCGCCCCACAGAAGTCCAAGGCCAGGGCCGCGAGATACATGGATGCCAAAGGACTGAGATGTCCCATCGCGGGCAAGAAATGTTGACGAGTTGATCTTGGCGGTATTATGAATCATAGAGGTCCATATGGCAGCGCCTATCAGGAGGAACACGCTGCTAAACACCGATAACAGCGCGTTCATAAGAAAGGCCAGGTGATTCTTGCCAAACCGCAGCTCTCTGTTGTGGATTCATGAGTGTACGATGGTGGGGATCAGAGCAATAAACAGAGAGACTGACAGCCACAAGGAGAGTCCTGTACACGTCGTACCCAGAATGATCATGACATAGGCACCTTCGGTGAAGCTACCTAAAGCTCTCGAGTCTCGGAAACTTTGGAAGCCCGTAAAGTTGGCAAAAATCTCCGTTGTATCTGTTTGGTACTGGGCCGGAATGTCTGACATCGTTGCTTGGAACGGCTGGAACTTATGTGCAGCTTGCGTTGACGAGCATGATCCCCGATTGTGTTCCAGAAACCCGCAAAAGGAATAAAGCCCCCAGCGATACGACTTCCGGAGGCCGTTGTGGCCCCCGATGTGTGATGTGAAGTTGGATGCATAGAGATCAGATGCCTTTGTGGAATTACCGAGCCAACGAGCAAGGGCCGACCTGTGCAGAGTGAGAGAAAAGCATGAGAACGTTCTGTTCACCATGGACGGCGGCTAGACCTTACCCATAGTTCGCAAAATTGACCTTAACCTGTCCTTGCTCAACATCAGCTCCAGAATCCAGTGCGAAGAACCATGCCATAGAGTCCAGCATGTCAATGAACACGAGCTGGCTTTGACTGCGTACCAAAGATATGCTTGTCGGAGCAGGCGCCGCGTTGATTTGACCAATCTAGTGCTTCAATTCAAATTCAAAGTCTTGGCCCCGGTCGTCAAATCGCATACATGCAACAAGATGAGTAGGACCACGGAAACGACTCTTTCAAAGGTGCGAGTCAACTTCGAGCTGGTCATGAGCTTCCACAGCACTCACGTCAACGACAGCGCAAAGCATGCTATCGCTTCGCCTCGAACTCGCATCGCCAGTGTCTATCACAGGGAAGGAATACACCAGAATCGATGCAGGTCGCATGAAAAGCCACTTCCGTTCCCGAGCCTCCGAGGCATTGACTGTCCACGAGGCGCAGGCGGTGAAAACGCGGGATCTCATGTCAGTCCGAGATTGAGCGCCTAACCTTGCCCTTCACGACTGCACTCCTTGGTGATCATTGACTTTGCCATGCCTGGAGATTGGAATCCGTGGAATCCCTTGAACTATCTCTGCTGCCTCATCTTGCCTATGGGAACCCTTGATGTCGGTCCGCTAGCGAGAACTTCGGAACGGAACGCTGGCGCAAAGAAGTCTCACGAACTTATCATTACGGACAAAATGTTCGTAGGCAAAGAGATTACTTGGACGATACGTATGCATGGCACTCGAAGGGAGCTCACTAGAATGGTGTTATGCAGAACGATCGCACATGCAGAAGGGCTGGTTAGCTTCGTAGATGGTGATTAACCTAGATAACGGTTGCAATGTCACTTGACATTCCAAACATAGGGTATCCTGGGATATCAAACGAAGCCGTTCACCCCAAGGCCACAATGCAAGGGGTAAGCACAATGAAATCCGTGAGACATATTCCGGTCCGAGCATCTCAACCTTCCCTACCCAGACCATAACGCTCTCCGGTTTTCTCCGCTGGCGGATGGAGTCTCTTTGCATAGAGCTTTGGTGCAATGATGAACTCGTTCTGCGTCAATATCTCAACCTGAATGGACAAACTGAAGGCAGCATGTATATCTCCGTAGACACCGTAAGAATGACCCTTGACAAGACGGGCATGTCAATGTACCGCACCCTCACAGGCTGTTTAGTTCTCAGTGCCATTCAAGGTTATGCTCCCGGATAACTTACCTCCAACATGCTCCGTGGCACGGTCGATAGTAAGTACTAGTATTCGGGACCTCACAAAACCAACACCTCCTCACAACTTGGCATCGCCTGCTTCCTCGTCTAGCAGCTGCGTGGCGTCGACTCGGAGGTTGAGCCGTCGATTGATCCCGGCGCTGCAAGATACTCTGGGATCTCCTACTTCATCATGGCTCGTGCTCAGTTTAAACGGAGGTGATTGTCGAATATCATGTTTCCCGATAGTACCTACGTTAATGCTCGTTTCGCACAGTAAAAGAGTAGGGGCTACGCTGGATATGGCCTCAGCACTATATGGGATGACGGTTGAGCGATATGACCTCCATGCGGCCTGGCCTGCGTATTCAAGGCCGGCCTCTTGTGCAACACGCGGAAACGGTGTTCTGCTAGAAGTTCAAACAGATCGACAATGCTATGGCCCGGAAGACGCCATATCAGTCACGGCCACACTGCAGTCGGAGTCCGCAAGCACTTTACGGGTTGAAGTCGTCGAAGCCAAGCTGGTCTCGATGTCTTGGGGCCGAATGGGAGGAGATATCATCAAGATGCAAGGCCCCGCCAATGTCTCCATCAAAGGCGGGGCGGACCACACCGTTAATATGGAACTTGCTGTACCTATGACAGATCCGCCCTTGATGACAGTTGATCGGAGCGCGCTGAGAAACGTGCAGTATAAGCTGTTCTTCGTTGTTGTTACATGTGCTCTCGAATCGGGGATCAAGTTAGAAACCATGGTGGAGATCCTAATCTCTCCATGGCGCAGGTAAGCTGCAGTGCAGTATTTATTTCAGATCCCGGTACTCATGTTGCTTGACTGACTAGAACGGAGTCGGAAGCCATCGTGAGGTGAGCGCATCATATGTCATTTCTGTTATGAATATTCACGTCTTCTGCTTCATCCGCGTCAAGGCAAATTGGTCCGGAAGCTGTCCATGGTCTCACGTACGATGCCGACCGATGTATGATCACTACGGGCAGGCCGCTCCACAACTCCTGGAAGAGCTATGTTGACTCATCTCCTACGAGTCGTTACACTCCTTCTCCCCCGCGCTCGATGTCACCGGCAGTAGGCGGGCTACGATCGAACCCATCTACCGACTCTTTGGCCTCTTCCATCTCGGTGGGATCTCTTTCTCGACGTTGGTACCGTAGAGTAATAACTGACCGATACAATCCATGCAGGTTCCAGTGTGTCGCACCGGCCGTCCTCCGTTGGGTGCCGCGTTCGTTGGCTCCGGTGCTTCAAAGCAAAATGTCGTCGACATCCAGGCCAGCAAGAGGGACTGCGAATGCCTATTGACCATAATATCGTGGGTGAGATGACAATAGCTCTGTTTTGAGAGGTGTCTGTGATCTGAGATTTCGCCAGTCACTCGAGAGCGCGGGTGGCATATGCAGTGTCGATCATAAATCGTCCCTGCACAGCTTACTAGAAGCATATCTAACACAACGGGCGAATAGGGTTGAGCAGACTTGGCCTCATAGCCAGCCGGACGTATCAGCTCTGCTAAGTCTGAGCCGGGCTGACGCATGTTGTCTGATGGATATCATAGACGAGGTTCGTCGCCGGTGCTTCATGTTTTGCTTTGTTTCCCAACGGGTTCCTATAGGCACTGAAGATCGAGATCGGCTCCCCTCACCGATGCATGAGGCTCCTTCGTCGCCTATGCAGCCAATCCGAATGCCTGCCATCGTCGCACATGCTTCACGGTGATCTCGTCAAGCTGGGAGATGGGGCAGTAGCCACAGGAGGCTCGGCGGACGTTTGGTTAGGTCGGTTCGGATCCCAACGTGTAGCGATGAAAGTGCTGCGCATACACGTTGATCGCGTCCAGAAGATAGCAAGTGTAAGTATCGAGGATCGCCTCTACGTTGAGGCGCCTGACGAACTCGATACCAGAAATTTTGCGAGGAAGCGTCGCTATGGAAGCGTCTCTCGCACAGGAACATTCTCGTCTATCATGGAGTCGCGCCTCCGAATTTGTTCCCTCTGTGCATGGTCAGCGAGTGGCATCCGTTCCGCAACGTCCTCGATTACGTCTGTGAACACCCAGAAGCGAACCGTCCCGGACTGGTGAGGTCTCCCATTCACCCTGACTCCGAAAGGACTGACGCTTTCTTCCTCGCGCAGATTCGAGACGTAGGTAGGTACTACCGACGAAAGCGGAGACGGATCAAACCACTGACAGGGGCATTTGCGCAGCTAATGGGTTGCAATATCTTCACGAGAAGGGCATCGTCCACGCCGACCTCAAGTCCGCTAACGTCCTCGTCAAGGCGGATCACCACGCCTGCCTCGCGGACTTCGGTTTGGCCGCCGTGACGCACGATCCGACAACATCCACGTCGTTCGCTACGTCCATATCGACGTACGGCACATGGCGCTACATGGCCCCGGAGCTGTTGCAAGCCAGTGTGAAGTCGACATTCAAGAGCGACATGTACTCGTTCGCCATGGTCATTCTCGAGGTGAGATGCGCTTTCCGAAGGTGCTATCAAGTGTGCATCCAAGTGATGTCTTCGGGGTTCCTCTGCGACAGATATTCTCCAATAGCATACCCTTTCCGAACATGCAAGACGGTCCTGTCGTTACCGAAGTCTCCATCCGCGGGAATCGTCCTCCTCGTCCGACCCAGGCGACGCAGCTCGGCCTGTCAGACGGTGTTTGGCTTACGATGCAACGCTATTGGGACGCTGACCCTGCAGCTCGTCCAGGCGTGCAAGAAGTGGTCAACGTGATGAAAGTAGATGGTTCGCTGCACGATTGTGAATGTCCCTCCTGCGTAGAACCCTAGTGCAGTAAACACCCCGTCTGCTGTTTGACCTCGGGGGCTTAGGCGCTCCTGAGCGACTATGCATTATGAATCGAGGTATTCGTGCAACACGTGATAATCACATCAGCACATATCTTGGGTCAAACAATAGAAACGGTCAGGTATACACAATGAGTGCCAGAGACCCCCTTTTACGAAGGCGCGCCCCAAATCCGCACCTCACGTCCAGCAGCGCCCCAGATCTCGCGTCCCAACTCACCGAACGCAAAGTCTGCGACATCCTCACCCTCCTGGAGGTGGACGAGCTCCTCCCAGCTCTTGTGCGCGTAGACGCGCACACCGTCCCCACCCGCAACGCCAAACATCTTGGCGCTGTAGTCATACGCGACCTTGTTGATCTTGTGCGAGCCGTCGCCGTACTGGAGCGAGTGCACGCGCGACTGGTTGCGGAGGTCCCAGATGGCGACCGAAGACGACGAATCGGGGGAGAGGAGGTGGTATCCGTTCTCGGAGAAGGACGTGCTTGGGATCGCGAACGGCGGCGCATCGGGCGGCGTGAGCGAAGCCGCGATCGCGCCCGTGCGCACGTCGAAGATGTGCAACGTCCCGCCGGGAGTGGAGAGCGCGAGGAGCGTGCCATCCGGGTGCACGCTCAGCGATGTGAGCGCGGCGTCCACGGGCGCGCAGACGAACACCTGCGTGAGAGTGTTGAGGTCGTGCAACGAGTAGGTGTTGTCCAGCGATGCGAGGGCCAGGAGGGTCTTGGTCGGGTGCACGGCGAGCCCGGTGAGCTCGCCCTTGTGGGTGCGGATGGTCGAGCGAGGGGCGTACTCGCCACTTACGGCGTCGTGCGACCACACCTTCGCAATCTTGTCCGCGCCGGCGGAGAGCAGGAGCGTGTTCTCTCCCTCCTTCTCGCGGAAGGCGACGTGCGTGACCTTCTTCGTGTGGCCCTTTAGGCTCGCGAGCACCTTGTCCGAGCCGCGGTCGTACAGCTGCACCGTCTTGTCGTTCCCGCCCGTCAGGAACTGGCCCGGGTTCGCGGCAGAGATTGCGAGCGCGGTGATGCCCGCGGGAGAGGGCGAGTGCAGGGACGGGATGGTGTGCACCGACGCGAAGGACTTGACCTGTTCGGGGGTGGTGTAGCCCGCAGGTGCCTTGCGCTTGCGACGACCGGCGGAGAGCGTCTGGTGGGTCTCGTCAATGCGCGCGACAACTTCAGCGGGAAGCGCTGCGGAGGAAGCGCCGTCGTCCGACATTTCGACGTCGCCCGAGGCACCGTTGGCAGGGGCGGAAACGCCGAGGGAGGCCTGAACATTGGCGAGAGCCCTGTTATAACCGACAGTGATTTGGTCAGTTTTTGAGGACATATTTGATACTTTTGAATGGGAAAGGGAGGGAGAAGGGAGTGAAGACTGACTCTCGGGCAGCGTCGCGCTCCTTGATGAGACGGGCGACGACGCGAGTAGCCGCGTCCTGAGCGTATAGCGCGTAGCTGAGCTCCTGACGCGTCGCATTGTACTGCTGCTTGAGGGCGAACGTTTCAAGCACGAGCGCGTCCCACTCGTTCTGGAGTGTGTGCAGCAGCGCGGGGATGGACGTCTGCGTCGGCGGACGTGGCGCGGCCGTCTTCGGGTCTATGGTAGCGCAAACGCAGTGATGAGTACGAGCGGCATACCAAGAAAAACTGTTGTAAGATTGAAAGGTACGCACTGGCTTTGACCGTGATGAGGTCGGCCTCCTCGAGTTTTTCGCCGGTGATGGGGTCGGTGCCATTGTCCGTAATGTACTTGGTGATGAGCCGGCGCTCATAGACGTGCCCTGACTTGGAGGAAACAACCGGATCCTGCGGCGGCTCGCCGGAGATGGAGCAAAAGAACATCCTGGTGGTCTTTCGGTTTGAGTCTGAGACGGCCTGCAAGACGGACACAGGTGACGACGAAGAGGCGTCGAGTTGAGGGAGCGCGCACGGAATTCCCACGCTTACGACTTCTCCTCTGCAGTTTCTATTCGATCTAATATCCCTCGATTTCTATTTCTTGGGCGCAATCATGTCAGAGAAAGAGCAACGGCTCGTGCTCGCCATCATAGACTTCCTGAGGACATCGGATTCGGTCAAGGAGGACGACAAGGAATCACTAGAGGTTGCTAGTAGGTAATCTCCTCCGCGTCATTCTATCTTCCCCGACCTCACCATCGCGCACCAGTTCAATGCATCGGTGAGGCATTTGGCGTCGACCCTGCGGACGAGTCCCAGCGTGAAAAGCTGAGCATCAAACCCGCCTCCCTGCTCTCCATCTTCGATGTCTTCCTCAAGACCCGCGACCGCGCTACCTCCAAACCATCGGCGTCCGTTCCGATTCCCTCACCCGCACCCGTCACGCCGTCGACGCCCACCGCCGAAGACAAGGCGAAGGCGGAGGAGCTCAAAGCGGCGGGAAACAAGCTTATGACCGCGAAGAAGTACGACGACGCGATCGGCTCGTACACGAGCGCGATTACCCTTGACCCGACGAACGCGGTCTACTACTCGAACCGCGCGGCAGCGCACATAAGCAAGCAGGAGTACGCTGAAGCTGTTCTTGACGCCGAGAAGGCGATCGAGATCGACCCCAACTTCGTCAGGGCATACTCGCGGCTTGGGTATGTACCCTTCCTCTCTTACGATCGCACATCACTCGAGATGGCCCCACTCCATATTCCAGACTGGGTCAGAAATGCTGATCGGCTTCGTTGTACAGACACGCACAATACTCTCTCGGAGATTATAAAGCGGCCGCGGCAGCCTACCGACGTGGACTCGAGATCGATCCATCCAACTCCTCGATGAAAACCGACCTCAAGGCTGCCGAAACCCGCCTTTCCGATTTGGACTTGGACGCTCCCTCTGCGACCCCTGCAACCTCGTCCCGCTCTCCTCCCCCCGCAGGCGGTGCGGGCGGCATGGCCGACATGCTGCGCAACATGGGCGGACTCGGTGGTACGTTCTGCTTCCATTCACATGTAGTTCCTCACGCTGATATTTTCTTCCGGAAGGCGGGGCAGGTGCAGGAGGCGGCGCTGGAGGCATGCCCGACCTCGCGGGCCTGATGAACAACCCGATGATGATGCAGATGGCGCAGCAGATGATGGCCAACGGCGGGATGGAGCGCCTCATGTCCAACCCCGCCGTGGCGAACATGATGGAGCGCATGCAGGGTGGCGGCGGCATGCCGAGCATGGCCGAGCTCATGGCCGATCCGAGTTTGAGGGACCTGTGAGCGTCCTTACATGATCTCCTGCTGGCGTGAACAGTGTTGCTGATGGTATCTTTGTAGAGCCAGTCAGATGGGATTGGGGCGGGGCGGCGGAGCGTAGCTCGGTTTAGTTCTGTTTTTGCTTGCTTTCGGTGGACGCGAGAACGCTGCAGACGCATGGGAGTCGTTTCACGACACGATCGCGCTTTTAAGGAAAGAAGGTCATATTACCGATCGCATTATTAAAACATGGATCTCTAATGATGACGGCGATGACCCTATCCCTTAAGCTTGCTGTCCATTATAATGCTCGTTGAGGATCCTATCCGGCTGGTGGTCCAGATGGCAGGTCTCCACACTGAATAGTCTGGCAGATGTATTGCGAACTCTCGGCATGCCTTCTGAGGGAGCCGCCTTGATGCCTTACGGCTCCATCGTGAAGAACAATTCGTCGAGTCCTAACACTCGCTTCCACTTATACACACCATGACATGATTGTCTATGTGAGGTCTCCGAGCTCATCCAATGCTCAACCATAAACGCTTCCGTAGGGTAATGCGGTTTTCAGGATGCAGATATGGCAAAAGAATGCCGTAAGTACTTTTCTTCTTTTCACTTTGGCAAAGCGCCCGAGCACTGTGTGGAACGAATCGGACGAAATGGTCCTCCCTGATCGCAAGTGATCGTCTGATCCAGTGTGTTATCCGTCTGCAATATGCAGCGAGATACCCCTGCGTGACGCTGAGCACTCGTACAAAATCATTCTTCCAGGCAATCACAGGAGTTGGGGACAAGATACAAGGCTTTCCGGGTAGCCGTAACGCCACCTCCCCTGGGGGGCGAAGTGTCTGCTAACACTTCACTCGAGCAGCGTCGACGACAAGTTACACAGCATAATTCAATATGTGGCCCATCGAGTACAACGACGGGCATCGGAACCCGGGATCAAGGCATTACGAGCTCGCTGCAACAGTGGGTAGTTTGTCCGCATCGGAGATATCGTCAACATATGATTTGGGGCTAAAGGCTTCGAGCATGAAAATGGAAGCTACGGCCATCTACCGCGATGTCAGAAGATTACCGGTTATATTGGATGATTATGGCTGGATACCTCTATAGCAGTGAGAACAGTATCAAGACCATCGCTTCCATATGCATTTCGGGTACAATCTGTGGACGGCAGGACCTGAGGAAACTTGAAGTACATCTGGCAAATAGGTAAGCCCATTGGCAGGAAGCAGACACGGCAAGTAGCACCCACAAGCAGCCGATGGAGGGTAGGGAACACAATTGTCACATAGATCACCCGGTGTTCCTTGTACATCCGCCAATCCGGTGACTGAAGATGTAAACGACAGTACTTGAAGGCGATGACCATGAACATGAAGCTACAGCGATATTTCGATCAGTGCTCAAGTCCATGGTGGAAGAAGGGATTTGCGCAGACTATGTTATCATAGGTTGTATGTAGTTATGGAGTGGGGACTCGAGTTGGCCTCCAAGTAGCGCGTCCAAGAGTCCATCGTAGTCTATCGATGTTACTTGGTTCGTGGTCTGGGTTGTTGGATAGACCAAACCCGGCGCTCACCCCAGGATGTTACCAGAAATGCTATCAACGTGCAGGTTGTCCAGGATCTGAGTGTGCGGCGTCTCACGGAGGACTCGCCCTGAAAAATTCAAGGCCATCACCACCCGCCGATTGGCATCGACACGGTCATCAATGCACGTACCTCGTCTTTCAGCGGAACAATGTTCAAGACTGGAGCCCTGAGCAAGCATCCAATGTCGGATATTGGGTACATGACGAGACACCGGTAGAAACTTACAGAAGAGCGCACAAGGCCATCATCTGACGCGACTGAGAATTCGTAGCATATCAGACCAACGAAAGCTCACCTGGGCAACAAGCACGATGTTGTTCAGGTCGGCGTGTCTCATCAGGCCAGCATACCCTACGGATGTCGAGAGACCACCAACAAGCGGAAGATAAAGGATAGGAAGTCTGTACGCGAGATGTTATGGATGGTCATGCCCGTGCAGAAGCTGACAACACTCACATACGACGTCTGTCTGAATACTTTGGTACATCACACCTTCCGTGACCCGTATACTTTAATGTCAGCCGAAGGACAGAGAGAAAAAGCATACTCACATGCGCAGCCGCCTCAAAACATGACAGAAAACCCCTATTTCCTACGCCATGTTCAACAAGGGTATAGATGATAATAAGCCTATGTTCGCACCAGGACCAACAGAGTATTGACGATCCAGAAGCCTGTTTCGTACCACTGTCCCGGGCTGCTGGTACCGTCCATGGCCGATAGAAACGAGTCACGGAAAAAACGTTCGCGACAATGTGAAGTTGGCCAATCGGCCATTGTGAGGATGAGCGGGCATGCTCTCCGAATGCAATCGCAGGCATATATACGGCGTTAAACGTGCCCAGCTCCACTTCCGGTCATCATCTGTCATCATCTTGCGGGCCGAATCCGAACTCTCCCAAGCCCTTACTCCGGAAACCACGGAAGTATGCACCCAATTGCGCACGCGTATAAGTATGGTGTAACTGGTGGCGCGAGAAGCAGGATGAGAACCCATTCAAGCGCAAACTGCAGCGGCCACCGTCCATGACGATTGTTTGCGGATTAGCTCACGCATACAATACAGCAAGAAAGATGAGGTTGCAATACCTCTTGTCAATCCTGCGTAACAAGGATCCGCCTAGCATCGACTCCGCTGTCCATGGTCCAAGCCGGATCTGTGCATGGAACACGACCGTTGCCAAGCTTTGAAGACCACTCGCGGACGCTCCTAAAGCCACGAGAGCAAGAGGGCCCTCTAGACACAGAACAATATTTCTAATTCACCTGTGATCTTCTTTTCTCCCTCCATAACCGAGGTTGTTTGTTTCTGCCACATGTATTGTCTCCTCTATAATCATGAGCACAATATGCACATGCCGGCGCATCCGTCTCGAAGAGATGATCTGAAAAAAGAGTTTCGCTACTCAGGAAGAGGTGCTATGTGCTTCCTCCACCGTGCACGCACATTGTGGTTTAACGTTCAACTTCCATAGCGTGTGTGACATAGACCAGTCTCTTGTGGTGCCAGCCTCCTCTGAGATCGAGCAGAGCTCCGTCACAACGATCGGCGAATCTATGATAGATACGGACGTGTAAGCAAACGATGCGAAGGGCCAGCAGCATGGATATCCCAAACCTTGCCAGTCTCAACGTCAAAGATCCACCCTGTAATGAGCGTGTCCTTGAGCACCAGCGGGTGCTCGTGCAAAAACTTGAGGTCGGCATTCAGCGCGTCCTCGACATCGGTGACCCCTGACAAATCCACCTTCTCGACCGCCTCGGCGACCTCCTTGTCGCCCGGGTGTGCCGAAAGGATCAGCTCGCGAAGGCTTTCCGCGGTAAAGGTCAGGCCGCCGCAGTTGGTATGACGGAAGAGCGCGATCTCCTTGGCGCCGGTGAATCGTTGACATATGACGAGCGAGCGAACGACTTCGCGGCTGCGACCGAACTCGAGCGTCAGAACACAAAAAGTGGTGGCATATGAGATGACCCGAAAACGTACACGGATCCGCCGGCGACGCGAATAACCACGGCTTCGCCTGGTTTCAAGCCGAGGAAGTGAGCGGGGCTGGGAATGTAGTCAGTGCATCGGTGCTTAGAGCGCAGATGCAGGAAACTATATAGTATACTCGGCGCGATGATCCATGCAAGACACTGTTCAGCGGAGTGAGAACATGCCTTGAATGCGGACCAGTAGTGCTGAAAGCGGAACATACCTATGATAACTCGCTTCTCGGGCATCATGCTCAGGCTCTTGCCTGCCCCGAAAGTACTGGCATACTGTGCATTGCGAGCCTCGAATTCGGTGTAATAGCTCGACATATTGCTCTTGGTGTGGAGGTACGTGATGAGGAGAGGTGTGTATAATTAGGAACCTACGAAAATGTCTTTTGACATGGCATGTACGGACGCTGATGCAGCGTTGACCCACTTATACTGACCCGCACGAACTGACGAGAAGGGAATTGATGTTGGTCAGCAGAAGTAACAAGGTAGGAGGAGGATCATCGATATCATCCTACAGGGCGCGCTTGACAGCAGTGGACAGTATAGCATCTACCTATGACGAGAGGCGGTAGTTCCGTTCATCTCTGAACTATAGAACAAGTACTAGTGGATACACCAGTCCCTTGCAATGTGCACTCAGGCAAGCTGTCCATAGGGTCAGCCGTTGAGTGGCCCATAACGATCGTAGCAGATCCATCCTGCAAAGCTGTCTTCCAAGAAGGTGATAGATGGGAGGACGAGCACTGAGCGGACCCATCAACTCCGGATCTGAGCCCAAGTTGTCCGACACGGCGACGCCACAACCCCATTCCAGGGTCCCGACTCCCCTCCGTCATTCGTGGATCGAGGTCATACTGGCGAATTATGATATCTCAGGACATAAGGAACTTGCTGGCACCCCCGGACACGCAGACGGCCGAGGAACAATGCCTACAGGAACTAAACGCGCGGTTCGTTTCATGGGATGCATTGCAGGAAGGGGACGCGCTGTCGAGCCTGTTGGCCGACTCCCAGCACCGCCGTGACGATCTACATGACAGAGTGCGTGTATACCGGTATCACTGCGCGTTCACGAGCGAAAGTGCAACTGACCGACCTCCGTCGTAGCTCAGCTAAACGCCTCTCAATCAGCCTTGGATGCGTTACTTACTTCTACAGCCGAAGCTGCGTCTGAACAGCTACACACGGCCCAGGAGCTCTCGCTTCTTCGACATTCGCTCGCGGATGAGCTCAACGACCTTTCCGAGGAACTGGTGTCGTCACAGGTTGACGAACAGCGGGAGCCAACATTGCTGGAAGACGTCGAAACGCTGCATCGCAACCTGAAGGAGCTGCAGAGTGTCAAGACCTATGTGCAGGTTGTCGAACACGGACTGAAGCTCAGGTGAGTGTCACTCTTACTATACCATCGTCTCCGCTCTGACGCGTTTTATTGTAGCGAGAGCGTGGTCAGCAACTTCCGTGAGCGAGCTGGCGCGCCAATTTCTTTGTCTTCTCTTTCCGAATATCGCACGCTTCAATCTTTCGTGACGTCGGTGTCAGAAAAGTGCGAGGAAGTGTTGGATAGCACGGGCGTCCAGAGCTTGCATTTGACGAAATTCCTGGAACACCTACGGAGGCGGACGTGGAGTGAAATCAAAGACGTTCTTGCCGCGTACGTATCGTCGAATCCTTTAGCTAGTCCTGAACGACCTGACACTGACGTTCACGGCTCGTAGACCATTGCTAGAAGCTGCTGAGAAGCTTGGCTGGCCGATGAAGGTGGACTACATTGCCGCGAAGCCGCAGGACCGCAAAGCCTTTGAAGATGCCTTTATGAGCATGCTCAAATTCCAGGAGCTGTAAGCGACCTCCCTACTCGCTGCATCGAACGTTGCTTGACTATTCCCCGGCGTAGTGGTCAATCGATACACCCAACTCCTCCCGAAGGCGAACAGTCCGAGAAAGACGGCGTATATCCCCTGCAAGCCCTGGTGCAACCTGTTTCGCTCCGATTCAAGTATCACTTCGAGGGCACGCGGCAGACCAACAAACTTGACAAGGTGACATCAATCTCTTTCAGTCTAAGGCTTGTCTGGCGCTCACCATGCCGCAGCCTGAGTGGTACTTCACGCACATCCTCAACGTGGCTCACGATCAACGACCATTTTTGGAAGCAGTTATCCAGCCCTTACTATCCTCCATATCGTCGTTCAAGCATATCGTAGCTTGGGTATTTACCGCACCTTCGCGCATATATGCAGGCTCTGTATGCTAACATAACTCCACCAGCGCGAATTCACTTATCTCCTTCTTCCTCTGCCCTCTCGCAAGCTTCGGCGCACGATGCCTTTGCTTTTGGGCCATCCGCCGCTTTTGGCGCATACAATCTACCAAGCGCTCGCTTTCGACGGGGCCCTTAGGGAGGAAGGCTTCGGCTTAGCAGGTACTTCGCGCGCTACGACCTCGAAAGTTGACGAGGCGAAGGAGAAAGAGTGGGAGGGTGTGAGCGAAGTCATCCTGGGCAGGAAGGAGTGGTTCGATGTATGGCTGGAAGGCGAGCGCAAATGTACGTCGATTTCAATCAGCCTGCATCGTCCGTCCGGTGACCTGTTTGCGCAGTCGCGGAAGACCAGTACATCGAGATCATCAGCGCGCCTGACGCGTGGACGATTGCTCACGACGAGAGCGACGACGGCGTTCCGAGCGAGCTCCGACCGACGAATTCTGCGAGGAGGGTCAAGGCCCTCGTTGAGCAGGTCACGGATCGCTACTCGCCACTCCCACAATTCACGCACCGTACCCGTTTCCTCATTTCTGTCCAGCTGCCGATTTTGGAGCAATATCATTCGCGCATATCTGCGTCGTTGGATGCCTTCGAAACACTCTCTTCCTCCCTTGTGCGTGCGGTCCCTGGCGCCCTCGGCGTTGGTGCGAGCGGAGTCGGCAGCGGCAGCGAGCAGGGCGTAAGATGGGGAGGTGACACACGGAGACTGACTGGCGGTGTGGAGGGCGATCAAAGGTTGTGCAAGGCTTTGGTCAGCGCAAGATACATCGCGAACGCGATGGAGACCTGGGGTGAGGATCTGGTAAGCCACCTCCTTCCGTTACGCTATCGTGCATGATACATCCAGCTCACGATACTGCGGTCCAGTTCTTCTTGGAGTTGTGGTCAGAGATAAACCGCCGCGCATCCCTTCGTGCGCGAGCGGGCGAGAATCCGCTTCTCCCTGACCCAGAGAACGATGACAAGACCGTGCCCGACTCGACCATATTCGAGGAGCTCATCGCGCAGTACAACAAGGTGGCATCACGCGCAGAAGAGATGATTGTCCATCACGTCTTGGGGGAAATTGAGGGCGCCTTACGCGCGCACTTCGCCGCGGCCATATCGTAAGGCATACCCTGCCTGTCTCCTCGGGCGCAAGCTGATGACTCCTCACTACAGGTCGAGTCCGCAGATGCAGCAGACCGAGGATGACGTTGGGGTTTCACCGACGTTGATTGGGTCGATAGCCCTTCTCTCCTCACACCTGACGTTCCTCAAGTCCACACTGCCGCACACAACCGTACTCGCCCTCTATCGCTCAATCGCCTCCAGGCTATCTTTGCACATACTCCAGCGGCAGGTTCAATATCGCGGACGGGGTCGAATCTTGCCCGCAGAAGGCGCCTCTATCCATAGCGAGTGCGAGCTGTGGCTCGAAACGTCACGCTCCGCTCTTGCCGGCACACCAGGTGTGACTGCCGCGAGGACGGAGGGCCCATGGCGAAGACTGCTGGAAGCCGGGAGGTTGTTCGGCCTTGTCGGTGATGACTGGAGGAAGGTTATGCTGATGACGTTCGGAGCACACGAGGATGAGAAGTGGGAGGAGTTGGTGGCCGGCGTGGTTGGCTTCAGCGAACTGAGCCGGGAGGAGGTCGGCCAGATACTCCGAACACGGTCAGATTGTGAACTTTGAACGTTGAACCCGCCAGGGTGGTAAAGGGGTTCGCACGACGGTTGGAATGATGGGCATGTTGTTGCTTTGATTCTATGATTGACACTAATAAATACATGGGTATGCTCACACAATACACAACAGGATGAGTACACTATCGACAGCGAGAACATACAGAAGGGGAAACAGTGCGAACACAAAACCACCGAGCACAGACAGCTGATCAGACTTTGTACACGATGCCCTCGCTGTACATCAGCTCGTCGGCGTCGGACATGATCTGCAGCATGGCGGTCGCCTCGGCGGTGCCAAACAGCTCCGTGGTTGGCATGCCCTCGTTGATGATCGGCAATAACTCGGCGAGGAAAATCTGCTCGGTGTCTTGCAGCGTGGTCCGGAAGGCGGCCGCGACCCGTGTTCGGAAGAGTTGCAATCTGTTGACAGACGGGGATGTGCGCCTCCGGTGAGTATACACGCGGACGCGGGGATCAAGGTGCCAATACGTACCGCGCTTCCTCGGATTGGCCACCGCCTGGAGCGGCCGCAGCCGTGTCGTGTCGCCCGTCCACGTCCATGTCCACGTCTCGTGCGTGATCTCCCCAGATGGGGTCGTCCCTCGCGTCGTCCGCGCCGGTGATAGTCTTCGCCTTCTCTTGTTGTACTTCCGCTGGCATAGGCATGCGCTGCGACCCCGCTGGCTCGTCTTCGTCGCTCTCCTCTTCTGCGGTCTCATCTTCCTCTTCGCCTTCGTGTGGCACGGCCGCGCCAGCGTTCAACTTTCGCTTTTTATGACGCTGTCGCTTGAGCACCTCCTTGTATAGCGCGAAACGAAGGATCTCCTCCGCGGCCTCTGCATCTTGCTGTTGCACCTTCGGCGAAAGGCGTGCTTTCGCGTGCGCGGTGGCTAGACGGATGAGCGTCTCGAGCGTCCGAGCCGTTAAAGGAGCGGTCTAGAAGCGCAGAGAAGCACGCTAGTCAATATCCCACCGATTATCTGGGTTTAGGGGTCCGTCCGCTCACCCGCCGATTGTTGCCTTCTATCTCTTCATTCCTCAAGTCGGCGTAGACTGCCACGATCAAGTCCGCCGCGCCCTTGGTCAGCTGCGGGTTGGGCTTGCTCTTCGCGTACTGTATGTACTTCTTCACGAACGCGATGCTCAGCACCTCCTTCTTTTTCGTCGCCTTACGCGTGCGGGTCGCGGGTCCGGAGTTGATGCCGATGTGCAATAGCGGGTCGTACTTTTCGAACGGGTTTACGTCCTTGTCCTCGTTATCCTGCTGCTCCACCGGGCCCTCCACGACGAGGGGCTGTGAGAGGATGTCCGTGACGGGTGTCCCTTCCTCCACGCCGGGAGGCAGATATCGATGCATCCGCAGGACGTGATCCGCAATCATACGATCGCGTTGCTCGTCGACGTCGTCCGTGACGATGAAGAGCAAATCGAAACGGGAAAGCAACGAGTCGGGAAGCGCGATGTTCTTGTGCGGATCTTTGTGCACGTCATACTGAATTCACGGATCAGTGGCGGAATTCTCGCTTGGGTGCGTTCCCCTTTATCAAAACGCATTGAAATAAAAAATCAACGCACCTGGCCGTATATAGGATTAGCAGCGGCGATGACGCTGCAGCGGGCGTTCAGGCTGGTGTGAATACCCGCTTTGGCGATGGTTACAGTTTGCTGCTCCATCACTTCGTGTATCGCGACCCGGTCAATATCCGACATCTTGTCGAACTCGTCGATACAGACGACTCCTCGATCAGCGAGGACCATCGCTCCGGCCTCGAGACGCCGCTCGCCCGTCTCCTTGTCGGTGGTCACCGCAGCAGTGAGACCAACACCCGAGCTTCCTCGTCCCGTCGTGGCAATAGCGAGCGGCGCGGTGCTGAGCACGAAGCGGAGCAATTGCGACTTCGCCGTCGACGGGTCGCCGACCATGAGCATGTTGATGTCACCACGGATATGCGTGCCGTTCTCTAGGTTTTTTTCGGCTCCGCCTAAGAGGAGCAGGAGGATGGCGCGCTTGATATAGTCGTGACCGTAAATCGAGGGTGCCAAAGATTGGGATAGGAGGTTGAAGATGTCCTTGCGCTTGGCCAGCTCGTTGATGACGCGAATGTCGGTAGCAGTCACAGGAGCCTGAGCGATACCTCCACCGATTTTCGAGGAGAGTAAGTTGATGTTGTTCGCGAGTATGAGCGTCCTGAGTCCCATGGTCAGTGAGAGTGTGGGGTATGATAATATGGATGTGCTTCTCACTTGAAAGTGCCTCCGCCTCCACCTCCAACGCTGCGGTATACGCCCACGAGTTGTATCCGATCGCCTGGTTTGGTTTTGTCCACGAGATCGTCATCCAGAATCACGTCTGTGCTGCGTGGCAACTGGCCAGCCGGGGCGCGTTCCGGCATTTCCTGAATACTGATGCGCTGGTGGTCCTTGAATACGCAGTAACCGTACTCGGTTTGTAACGGATGTCCCTCATCGTCCGTTTGGGGAGTGACAGACGATGTGGGAGGAAGATTGGACGTGGAGGTGCCGTCGCGGTATTCCCTAGCGTGAAACAGTCGGGTGTCGGGGCAGTAGTGTACGGATTTGAGCATCTTCGGCCTCACTAACGAGCACCGGGTAACGATCCCCTCCAAAGATATCATACTGCCGATGTATGCGGCAGATAGTGACCGCGGGTTGACATGGTGGTCGCCAAAGGATCCGCTGAAACCGACGTGGTAGCTCTTGCCCTCGATCTCGTGCTTCTCCGAGTCGAACACCTGCTGCACGACGTTCACAAGCGCGTCATCAAAGGCGGGTAAGAAATCAACGGGCTGTTTGAGGAGACCGTCGCAGAAGTCACGTCGGTAATCGCGCAGGTCGTCGATGTTGACGATGAGGCGGTTGCGGTCTTCGCGGAGCATGCGAAGGATGTCGCTCTTGTAGTCGTAGACCGCCGATTCCGACTGCAAAAACTCCTCAAATATACGCGTCCTGTCGCGCATCTGGTCATCTTGGGCTTGCGGCGCATCGAGGAGGGACATGGCGGACAGACGCGTGTCGTGGAGGGAACAGAGAGCAATTTACGCGACGCGTCACACCTCGTCACACCGCATATATCGTCACGCAGTCGTTTTCCGGTCTTTCTTCGCGACTTCGTTCTCGACCAGTTGATCCTATGATCTCTGCACGAAGAAAAATCGAATTCCTTTCTACCAGCGAGTACGAATTTCGAAGCGTGGTTGAACATCTGGCTCAGGCTCCAAGCTCCGCGGTCGGGGTATGCGGGAAGGTACAAGACAACCACCTGGAAAACGCTCGGTACTCTGCAGATCCGGAGATGCGTCTCATCTATGCTCGCCTTGAACTTCCGACAACTATGATGGCTGGTAGCATATCCATTTGACGGGATCTCATTCCACCAAGCAGAAAAACAAAAACCTGATCGTATGAAGGCCGCCCGACATTTGGCTTTAGCACGACCTCCTTCTGCACCGGAGATAGCTTATCGACGCCCATTCCGATATACGTATGTGTCTGCGTACCAATCGAGAGTGTCGCAGGCATTGCCGTCTCGCGCAAGAGCCCGCGCCTCGTTCTCATCTCCGCCGTGCGCGAGGAGCAAACCTACACTGGTGCTGCGCGCGTACGTACGGGATGCGTTATCGGAATGCAACGCTCTCCGCTGGCACTCACGAATCAAATCAGTCTACTGTATGCGCGAATCTGCTATCGAAAATCGATTGCCTGTCTGCAGCCTGATAGCACAAGCCCTGCGAGGAGCCGTAAGCTCAGCTTCCGATAACCGATTGTGGAGCTTATTGCTCGTTATTCTCTTCCAGAAGGCGGTGGCGCCGTGCGTCGGCCCTAGACCGCGAGCTCCCTCAGTACCATCAAGCTTGCTATTGCATTGACCCTGCTCCTGCTTCTGTGTTTGCTTCCCAGGCACACCATCCACCAGCCTCGTGTATGCCCTTCGCCTCCCCTCCCCGAACATGGCGAAGCCGAACCGAGGACTTCTGTTCCCTCAACTGCTTTCGCACACATGACACTTTCATTAACCTCTATTGGACGTCCGGTCATTAGAACGGTAATGGACTATCCCACCGCCATTACATTCGGCAGCCGGAGGTCCGCCGTTGACGTGAACCACCCGAGGTAACTTCAGTGGCGATTAATCGACACCCGCGGTGAGCCTAAAACCAGTGACAGCTCGATGCATTCATCCCGCCCTTCCGAGGTCCGACGGACGAGTGGGGCGAATCTGGCCCACAACGCCGCACAGGGCAAGTCAAGCCTATCTGACAAACCCCGCAGCCGACCCGGCACGTATCTTCGTCCCCTGAGTCCCCCCGTACTTACCCAACTTTACGGCCAAGCCGCGAACGGCGCGTTATGCCTCTCTCACTCTATTCATACCACCGTGGGCACGGAGAGCCTCTCCCACCTCCCACCTCCGCAGTATCAGCGTTTCCCTTTGTTGAAGTTTGCCTAAAACCCCCCACACGCGACTCTATCGGGGGGGGGGGTGGCGAAACAATAAATCAGCCAAACGGGCGCGAGGTTTTTCAATTGCCCCCCCCGTCAAAGGTTACGGTGCTTCCGCGAGTGCAAAACCGCACGCCACAAGTGCCATTCGAGGGAGTCTCCATTCTTACAACGTCGTTCTCCTTCGTCGTACCAAGCCAAAGCGGCTGTCTCAGCCGGCCGGGGGATCCGCAAGCCGCGCACTCGATTCAGCAACTTTTTGTTCCATCTCCCATCCCCTCGCGTCGTGCGTGAGCACATGAGATCCGCAGTTTTAGCGTGACCCCCGGGATCAGGGATCAGGCAGGGAGAGAGAAACTGTTCGCCTAAGTAGTGTATACCATAAGCCCGCAGACGACGGGAGCTCGAGGGCCATCCTTTTCGCAAACGCGGAGGTAGGCGAGATCTCGACGATTTCGCGGACTTTTCTTGCGCAGAGGCACGTACGGCGCCCGGAGAGTGGTTACTTTTTACCGCATCGAGGAGGGGTTGGGCGGAGAACACGGCATGCAACGCGGTTTCAGCCGAAGTGAGTCTCAACGGAAACGCGGGCTGTTTCACGCTGAGCGCGGTTTCGTCTCGGTCGCCTGGACTTGGCCCGCTTGGCTTGGCGCGTCGTGGTCGTGCGTGGGCGGGAAAGGCGATGATGTCGACGTTTAGCCCCGACGTCCCTCGGCCGGTGCCCACACCTGGCTGCGGATCGCGCAGCTCGCCCGAGCCACGGACGTGGAGGATGCCCGGCGCCGTCGCACAATATACCAGTGCTCTGGGTTTATGTACGCCGTGTCAGGGAACGGGACGAGCGTTGGATTCTGCTGCGTTAACGCAAGGATCGTGCACAGTGTTTAGTACAAACGACGACACGGCGCTGAGACGCGCCACGATCGTGTCCAATTGAATAACTTCGGGAGGTGCGTACAGTGCCAATTACGTGGGGGGGTACTAACGACCCATTTGTACGTGTGGTGTAACAATGCATATCGCGACAAATACCATAACAATAGTGTGCTGAAGTTTTTTAATGTGTCGCGACGAATGGAGGAAAGGACCGTTGCGGATGTCCCACCAACCGAGCCTAGCGCTGCTCGTCGCTCCGAGAAATGTTACAATGGACCAATACAAGAACGCGCTCCATAGGGTGTAGAAATGTGAAGGGATAGTGGCCGCGTTCGTGGTCAACCAAACTGCGTAGGACGGCCGGCGGCGATCAGCAACGGGAAGCGAGGACGCGGAAGAGCGACGAGGACTCACCGAACCGAGTGATGCTAAGAATACAACAGGCAACGAAACGAAAAGACGGATCACCAGTCAGAGGGTTGTCGCTCGTGGCCGTGTGCGTGGGGTTCCCGCTTCCAGTCGGCGTTGTCGCCGCGGCGCCAGTCAGCGTTGTCGCCGCGCTTCCAGTCGGCGTTGTCACCCCTCTTCCAATCCGCATTGTCCCCCCGCTTCCAGTCTGCGTTGTCTCCCCGCTTCCAATCTGCGTTGTCGCCCCTCTTCCAGTCCGCGTTGTCCCCTCTCCTCCATATGGGTCTCCCCCGGCCCCCGTCAGCGTTATCGCCCCGCTGTAGATGACGCCGGTACCGGTAAGCAATAGATAGCTGATGTCGTAATGGAGGCACGTACCTCTTCTAATACGGCATCACGCTCCACCGCGGCGGTCTGATGATGAAAGCGCGGAAGTGAGTACCAGGACTCTAGACGATGGCGCGACGGAGACGACGTACGGGGACGGCGACGCTGAGTGTGACGAGCAGCAGCAACAGAAGCGCGCAACACCTCCAGAAGAACATTGGAGTAGCGGCGAGTCAGGGTATGGTCTGTGTGTGGGCGGGGTTGTGTCGTTGGGAGGATCCGAAACCCGGCGGAGCCCAGGTGGTTTTATGGACCGGCCGGATTTGGGTACCACCTATCGCTCACGTGGGAACGATACAAAAACAGGCACGTCCATCAGATCAACTAATTCCGTTCCTGGAAGATGCCATTGGCCACCGGCATCTCTCCATCGGCGGTCGAGCGGGTCTAGCTCCGGACCTCGCCGCATTCGGCGCGCCACCCGCAGATCATTGTGGCAATCGTCTCTTGGGGAGATGCCCATCCGCTGCAGACGGCGTTCCTCGCTTTCTGACGGTTCATTTGGGCCACCGTAAACCGGAATCCTCCATCAAGCCATACATCGTTCTGGCCGACGTGCCGCGCGAGGATGGTTTTATCTTGCGACGAAAGGGTGGGCCCTGTGACAAAGTGCCCGAGATAACGGATCTTGATTGCGGCGCTCGAGCCCAACCTCGTGGATACCTCACTCGAGGGCAATTTGGAGTGCGCGCCGCCGCCCACCCCCTCTTCCCCCTCTTCAGGCCTTTTTGCTTCCATCCCAGGTCGGGGAAGGATCTGGAAATGGCCGGACTCTCCTCGCGGGTCAATATGATGATTATGGCATCCCCTCGCAGATTCCTCCCAGATTGCGCCTCCATGCGGTCGGCGCCGTTAACGCAGATCACCACCGATGATCACGGGTTTCCTTCCGGCTAGCCCCTTGTGGCACATACATATGCACGTAGCTACATAGAAATCGTCATCTGTCAAGAGAGCGAATAATACGGGCCTGATAACAAAAAAACATCATGCTAGCACCGTCGCATGCAGTAGAGTGCCTTGATATTATTGCTCATAGCACGACAATCAATCAAGCATCGTATGCAGCTATCTTGAACTCTATCCAGCGGCCTCTAGCAAGCAACGCCCGATAATATCACGCTTGGTCAGCGGTGGTTTGCGTTCTCCCCGATAATTGGCGAAGGCCAAATTACTACTCAAGGTTGGAACCCAGGAATGCAAGTATTACCGTCCCATGACTGCGTCATCATCACAAGGTGCTGCTATCTTGGTACATGGTCTCTCCTTTTTACAAGGGAAGCTGCCACGCAGGGCACAGGGGGGGTTTTGCGTTGGGCAGGTGACAAAAGAGCATCGGCCCGCGTCCTGGGTCCGCGACAAAGTGGGTGACGAACGCGGAAAGAGGGGCCGAGGAGGAACCGGCGGCGGAGCCAGATTGCCCCCCGCCCGCAAGAGGGGCCCCAAGTCGGGAGAGGGGAAGGGGAAGGGGGGAGAGGCAACCACGATCCATCTCTCCGTGCCATCGGCCGCGGCTATGATGTCATCGTCCGTCGACGCGCCTTGCTTAGTCCTGTTGCGACCGCGAAAGAGCGTGAGAAACGCCGAAAAAGATGGAGATTATGATTGATTTTTCTTACCCAGAGCTTGATCAATCCGTCCCAGGAGGCGGTGATGACTTTCGACTAGATACACATCATCATCAGTCAAAAAAAAACCCGTACCGCGCGGCGCAGAAGGCCATTAGACGACGTCACGACACTCACAGTCTCATGCGGCAGCCATTCGTGCGCGATAACGACCTTGTCGTGCGCCTTCAGACGCGACTTGATCCGCCCCGTCTTCCAGTCCCAAAAGATCATATATCCTCCGGAGTCGCCGCTGCTGATCCACTTTCCGTCCGGCGAAAAGCCGACCTGGCAGGCGTAACCCGCGACGGAGTGGCCCGCGAACCGTTTCTTCCGGTTCTGGCGGAAGTTGTCGGTGCTGTAGATCAGGATTTGGTTGTCCAATGACTGGGCTGCGAAGTATTTGACTATGCATAGCGGGTTCGTGTGAGCCGAGCCTATTGACCGAAAGTGACAGGCGTGGTCAACGCGGACGTACGGGAAGGGTGGAGTGTAACAGCAGGCATGGAGTGCATGTGAGGCTCGGCGATATATTTGATGACCACCGGGATATCGAAGTCCCAGGCGCGAATCGTCTTGTCATCAGAGGTCGTTACGAACCGTCTGTTCTGATCTACGAACGTGATAGTGTTGACCGGGCCGAGATGCTGGTCGTATTCTTGCGTTATTTCCCCACTGTTGATGTCGTACTGTGGGAGCGCGCGGTCAGACGGCGGCGCCGATGCATCAATAATGGCCGAAGCGCCATACCTGAATGATCTTCTTGTCGGACATCCCAGCGAGGAAGATGTGCTGCTTATCATCGTCGGGGTGGAATTTGACGACGTATGGAATCTTGCCGTTGCTAAATCGTTTGATGCACTGCCCGGTCTCGGTGTCCCAGAGCTTCATCTGTCGGTCGTAGCCGCAGGATAAAAATCGGCGACCGTCGTTGGAGAACGTGACGTCCTTGACGGCCTTCACATGCCCGTGGAACGTACGCAGACAATTGCCATGCGTGTATATATCCCAGAGCTGATAAGCGCACCCGTCTTAGTGAGTACGGGTCTCGGTATAGGTAGATTGGCGCCATGCACCCACCTTGATTTTGGTGTCCATTGACCCGCTGAGCAGCAGATGACCCGTCTGAGGGAACGTCCGGATGACAGAGACGCCCTGTGTGTGACCGGTCCAAGTATGGATGCATGTTTTCGGTATGAACGTGTCTTGCGACCCTGGCTCGGCCTGCAGCTGCGGCGCCTCGCCGACCGGTGGCGACATGTACGTCCTGCCCTGGTAGTCGGTCATGGACTTGCCGTGGAAGACGGAGTGTTCCTGCCCCGGCGCGCCCTTCTTCGGCTTGGCCTTCTTCGTCTGCACCTCCTCCTCCTCCTCGGACACCTCCTCCTCCCCCGGCTCGGCATTCGGGTCGACGCCGTCCGGCAACACGCTCTTCGGCTGGTCCCCGTCCCAACTGCCCCACGGCCCGACGTATGCCCCCTCGCCATCGACGACCTCCAGGTCCCCCTTCTCCTTCCGCTTCCGCTTCAACTCCTTCTTCTGCGACCGGCTCGCCTGCACCCCGTCCACCGTCCGGAAGCCGTTCGCCCGCGCCACCTCCATGTTGCCGATGATCGCGGGAGCGTTGGGATCTATGGAAGGGTTCGCGGAGTAGCCCAGGATGTGGTACGTCAGGTGTTGCTGCCGGAACGCGTGCTCCGTCATCTCCTGCTCTTCCACATGCCCGGCGAGCGCGTTTTGGTTGATGAAGCGGTTACGGTCACCGAAAGGGTTTTCGGGGCCTTGGATGGGGAGCATCATGTCTTGATAGGGGATGTTGACGTTCATCTGCGTGTCCGTAGGCCGCGTAACCAGTGATGTTTGCTTGAGCGGGTCCTAGACATGCCCGCGTTTAGCGTCCGTGTGGCTAGAGAGGTTTGTAGCAGCGAAATATACCTCCGCCAGGACGTGAGGCGCAGAGTCGGCTGGTGCTGGAGCAATGATTCCCTTCTCTTGCACCAATACCCGAGGTTTCTTGGCCGCATGGATGGCAGACAGGCCGAAGACATCGCCAGTCGGTGGTGGCGAGCCAGCATCCTCGTCAGACGAGTAGCCCTGTATGAGCGACATGGCTCAGAGTATTAAGGTAGGGTAACACTCTTATAAAGAGTGATATGAGTGAGTCTCGACCACTGAGTCGACTGGGATGCGAGGTCCTTGTGACTGAGCGCTGCACGGTGCAGACGCCAAGTGACTGGCAAGACGAAGCAGGATGACACTGCCACCGTTCTCACTCCTCTTTCTGCAATCGTTATTATCGCGCGCTCAGTGTTTCTCTCGAGCAAGTTCGCGGGTCCTACGCGGGGGATGGAGAGGGTCGGAAGGCCATGGACAACTGAAGAGGATGAATTGTTGAAACAGGCCGTCGCCGTTCATGGCGAGACGGACATGTGGAAGACGATCGCGCTCTCGGTTCCCGGGAGGACGAACAAAGCCTGCAGGAAGGTAAGGATGGTGATGATCAATGTCAAAATCCTCCAATGTATTCATGCGATGCCTTATGGAAGCGTTGGCTGCATTCGTTGTCACCGTCCGTGAAGAAAACGGCATGGACGAAGGAAGAGGACGCGCTTTTGCTCTCGCTGTATGCCGTTCACTCCACGAAATGGGCGCTTATTGCTCGGAGTATTCCTGGACGGACCGACGATGCATGCTCTAAACGCTACCGCGAGGCATTGGATCCTGCGTTAAAGAAGGTGCATTATAAATTCTTGGTGAAACCCCGTCCTAGGGCTGATGAGAACGGAAGGACGACTGGACGTCTGAAGAGGACGATCGGCTGCTGGATGCATACTCTCGTCTAGGTGGTAGATGGAGCCAGGTTGGTCAGAGCCTTCAGAGAAGCGGACTTGCATGTCGCAATAGGTGCGTGCCACGCATTTACCCGTCGCAATACACCCTAACTCAGACTGCATACGTTCCGTGTAGATGGAGGCTACTTCAAAGGAAGCAATCCAAATCGACCCCTGGGCAAGGAACAAACGCGGACGCCACAGGAGCTTCGTATTCATGGGAAGACATGTCAATGCTCGACCCTCAGTACTGGATGTCGCAACTGCGCCCGTATCCACAGTTCGGGCCCGGAGAATACGGTGCCTATACATCGGGACATACAAGTTTACAAGACAATGGTAGAAAGGGTCCCGAATTGGATATTCCCTCGTTCTCGCCCTCGGACGCTTCCGCGGAAGTAGACGGCACGTCTCCCGTTGACTCACCTTTCCACCATACTTTATCTTCTCTGAGGCATACCCAACCCGTGCCTGAAGAGAGTTCTTCAGTAAACGACTTCTCTCACCCTCCCCTGAATCCGCGCGCGCACGGCCGGTCCGTTCTCCCTTCCCAGCCAAATGCCTCCGTGCCTGACGCCGAGAATGCTTCTTCGCCTTCCCAATTTGACGATACGCCGCACCCTCACGACGATGGCACATCACCGTCATCGATGCAATATCTGGTCGATCTCGTGATCGATCGTGGACATGCTTCAACCCCCGCTCTTTATTCCGCAGGTATGACCGGTCCGGGTGTCAACGCTCATATGGACCAGAATATGGCGCCAAATACAATAGGACACCACGCCAGCGCTGGTTCTATCACGCCTGAATCGCCGTCGGCCGAGGCCACCCCGGAGCCGGAAGCATTACACCTTTCAGCTTCTAACACTGAATTGAGGACCGAGCTTGAGCGCCACGAGCATGAGGTGCCCGTTCCTTCTCTCTCCGGTGCCTATCAGTCGAACGCTGGTACAACTGGACGGCCCGATAGGGTGGTGCAGGTACCAAGGCTGTCTTCGGCGTTGGCTGTCAGTGGAGAGTGCGTCAATTCTTTGCGGGATATGGTTATCCTTCCATGTCTAACGCGAAGACTGGGCCTGGTGTCATTTCGATTTGCAGTACGTCTGTAACCGGATATGCTTGCGGACACCCCGACTGTTGGCCAGATGGTGCGGCGTCCAGCCTGGCTAAATATGCCACATCCGGAGAGCTGGTGAATCACTTCCGAGCTGACCATCCTGGTCACGCACCGGGCGCTGCGAAGCTCTATAGATGCGGGCTGGATGGGTGTGCCAAAGCGTGGGCGGTGAGTCTGTTGTTTCACGTTGCCGGTGTCGGCGCCGGACTGACATGGAGATTGCAGAGCGTCAATGGTTTGCAATACCACCTGCAGATGTACGTATACCATAGATGTTTCATGCCGGCGGCGACCTCCTCCTGATCGCACCCGCAGATCGAAGGCGCACTTCCGGCAGGCCTTGAATTCTGCCGTTGTCGGCGCCCGCTCGCACAGCAAGGGCGAAGGACAGCCCGAAACGGATGCCCCCCGTGCCCCTGACAGAACACAGAAGAAACGAAAGCTGCATCCATGCCCACACGCCGGCTGCCCGAACCAGTACAAGCAGCTTAGTGGGCTTAGATATCACCTGGACCATGTGGGTCTTTTTCCATCACCCTTCACCGGTGCCGCTGCCTTTGCCTCTGACTTCTGGCTACCTAAAGACACATGCGCACACTATGCCGGTGCAATTGAACGATATTCCTCCGACTCTGGCCCGTAAGGTTGCAAGCGCACGATGAATCCGCGCGTTTCCGGCCGAGGGTATGACGTCACGCCTGCCCCTGAGCGCAAGGCCCCTTTACTTGGCCTAGACGGCGACGGCAGGCAGAACAGCACTACTCTCGACTTGACCTCGCGCGGCCCTCATCGTTACCCTCCATGGCCTCTCAGCCTCAGAATTCGGGCGATGAGTTCGTCCGTCCGTCCACCTACTCGATCGAGCAATCTTGGGGAGGGCATAATAACTTCATGGCGTCCTATGGTCTGAAGCCTGGTGAAGAAGAGGAAGCTTCGGCGATCGCAGAGGCGTTCAAAGATGCAGACGAGTACGAGTACCACCAAAGCCGGGACGGGGACACCGGCAATCATTGGTCGGGGGAGCACGTTGAGCAGTACGATCGCTACGAGGATGCGGGTGTGTACGCTGGTGCGGATCCAGCTCGGGAGGAAGAAATGGTGTCAGATGGGCTCGCCACGGATGCGGCCAGCGATGCAGCGACCTACGATCCAGACGAGGGAGGATATGGCGAATACGACCCGAACGAGGATAGCGTGTTCGACGACGACGCCTACGACGATCCGGACCAGAATGATTATGAAGCCGACGAAGACTATTAGCTTGATCCGTCTCTCATAATTCGATCTAGACCCGACTATGTGATCGTCTTTTCTCCAAGAGGTGCATGCTACGCAGGAACTCGTTCGGAAGGGAGTGTTTCACGTGACCTATGCTCTTGACCGGTTAGTGCATTTCGTGCCCACGCAGCCTACTAACATTTCTAATGTTCGCGTCACCCTTGTTAATCGACTGTACAGATCACGAATTTCTGCGCAGCATCAACTATGGAGCTCCCGCACCGGCCGAGGTCTAATCTTATCTTGCTTGCTCGCGATGGCGTATTTCGAAGGTCCGATGGCGACTACATTCATTGTTCTTATACTCGCGATGATGTACCGTAATGGCGCGCACTCGTTTGACGGATCTACACTGTCCTTATCTCTCTCGAAGCGTCTGATCAACCATGTCCGCGACGCAAACTGTAACCACTGAGATCGAGCGCGCTTTGCCAACGCTCACTCTGCGCTCGGACGACAAGAAGCAGCAGGCGGCCCGCGAGCGGGGCCAGGGACCTTTGGAGGAGTATAAGTACGCTCATCTGGCGCCTGTCCTCGATCATTCGGAGCATTACCCTCCGCTCGTTCCATTCGAGCATGTCGACCCAGGCCACCGCGCCTTGTCACTGCCCAACCCTCGCGCTTTCCTCGACCAGGCGACGAGTATCGCCCATATCACCCCCCGGCTCGGTACCGTGGTGACCGGGGTTCAACTGGCCCAGCTGGATAGCTCGGGACGCGACCAGCTTGCGCTCGAGGTTCGTTACATGGGTTCCATGTAGCACGTTCGGCTCAATCTCACGCTTGGTAGGTCGCTCGTCGTGGCTTGATGGTTTTCAGGAACCAGCAAGACTTTATTGACGCTGGGCCGGACGCCTACCTCGAGTGGGGTCGGTACTTTGGTCGGCTGCACATCCACCCGACCTCCGGCCATCCGAGGGTAAGTCGCAGCAGGTGCCTGCGTCCCTGTCTGCGTCCCTGCCGACCAGAGCTCACCGAACTGATCGCAGAACTACCCGGAGCTCCACCTCGTCTACCGCGACGAAAACTCCACGTTCAACTTCGAACGCGAGGACCGAATCACGTCCACCACCTGGCACTCGGACGTCTCGTACGAGCTTCAGCCTCCCGGGCTCACGACGTTCTTCCTCCTCGCCCAGCCGGAGAGCGGCGGCGACACGCTCTTCACGTCCCAGGTCTCGACCTTGAGCAAGCTTTCTCCCCCGTTCGTCGAATTCCTCCGCACGCTCAAGGCCGTCCACTCCGGCGTTGAGCAGGCCGAGTTTTCGCGCTCGGGCAAGCGGGGAGGGATGGTGAGGCGCGAGCCGGTGGAGAACGTGCACCCGGTCGTGCGCCGGCACCCCGTCACGGGCCAGGAGGCGCTGTACGTGAACAGGCAGTTCACGCGCCGGATCGTGGGCCTCAAGAAGGAGGAGTCTGGTGCGTTGCTTTTCGTGGCACCTCAGTTCCGTGGAAGGCGTATCGGGGGTGCTGACGGTGCTCGTGCACAGATAACATCCTCAACTTCTTGTATGACCATATCGACAAGAGCGCTGACTGCCAGGCCCGCGTCAGGTGGGAGCCTAACACGGTTGTCCTCTGGTGAGTATTGGAACACTTCACGTACCTGGCGACCGTTCGTGCTAAAGCTCGCCCTGAACCTCTCAGGGACAACCGTATCACCGCTCATGTGTGTAGCGCTTTTGCTCCGTCGTCGTTTCTCGTGTTCTGATCAACGTCCGCCGCAGTCTGCGATATTGGACTTCGCCGAGACGAAGGAGCGCCGTCACGGCGCGCGGATCACCCCGCAAGCGGAGAGGCCGATCCCTGCGCTCGAGAGTCTGAAGTTGGATGACTGAGCTCGGTTGGTCGGCGGAACCTAGATGTGTAAAATCATGCAGTGTACTGTATCGTGATGCGGATCAGCTTGGTCATGGAAGGGAAAGTCGCTCATAAGAAGACTGTCGCCTGGACAGCGGCTTTGACGCCATGCGAGAACGAAGGTCAAACGATCGTCTTACAGCAATGCCCCGCTCTACCCTAGGCCATCCGTTCAACACTCAATGAACGCCCCGAGTTGACCGTCGTGAGGGCGTCCGTCGCTCGACATCATAATGACAATGTCCGTAGCTGACGACTCTTTGGAAAATTCGGGGGCGTATGTGCGACCACAGCGGCGTACACGTTGGTGTCCTTTCCCCGTGTCGCATGGACCGCAGCGCGCCCGAAAACACACACGGAGGAGGTAATTATAGCGAGCGGCCGCGTGTCTGCACAGTGGACCCTCTCTGGGCGCATCAGGGTATATAGGTAAGCAACCTGCTTGAGCGAGTTGTGTGCAGGTTTTCAGTGGCAAAGATCGGGTGCCTTACTTGCTTCTTCCATGCATTCCTGCCCGGCCCTTCCAGGTCCGGGTCTGTGGAATCGCTCGATCCACAGTAAGAGACGCATGGCACATAGCGAAAGAGAAACTCGGGGCCGTACGGTGTCAAACGTTGGTCGAGTTCTGTGGCTGCAGTTCGCCGTCCCGTAGGCCCGTAACACACGTAAGTACTTGAAGAAATTGGGGGGCAAGGTGACATTCAGAACCTCATGAACGCGGTGTGATGCCGGCGGACGGCACGATGGCACGTGGCCATACTTAACCCCGCTTGGTGTGGCCCAACCTTGTCCTTGACATCCTTGAGCCAGCCCGTGAACGGATGCGCACGATATCATCAATGTGATACCCACTTCATCTTTGCTCAGGTTTACTTCCTTCTCGAAGAGCTGCCATACTGCATGCGGGCTTGAGAGATATAAACATGACTCCCTCTGTCGATCGAACCTGTTGCGCTCCCCCGCCTCCGCATCTGGCCTTATACCCACCCACGATTCCTCACGGCGTTGCAATCTCTGTGCGACGATGACTTCTAACGGAGATCTCTTGGGCGTCGTCCTTCTCATCCGTCACGGAGACCGGAGAGGCTTCTACCAGGACCCGGATAGCTACACCGCATCGGACACGAGCTTGACCGCGCTCGGAGCGGTACGTTCCGTATCATCCTCACCCGCATCGTACGTGCTAACAACTCTCAAAACGACGTTCACTGTCACAGATCGAGGAGCAGGAGACGGGCACGCTTCTCAAAGCGAGGTACCTCGACGCCTCGTCGTCCACGTACATCCAGAACGCGACCACCGACGCTTGGGACCCGGATCAGTTTTACATCCGGGCGGACTCTGGCGAGTGTTTCTTCACCATCACTTAGGGTCTGCGGTTCTCATATCTCGTATGATTCTCTTTTCAATGTTCAGCCGACGAGGGAGCCGTGATCTGGGACTCTGCCGCGGCGCTCGCTTCCGGATTATGGAACGAGACGATGACCGTCCAAGTTGCGAACGGGTCCTCCGTCAGCTACCCTCGGTCGTTAGTACAGAGTACGCTTGTCCTTGTTTCATCTTGATCTAAGAGGAAGACGACGCTGATCTCGTTCCGATCGTAGTCGAATCCGTCCTGGAGGACGATATCACACTGGAGGGCTGGCTCGACTGCGCTCCTTTCACGACCAGCACCGACGCGTTCTACAACTCGTCCGAGTTCACGGCCAAGGCCAAGGAAGCAGCGCCGTTCCTGACCGCGCTTCCGCCTTACCTTGATGGTCGCAGCGTCGGTCTCAAGAACATGGTAACGTTTCCATGCTCTGTTTCTCCCTCTCACACCCAATGCTTACGCGCGATTTGCAGTGGAACGTGAGATAAACGTTGTACAGCGACAATGCGACCAAAAGAACTGAATGATTCGGACTGTCTCCATGGATAGATTTTCGACTATATGAACGTCCAGAACACGTATAATTCCACGTTCAAGAACAATCTACCTCCTACCTTCCTCGCGCAGGCTCGAGTCAGTAACATCTCGTTTTCTGTGACCCCCCCCCCCCACCTGACCGTCCACCAACGTGTGCAGGACCTCGCTAACTGGCACGAGTACGGCGTCTTCTCCGACCCCAGCCTCGACGGAATCGGGAACAGTACGTCTCCGCCTTTTTTCCCGCTCGGTCGACTCCCGATATTGATCAAGGTACCCCCCAGTCGCTGGCCGGACGATCCTGCCCACGATCACGACCGCCCTCACCCGGATCGCCAACGGCTCCGACCCGCTCAAGCTGTACATCGAGGAGATCTCCTACAAGCCGTTCCTCAGCCTGTTCAACATGACCCAGGTCACGGTCGGCCACCCCGAGCTGGCCGGTATCGGTGAGCTCCTCGTCTCTTTGAACACCAGAACCGGAGACATGGGGATGGTGATTGACGTCGTGGCGACGTCACAGTGAACTACGCCGCCGTGACAGCGTTCGAGGTGCGATCCGGGAGCGGATCGGGGCCCGTCGTCAACTTCTTGCTCAAGAACGGGACCGACGTCGGCTTCACGCAGTACGACATGTTCGGCGAGGCCGACGTGCCGCTGCAATCCTTCGTGGACAAGCTTTCGGTGAATAATCTCAACAAGCGATTCGCGCACCGTACCGGGGTTATTTTGTGCTCATGTCCGTTCCGTATGCAGCCCGCCGCGATCAACAGCACCGCAGAGTGGTGCACCCTCTGCTCCAACACTCAAGACCGCGGATGCGCGGCGCTCGCCGAGGCGTCCGCGTCTGCCCTCGCCTCCGCGCACCACCACGGCTCGCTCACTAATGCGGAGGCGGGCGTGATTGGCGCCTTCGTCTCGCTCGCTGTCGCCGCGCTCGCGCTCGTCCTCATGGTGTTCCTCGGCATGGTCTCTGTCGGAAAGCCCGCGAGTCGCAAGCGCGCGAGCGGGAATGCTGTCGGCGAAGCAGCCCACGGGGGGCGATCTGATGGGGGAAGCGACGTAAGTGTCTATCATCATTTTGCTCCACCCTTTTGTGATGTGCTCTTTTGTGGATGGTTGTGAGGGCTCTGCGAGGGCTGACGTGCCAATTTTTGCTTTCTCCACAGGCTATTTCGCTCAACTCGGCTCGGAAGCATTAAGGCACGGAGGAATATTCTGTTGTATCGAGTACTATAGACCGTGGAGCATGTACGAGAGATGCAATTGTTGTTCCAACGAGCCTGGACGTCGAGCGAGTTCACGCGCACGCTTTGGGATCGGCATGTGGCTGTGCCCATCTAAGATAAGATGGTGGGACGTTGCGTGCGATCTTATCTGCCGAGCGGGAAGGTCCGTGTTTATTGTGTCGGTGTCTTACCTTCGACGACCATTGTCTTATTGTGAAGACCGGCCTTCGACCCTCCGCATTTCCGCTTCTCGTCCATGCCCCTGCGCTTCCGGTCCGACTCGTGCGCCTTGTCCTGCCCAATCGACCGCTTTACAACGTCGCTTTTGGGAGCTTGAACGCCGTGCTGGCAGGAAAATACGTATCGTAAACGCGCAGGATGGCCTCGAATCTTGATGCTATGCGAGATGAGTCGGTCTGAGACCGGAACGCTCGACCCGCGGCCTCGGGTACCCAGCCTTATTGTATGAGACGCGCTTGAGCCCTCCGGATATCTCACCCCTCTTATTGTGTGTCGCCCCTTCGCCATGTCATGCGTACCTGGCGAACACCAAAGCAGCGCAGGCGGTAGGCCACTTCTGGCATATCGCTCGGCAGACTTCCATGCCCTACGGACTGCTACAAAAGCAAGGCGGGCGGCGCGTCTCTCAGGTCCTACAACCTATCTGTTCCCCCGCCCTCTCCCCTGCCCGCTGCTTTCCCTTGCGCCGAGACCGCAGCGGCCAGCGAGTGCTTGGACCCACATCCCCCCTCCCCTTCTACAACTACCTTCCTCCTCTTCTCATCTTAACCTGCTCTTTCGGCGCGCTTCTCCCCCCTCGAGAACACAGCCATGGCCTACGTGGCTAACGATACGGATGGCGCCGCCACCACCACCGCGTACGGGATCGCCCTGCCCTCCTTCCTCCGCCAACGCCGCGCCGCGGACGTGCCGGAGGACGTCGAGGAAGACCCGTACCTCGCGCACTTCAACGACCCCAACTGGGACATGGACAGCACCCACGTCCACGGCAACGGCGACGGCGTCTCCGAGACGTCGAGCGCGACCGACGTCGAGATGGGCAACAAACGCACGCTCGGCGCGAAGTACTCCACCGAGAAGCTCGGTAGGCCCGAGTCGTTCTCGGGCAAGTCGCTCGAGCAGACGGACGACTCCACGACGAGGTTCGATTCGGCCTCGCGCACCGAGTCCACCGCGGTCCCTGAGCAGGACTACAACGAGTGAGTCGGCCTCGGGCTCCTGGTCCGCGCGTTGCAGTTTCCTGATCTGTTTTCCTATCAGCGAGTCGCCGTACGCTGAAGTGCGCGCTGCGGTGTCTAACATCGATGACCCCTCTATGCCGGTCAGCACCTTCAGGATGTGAGCTTTTCCTTTCTGCCCGCCTAAGCGTCTTCGTTTCTGACCGACTTCGATAGGTGGGTGCTCGGCATCTTCTACACGATCTTGATCTCCGGTCTCAACCAGTTCTTCGGTCTGCGCTGTACGTATTTGCTTCTATAGCCCTCGAACCACGCTGACGGCGCTCCATGTAGACCCGAGCGTGCAGATCACCGGTCTCGTCGCCCAGCTGACGGCGCTCCCACTCGGCAAAGGCCTCGAGTATATCCTCCCCCGCCACCGCATCCGCATTCCGCTCTTCCGCGGCCGTTCTATCAGCTTCACCCTCAACGACGGCTCGCCGTTCAACGTGAAGGAGCACACCGTCATCACTGTTATGGCCAACGTCGTCGTCGGCGGCGCGTACGCGACCGAGGTCATCGCCGCCCAGCGCGTCTTCTACGGCCAGAACTGGCCGTTCGCGTACCAGATCCTCCTCACCGTCTCGTCCCAGCTCATCGGCTACGCCTTCGGCGGCCTCGTCCGCCAGTTCCTCGTCTGGCCGTCGAGCATGATCTGGCCAGGCGCGCTCGTCAACGCCGCGCTGTTCAACACGCTCCACAAGAACTTTGGCCGCCGCGATCGGGGACACATGACCCGCGAACGCTTCTTCTGCTTCGCGCTCCTCGCCAGCTTCGTGTGGTACTGGGTGCCCGGATACCTCTGGACCGGGCTCAGCGTCATGAACTGGGTGTGCTGGATCAAGCCGAACAACATCGTCGTCAACCAACTGTTCGGCACCAACACCGGCCTTGGCATGGGTATCCTGACCTTCGATTGGTCTATGATCGCGTACATCGGCAGTCCTCTCGTAGTCCCGGTACGTTCAGCTCTCCTTCTTCTATGAAGCACAATGTCTCAATTTATGCTTGCACAGTGGTGGGCGGAGGCGAACACCTTCGTGTCGTTCGTCCTGTGGTTCTGGGTCCTCACCCCGATCCTCTACTACCGCAACGTCTTCTTCGCCAAGTTCCTCCCCATCTCTGGCTTCGATACGTACGACAACACGGGCGCGTCCTACGACGTCACCAGGATCGTCAGCAACGGCGTCTTTGACGTCGAGAAGTACAAGGCCTACTCGCCGGTCTTCATCTCTACGACGTTCGCGCTCTCCTACGGTGTTTCCTTCGCCGCCTTCACCGCTGTCATCGTCCACGTCTTCCTGTGGTACCGCCACGACATCATGCGCCAGATCCGCCGCTCGCTCAAGGACGAGCGCGACGTGCACGCGCGTCTCATGGCCGCCTACCCAGAGGTTCCGCACTACTGGTACTTCCTCCTCTTCGTCGTCGCCTTCGTCCTCGGTATCGTCGCGATCGAGCACTGGCCGACGCAACTCCCCGTTTGGGCCTACGTCCTCGCGCTCCTCATCTCCCTCGTGCTCATGGTCCCGTGCGGTATCATCCAGGCCATCACGAACCAGCAGGTGCCGCTCAACGTCCTCGTCGAGCTCATCATCGGCTACGCGCTCCCCGGCCGGCCGATCGCGATGATGATCTTCAAGACCTACGGCTTCATCGCAACGCAGCAGGGTCTCGCCTTCGCCGGCGACCTCAAGCTCGGGCACTACATGAAGGTCCCGCCGCGCATCATGTTCTGGTCCCAGTCGATCGCGACCGTGCTCTCCTGCTTCGTCGTCGTCGGCGTCCAGTCCTGGATGTTCGGCAACATCGAGGGGATGTGCACCGACGACCAGAAGAACGGCTTCATCTGCCCGTCCACGGGCACCTTCGCCTCCGCCTCCCTGCTCTGGGGCGGGATCGGGCCCTCGCGGATCTTCTCCAAGGGCGCGATCTACTACCCGCTCGTGTTCTTCTTCCTCATCGGCGCGATCGCCCCGATCCCGTTCTACTTCCTCGCGCGCAAGTACCCGCGCTCGCTCTGGCGGTACGTGAATATGCCCGTGTTCTTCAACGGCGTCGCCTTCATCCCCCCCGCGAGCGGCATCAACTACGCGTCCTGGTTCGCGGTCGGGTTCGTGTTCCAGTGGTTCATGCGCCGCTTCCACTTCCGCTGGTGGATGCGGTACAACTACATCCTCTCCGCCGCGCTCGACTCGGGCGTGTCGCTGGCGCTCATCGTCATCTTCTTCTGGTGAGTTACAGAGACTCTTCGCGCGCGATATCGGACGCGCTCTTTTTTGGAGAGGCTGACATGGACCTTTGTTGCAGCCTGCAATTCCCGAAGAACGGAACCATCGGCCTGAACACCATCCAGGCGTGGTGGGGCAACACCGGCTGGATGAACAACCTCGACGCGGAAGGCGCGCCGTTCTACACTCTCGCCGCAAACGAGACCTTCGGCCCTAGCACCTGGAACTGAGTAACCCCACCCCCCCTTCTCTTTTCCCCACGTCTTGTAACACCATCATCCCATCACCCCCATCCCACCGACGCATTGTGCATAATCAACCGACGACATATCCATCTCCAGGCCTGATTGCCTCAACTTTACTCTACTTATTGCGCCTTCCTTTTGGCTCTGTACTGCACTTTTCGGCTCACGGGCTAAAGGCGCGCCTGTGGCGCGCTCCGTTGACATTACCCCACCTATTGTTGTGTTTTCTACCATACCGGGGACCCCCGTTGGATCAGTGCTGTGTGTATATCATTATCACTCTTGTTTCATGTACGGCTCCAAAATGACGGCTAGAATATATCATGACGTTACACGATATTTCTTGTGGTGTGGGGTGTATTGCTGCAAGCCTCACAATTAACGCGAGATCAGCCTGAGGAGTCCTTAGGTTGAAGGTTCTGTTCGACCCATCGCACGACCTCGTCCCAGTTCTTGACCCTGTGTATCGGGCGCTGCGCGATCTGTTCCTGCGCGGACGCCTCCTCGTCCTTCCACCATTCGTGCCCGCCCTCGCGCTGCAACCGCTCTTCGAAGCTCATCTGCGTCACGTCCAGTTCCGACTCGTCCTGCCCCGAACCGGCCGAAGACCCGTCGGCTTTAGAGGGCGCAGAGGACCGCACTTCGGAGACGCGCTTGTTCCACTGGTGCTCGCCGAAGAGGAGCACCGGGATGGGAGGCGAGGCGCCCGCGACGATCAGCGCGTTCTCGATCGAGTCGTCGATGAGGACCTGGGCGCCGAGGTCTTGGCAGGCCTATGAGGGGCGTGAGCCGATCCTGCCCTCTCGTCGCGGGCTCGTGAACGCGGGCGACTGGCTCACCTGAACCTTGGACATCTTGGTCGTGATCTGATGCCCGCCCTCTCCGACGAACGTGAACGAGCTGCCGGTGCACACGATGTCGTGGAAGACGTCTGGCAGTTTCGTTCCTCAACGTGCTCGACCGACCTCTACGCGTCATTGGACGATTGGAGGCGGTGGCTTACCAGGGAAGTACTTTTCCAGCCACTCCTCCGTCGGCGGGAGCTCGGCGCGCTCGCGAGCGGTGACGACAACGAGCCGGTATCCCATGTCCTTCAGCTTTTGCAGGCCCTCGGCCGCGCCGAGCACGGGCGACGCGGCGTACACGCGCCCCGTCGCGTACATCTGCTTGACCTTGTGAATCGTGTCGCGAGGTTTACCCCAGTGAGGGTTCTTCCACCAATGATAATCTGTATGTGTATGTGAGTTCCCGGTCGCACGTTCACAGGCTGAAGCGGGAACATGGTACGTGCAGTAGAATTGGTTGACGCTCATGTCCGAGCCATACGTCTCGTTATGCCCTGACCATGCCGATCGTCAGCCCCTCGTGAGTCCTCCAGGATGAGCGACAGAGCCTTCATGGGTTGTGCTAGGTGTACTGACAGTCGGCAGCCTCCTGGTTCGTCATGCTGAGGACATCGTCCAAGTCGACGGCAATGACGCGCCCATGAGCTGAGTTTGATATGTCGTGCAGCGTTTCATTGGCATCGCGGTCCTCGGTATGAGGGTGGGCGGTGGGTTCGCCGCGGGATGAGGGAGAGGACATGGACGAGAACGGACTTGACTCTCCAAACCTCCGCGCTCTACCAATGAATCTTATCTTATCTTATCGCTACGTCCGTTTCTCGCCCATGGAACCTTTCGCATCGATGTTTAGCCCCACATTATCAATTGTGAACGTCCGACGGGTTTATAAGCACCACAAATTCGCTGATCTGCAACGTTCATATACGGTTGGCGCGGGAGTAGTGAAATGATCCGATTGTTATTGCAGAACGGGAATAAAGACACCACACGGACATGCTTTCATACACATGCAGCGGGGGTCGAGACCTCCAATGCGTAGCAAAACGTAAGAAGAATGCTTAGACGGTCCTCTTGTTCTTGCGGCTCTGCGTACGCTTGCGAGTAGTAGTCTTCGAAGCCTGGCAGCGTTCGCCATCCTCCGAAACTTCGTAGCCAGCGCGGCAAGATTCTGTGCACACAAAGGTCAGCTTACCGAGCAACATCGGGCTTGCAAAACGAGACTCACTGATGTGGCAGCCGCCTTTGAAACAGCTGACCTCGTCCACCTGAGGGATCGCGCTGCAGTCCCTCCCGCCGTCGAGCGATCGAGCGCCGTCAAGGCCGCCTCCGCTGGTGACGCATCCGCCGCACTGCTCGAGGTTCATCGACGTGTTGACGCACTCGTATCCGGATACGGCGCCGTTTTTGTAGACCGGGCAGGAGCTCTGGCCGCGTGCGCACGACCCGGAACGAGGGCGGAGCGGGGCACGCTTGCGCGTTCCGCCGGTGGGCGTAGCGGGATCTGCGGTCGTCGTGGCTGAGAACGAATCGTCAGTACGACCTCATGTGGAATGGAGGAGAGAGTGTATGCTCACGGCATGTGCCGGTCGAGGTGTCCTGGTCACAAGTGGCGACGGCGCCGGACTGCGCAGTGCACTGCTCGACGTTCGTCGCGCCGGGGTCCGAGTAGCCTTGCGCAAAGGTTCCCTCGGCGGGACAGACCGTGCACGACGTCTGACCCGTCTGGTCTTGATAAAACCCAGAGCAGCAGGTGCAGCACGCCGTGGCGCCAAAGAGGTCGCTGAAGGAGCCCTGCAGCGACGAGATCAGATCGTGTCCGACGCGCTGTAGCAGAAGAATGTGCTCACCGCTGCGCAGTCGTTACAGGTCGTCGCGCCGGTCTGGTCTTGGAACTGCCCCGGCTGGCACGACACAGGAGCCGTCTCACCCTCCGTAGGGCAGGACGACCCTGCCGGGCAAGTGGTGCACTCCGTGCTGCCCTCCGTCGCGCTGTAGGAACCCGCCGGGCAGATGGTCTGTGCTGTGGCGCCCGTGTCGGCGACGAAATACCCCGCCTGGGCGTTGATACACGCAGTTTGACCAGTTTCTGAAGCACACGTGAGGCGGTGAAGAGAGCCCGTGAAGAGATCTCAACTCACGGTCTTGGTACTGGCCAGCAGGGCATGCGGTGCATGGATCTTCGCCGGTCTCGGTGTTGTAGCTTCCGGCTGGGCAAGCCGTTTGCGCCAGCGTGGCAGGAACTAGCGCAATCAAGGCGAGAGTAAGGCTGAGGGAACGTCCACGGGTCTGCATGATGGATGGATGTGAGGATGGGTGAGTGATGACAGGACCAAGGCGAGGATGGGCGAGGTTTTATACACGACCGACGAGGAGAACAGGGGCATATAATGGATATACTCTAGCAATCAATCCCTGGAGCACGCTTGATGCAGATTATCCTCTATTTCCTGGCTGGCGAAGGGGCGGCGGAATGAGGTCGTCGTCGCGCGAGCGGCAAGGGACGTTGTTCCGCGGCGGATTAATGCCAGAGGGAAGCAGCCGTTCCGTTCGCGGTCCGTCGGTCAAGGAGGGAGAATAGGAGCATTATCGAAGATACTCGAGAACGTTCCTGCAGCGGGATAAGGGTGAACTATCCGCTGTCCGATCGGAATGAGGAATGGGCGGTAATAAACCGCCAGAACGATGCTCGGAAAGCATGCATCTGCACGGTCCGCCATCTCGTCCAGCGGTCAGTCGGAGGTTGACCAGAACGATATCGCATTTTTGACATGGTAGAGCTCCTTGAAGTTTAGCGATTAATTAACGAGCTGCACTTGGTACAACGGTAGTCATCGCAAGAGCAGAGAGGAGGTCCGTCTGAACTCGTGACGCGACCACGCCGAGTCTCGCGCCGCGAATGCAAGTTGGCTCGGTTTTACATATTTACTGCAGTTCTCCTCCACCTTCGTGTTGGCATCGCTGCTCTGACGGCGGAACAGCCTTTGATCTCGCTGCACATTGTTAATAGTGGCTTGGCGTGTTTGAACTGAGACGTGTACATAGGAGCGAAACGAGTGGAGGAAGGAGGGCGATACGGTCCGCAATGCACATGCCAAGAAAGAGGACAAGCGTCAGCAGGAGGGTCAAGGGTGCAAGGACTGGAAGAAATGGAACATAAGATGGGCACGCCGGTATGACACAGAGAGGTGGGGCGATCTTGAGGTTAGCCAGAGAGCCGTAGGCTGACGTCTTTGCGACCAGTATCTAGGCGATGCACGGTGTACACGTATGGTTGTCATGAATTCTCCAGCCTGCTCAGAAAATGAACGAATCGCGCAACTCTCGATATTCCGTCGGACTGGAAGCGGTTGGTATTGTTGTGAGTGCTCCGAGATTCTTTAGCCGCTCACACGAAATTACACCATCGGCACGCTTGCTTCTAGCTGATGCCACCGCCGGCGCTTGTCTCGCGCCGTCGTGGCATGGGATGGTGGCTTGGCGAATTCTCTCATGCGTCACCCACAAATGAGGAGTACGTTGTGTAACGGGAGACAATTGTTGGAGATATTCTGATGGCTCGTCAGCAATTGAACGCGCGTCTGCTCGACGATGAAAGTAAGTCGTCTCTGCGCGAATGTGGACATTGAAAGAACTTGGTCGCATATTGACAGTTCCGAAGCGGCACATGCCCACCGGTGCCGAGGGTATAATCTTCATCCCGAGCACCCTTCGATACGCCCTCCGGATCCGCAATATTCGTCTGCATCACAACATTTCAATTTCCCGCACGCGATCCAAGGTCTCCCCTCCCGAAATCGAACGGATAGTTGACCGAGGTATAAGCGCCGCCAGCACGAGCTGTCCCCAAGTATTGAATTCACAGTAAATAGCCCGAACGTGCGCAAGAAGCAAGAAGCAACACGCTCTGCCATTCAACCCAGCTGAGGTCGTGAGGTTCCGCATTCATGTTCGATCCGTGTAGCATCGGCTACTGAATTCGACATTCCGGAGTTCAATCACCCAATCGGAGTAGCACGGAACCTCTAGTTTGACGTTGGGCTCTCTATGACTTCTCCCAACTTCGGCGTCGCGGCTCTTCCCATCTTCCACATCGGAGGCGTCGGACACCCGACTTGGTCTGAATGCCGAGTTCGGATCACGACTCATTTTCATCATGTCATCCGTAATTGTGGCAGTCGGTATGTCATTGGCGTTCCTTTTCTCGCTTTGATACTGTTTGGGAAACACTGATTTTAGGCAATTTCTTCCGAGGGCTTCACCGTGTTATGCCTGAGGGCTGATATCGCTGTATGCATGTCAGTCTGACAATCACTGTGCAAGAGCCCGCTCAAATGACTTGAACTGGGCGATAACTCTGGAGTCACGTCCTAGGTCGTATGCTGGTGAGTTCCGTGGCTATATCTGACGTTAGAGAATGGAGCCATTGATCTACGCGGATGTCGATAGCTCGATGCGAGCCGACGTGCTAGCAAGCCTTCCATGATTAATGAAGAATTACGCTTTTAGTCCATCGGCCAGGGGGGCTCGGTGTTTGTCATCCGCACCATGGCGGCTGTGGTGTGTACCTCAGGACCGACGTGTGCCCGAGCCAAGCTACCGTTACGACCATCGCCCACATACAAGTGAGGGCTGGGGTGTATAAAAGGTCGACCGCCGGCGCGAGAGTATGCCGTCCTCAAGCCCCCCTCGAAAACCAGCCCATCCTACATATCACAGCACATCTTATCATATGTGAGCGACGTTGCAGAAACTGCCATGACGCGTAGCTCACATCCCCCGTCTGACTAGAACTACCGATCATGGCCGCTTTATTGCTGCTCAACGAGACCACTGTTGCCAACCGCTCCAGCGGCGACATCTCCATTCACGACGTGGGGGGGTGGCCTTCGACGTTCATCCAGCGTGATGGCCAGAAGGTCGTCACCGGCAGGGAGGATTGGATCCTGCAGAGGGGCTTCGTCTACCGCTTCTCCGGCGAAATCAGCACCAACCCGGGCGACATCGTGTCCATCGTTCAAGATGGCAAGGCGCTCACCCTGTTCGTTCTTCGCGTCGACGGCAAGGTGGAAAAGTTCACGACATTGGACGGCGAGCGCCCTCCTCAGGGTCTTACCGCGGAGTCCACCGAGGACCCGGCTCCGAACGTCATAGTCACTTCGGAGGCTTTGGCGAAGGTCGTCTTCACCTCCAGCCTGTCGGGCAGCCTCTCCCACCTTTCGCTCACTGACAAGGACGCCGGCGATCAGCACGCCCAGATCGACAATTACAAGCGCGCCATCGACGGCCTGCTTTATCGCCACACCGTCACCACCATCAAGATCGCCACCTACATTACTCAGCAACTTGACATCGGTCCTCTCCACATCACGATCTCGTGGGACACTGACAAGCTCGAGGGAAGCATGTCCGCATCCGTCCTAGGCTACAACCTTGGTACTTCCACGTTCAGCCAGAGCCAGGGTGCCAGGTTGAGCCTCAGCGTCTGGCTCGTTACGGCAAGCGCCGTGATTACCATTCGCGGCAACGAAGTCTATCTCGAGGCGCACGTGACCACCATCTTGGGCGGCAGCGTCGACTTCGGTCCAGTCAGTGTTATCGCGATCGACTCATAACGGTGAGTGATGGACTGCTGAGAGATGCTGTAGCTGACTCTTTGCATTTTAAGCGTCTCAGCGGCTCGGCGACTCGTTCAAAGCCTCCGACTATCGGTAAGGATGCCGTTTACTGGAGAAAGTGCTGGTCTCTGTGTACGTTTCGGTATTTGACGCCCACGCTCATGAGTACCTGCCATAAGCTACATTTTTTTGTTTGTTTCTATCTTGTCTACTTCTACCAAGGCGACTTTAGCATCGTTCGATACTGCACTTCTGTATTTCTTGACACACGTAGTGTAGTTCCGTGCGTACGGCGAAAATTACCTATCTTTCCGAATGAGTACTGTGCATTTCCCCTAAGACGTGCTCAGCAAGTGCCAAATGAGATAGCTAGCGATCAAGGTTCATCGAGGTGTTGATGCACTGGTACTCGCTCACGACGCCATTCCTCTTAACTGGGCAGGAGCTCTGACCGCGAACGCACGAGCCCGAGCGAGGGCGCAGCCTTGCGATTTACTCCGGTGGGAGTGGCTGGATCAGCAGTCGCAGTGGCTGTATGCGGCGATGAGCGATGTCTCGAAGGAGTGGACAGTATAGATCCAGTAGGTAGTCTGCGATATCCTGTCCGACGCTGCGATACTCAATGCCAATGTCCAGAGTGACTGTAGCAGGCACTCGTACGATCGGGGTTTTTTGAGCTGAAATTCCCCACGCATCTCTCTAATGATAGTGATTTTCTTCTCCTTATTTCTCAAGCTTGCTACGATGAATCGCTGTGAGTACTTATGAATCATGATTGAGAGTAAGAGGCTGCCCGCTGCGCCACGCTCAAAAGGTCGGCGGCGCATTCGGCACACCACGTGGCAGGCAAAGTCGAGCCTTGTCGAGGACCTGTCCGAACCTGTCCGGCACCATGGAGCGGTTCGAATTTGTAGTGGGCGAAAAGATATTTGTAGTGGACACCCTTTGCTTCCGCCCGCCACCACACCTCCTCCAACCCGTCCCCATGCCCTCCAGATATCGCCCGGAATCCCTCCCCGCACGCGCCGAGGGTTGCCAGCGATAACGGAAGGTCCTGGGCCTGCGACAGTCGGCGCTGGATCGAGTCGAAATTGGGCCAGATATGTTAACCCCGACGTCACGTTCAAAATTTCCGCCCTAATCTCTGCTCCCAATGGCGCGACGGGGCCCTCTCGAAATTTCGGGCCTTGGGGGAAAAGGACGAGCTTAGCGAACGCTTTTCTTCCCCGCCCTTCTTGCTCCGATTCGACTTGGATTGCCCGACCCTCTCCTCGCTCCTCTGCCTGGCTCTCTTTGAGTTCAAGATCTCAATCACCCCCAGCAGACAGAACCATGCGACCACCCTCGACGCTTCTAGTGCCCATGGCGCCATCCTGCCCCAAGACGCGCCATGTTCACGCCCTCCACTCGCTCTCTCGCGCATCCGTATCGACTTCACATACTCGCAGCCCCCGATCTCGCGCGGCGGACCCCGGGTATACAGATAACCGGAAAAGCGTATATAACGGGTGGCGGCAGCAGCAGAAGCGCGGGCACGCCGCGTGCTCCTTTTCCGCGAAAGCGACCACCATGCCGGCCCACACCGAGTTCAAGAGCGCGAACGACGCGTATGTGAGCACGTTTGGAGATAAGGGCGATCTGCCTCTGCCGCCCGCGAAGCATCTTACCGTCGGTGAGCATTCCTGGGCATAGGCTATCTCTGCATCGCTTGTACCGACGGACCCATCCTAGTGACGTGCATGGACGCTCGGATCGAGTGAGTGAAACGCGAAGAAAGCCGGCCTGACCACGATATCTGAAACGACCTGCAGCCCGGCCCAACATTTGGGCCTGAAAGAAGGCGACGCACACATCATCCGCAACGCCGGCGGTAGCGCGTACGTCTCTTCCTCCTCCCCCCCCCCCACTTTTATCTCTCACTCTCACAGTCAACTCATCCCAAAACCACGTGTACCAGACGAGACGCCCTGCGTTCCATCGTGATCTCCCAGCGCCTGCTCGGCACGCGCGAGATCGCCGTCTTCCACCACACCGGCTGCGGCATGCTCACCTTCAACTCGGGCCAGCTGCGCGACATCGTCAAACGGTCCGCGCCCGAGTCGACATCGGCCGAGGTCGCGAAGCAGGTGGACGGCATCGATTTCTTGGAGTTTGACGACCTAGAGGGCAGCGTGAAGGAGGACGTGGCGTTTTTGAAGGAGAGCCCGCTCGTGCTGCCGGAGACGACGGTGAGCGGGTGGGTGTACGAGGTCGAGACGGGCAAGGTCAGAATGGCTTCCCGATCGCGGTTGTCTCGGATGGCTCGCTGACGTCATCAGCAGATCCGCCAGGTGGTTTGAGATATGCCTTGAGCGTCCCGATTTGCTGCTGCGCTATGAGATGGAAACACAATGCATCCCTTTTTTTCGTTTGCGGTCGTCGCAGCGCGGCACACAATGTAATGTTGAAGAATATAACCAACTATTATCCCAGCAAATCCATCTAGTACACCCGTATCTATGCAAGAGCGAACATCACGACGCGTACAGTACCGCAGCACCCTCCCTGAGCCTCTTGATCGTGCTCCTAAGCTGTACCGTCTCCTCTCCCTCCTCTCCAGAGGTCACCACGTCCGGCACGGCGCCCAGCGCATCCCATCGCTCCTCCAGCACGCGCCTCAGCTCGCCGTACGCCTCCCCTCCCACGTGCACCAGGTACAGCTTCCTCAGCGCCGGCAGCAGCGTCCCGTGCGCGAGGAGCGGACCGAAGGCCGCGGCCGCCTCCGCGCCCTCGAGCACGAGCGCCTGCAGCCCGCGACAGCGCTCGAGCATCCCGCGCGCGCCGTCCGTCGCGAGCGAGCCGTCGCAGACGGACAGGTACTCGAGCGCGTGCAGCGGGAGGTGCGCGTACAGCTCGGGCGCGTTCCCGAGCGGGACGGTCGCGGCGGTGTGCAGCGCGAAGCGCGCGGGCGACGCGCCGGCGCGCATGGCGAGCAGCTCGAGCCCGGACGGCCCGTTGTGGTGGGAAAGGCGGTGGAAACCTTGCTGTCGCCGGTCCTGGTCCTGGCTTTGATCCTGGTCCTGGTCCTGGTAGTGGCCGGCGGCGGTGGCGGGATAGAGCCGGGAGAGGAAGGTGCACAGGCCGGAGAGGTCCGGGTAGCGGCCGGGGTAGAGGAGGCGGACGTCGACGGCCGTCGCGCGCGGGGTAGAGAGCCGCCGCAGGAGCTCGAGCACGTAGATCGCGCGGCCCGAGACGCGCAGCGTCTCCAAGCACGCGAGCGTCGCCAGCGCCGACCCTGCCTCCCCCTCCCCCTCCCCGTCCGCGGGCGGATCCACGTCCGCGACGTCGAACACCGGCAGATCGTCCACCGCGATCTCGACCTCCTGCACGCGCGGCATCGCGCGCAGCGCGCGCACCATCTCGCGCACGGTCGGGAACGCGCCGTCGGCGTGGGCCGGGCCGGCGAGCTGGAGCGTGAAGTGGGTGAGGCGGCCGACGAAGGACGGGTTCGCGAGCTGGTCCCAGCGCGGGGCGAGGTCGACGTAGGAGAGCTGGAGCTGGCGCAGGCGGGGCGCCTCCCCGGCGAACAACGTTCCCGGGATTCGGGGGTGCGTATCTGCGTACCGGCTCGCGGCGATCGCGCACGAGACGAGCAGAGGGGCCGGGCGCGAGACGAGGCCCGAGTCGGCGTACGCGGAGGTGAGGTTGTCGACGGCGAGGAACTGGAGCCGGCGCGCGCGGCGGACTTCGGAGAGCGCGAGGCGCGTGGGCGCGACGTAGGGCCCGTAGGCGAGGATGTCGAGCGGGGCGTCCTTGGAGCGCGAGAGCAGCTCGGCGGTGAGGGAGGCGTCGATGCAGGCGACGTTCGACCAGAGCGGGGCGCAGTTGAGCGCGACGGCGCGCCAGTGACGGCAGACCTCCATGAACGGGAAGAGGCGCGTCGAGAGCGGGAGCGACGGGGTCGCGGGGCCGGAGCCGCCCGGGGAGCAACGGGGGTAGTCGGCTGGAGAGTAGACGCAGTGGTGGAAGACGAGGGAGAGGAGCTCGGGCGGGAGGCGGGAGACGGGCGCCCAGTGGTTGTGTTGCGTGCGTAGTGTGCGGACTTGGTCGAGCAGAGACTCGATCTGAACCCCGATGCGCTGCTGGTTGGCCAGCATCTGGTCTGTGGCAGTACGGAGCTCGCAGGTCATTGTAATTATTACGGCCCGCTGTCTAGAAACGTCAGCTTCGAGCGCAACGATGGAATGGACACGAGCGCAATGTCTGACTGACCGTCTATTGGACTCTTTCTAAAGGACGTCCGGCGAGTGAGATTCTAGGGTATAATAGACAGGAATGAGGAGGTATATGCCGAGTAGGATCCTCGAAGGACAAGGTCCGTACGGGGTGGTCGGGATCAGGACTGAGCTGGAGCCAGCTTCGTGCCGATAAGCAGCGGGGTAGAGCAAAGTGGGGTCCGGCAAATTCCGTCGGATCAGACGCGCCGAACGCCGACGGAAACGGAGGAGACGTCACGTGATTCGAGTCAACCCTACGGAAAAATCGATACTTAATTGGATGCACGTCCGACACAAGTATAGGCAAGTAAGTACAACGAAGACGAAGGCGAAAAGAAATTAGATTACAGTCGACACGTCGACACCGACATGAGCCCATGGCTCGTAAACCACCGTAGCCCGAAAATCTTAAAAGTAGAGAAATCAAGAGGCCGTCTGCTTCACCGTCAACGCGAAAGCGCCAACGCTACGAACAGCAACTCCGGCGCCGACCCATCGACTCCGCGTCCTTGTCTCTGCCAGCGCACGAGCCATCGCACGCGTCCCCGCACGCGCACCGGCCCTCGGCGCATCGACACCGGCCCTTGCAGCACTGCAGCTTGGGGAGCCGCACCGGCGCGGGGGGCGAGAGCGAGTCGAGCGGCTGGGGGGGAGGCGGAGGGGGCAGCGCCGCGGCGTGCGCGAAGAACTCGTCGATGATGCTCGTGCTCGTGCTCGCGCTCGCGTCGAAGGTGGCGGGCGGGAGGCTGAGCGCGATCCCGCTCTCGTGGTCGACGCAGGTCATGCAGTCCTCCGCACACGAGTCTGCCGCGTTCTTGCTGCCGTTCCTGAGCGCCGCCGTCGCCGTTGTCGTTGTCTCCTCTTCATCCGCGTCGTCGTCGTCGTCGTCGTCGTCGGGCGAGCCCGGCGCGCGGTGAGAGTGTTTGGCGCAGCCGGGGCAGACGCACGCGAAGCCGCATTGGCAGCCGGAGCCGGCGATGGACGCGATCGAGCTGAGCTGCGGGAGGCGGAAGGGGAAGCCGGTCGGGTCCCAGGGGGAAGAGGAGGCGGAGGTGGTGGTGGTGGAGAGGAGAGGAGGGAGAGTGACGGGGACGGAGGTGGCGGAAGGGGTATGTTTGTGTTTCGGCTTCTTGGCGCGCTCCTCTCGGTCGTGCTGGGGAGAGGGTTTGGCGGAGCAGCAGGAGGGGACGGGCGGAGGCGTGGGGGACCGCCGGGCGGCGGAGCGCTTGGGCGCGGGTTGTCGGGCGTCCGCCATCGTGGTGTCGACGGTGCAGCATAGGGCGGCGGCGTGAGCGAGCGAGGCGAGGGACAGGCCATGGTCACGGTCGACTTCTTGTGCTGCCGCCGAGATTAATCCTTGCATGGCGCGGGAGACGGTGGCAGGAGCTGAGGCCGACGAAGATCTGGAAAGATCGCATCGGCAGTCGTGGATGTCGCCGCATCGGCATGGGTTCAGGAGTCCATCGACTAGAATACCCGTATCGGTTGATACTTAGTATAGCACCGAACTGATACGAAAGGGATCGGCGTACCTCGTTGCTTCGGATTCGATGATAGAGGGGATGGGTATTGAGGTGCGATGTCACGAAGTCCGTTTGGCAGCGCCGGCGCGATAGGCCTAAACCGCGGCTCTAACTCGGAACAAAGGTCCGTCGGGTCAGCCCCCAGCGTTATGCATATAGCACATAGCGAGTAGAAACGGAACGGCGACGCACTCTTCGCACCAGGCGGCAGCTGCGGCACCGCCGACGTGGAAGGGCCTGGAGGATCGTTGCACTTGCACCGGTTGTGGGCGTTCTTCGTCTTCCGCAGGTGCCGACACGTCTCGCACTGGGACACGGGCCGGCCCTTGCGCTTGACCTCGAACAGCGGGCGCTCGTTGTGGCCACAGTGGGAGGACCGATGTCCCTTGATGCACGCCTCGCTGTGCACGATGGGGGGGTAAGATAAGGTTCAGAGGACGAGCGGGAAGAGGGAATGCCGCACCAGGCGTATTTCTGCCCGTTGACGAAGACCTGTAAAGAAACCCGTCAGCTGTTCGTTGGTCGAGGGGGCGACGGGTGCTCCTGCGCGCTGCTCACCATCTCGTGAGCTACGTGGAGGCGTTCAACGTTCAACCTCAGGGCTTTCTGGTCTGCACAGGACTCGGAGGCCGTGGGGGTACCCGCGTACTCACGATGGGTCGCCTTCCCAGCCAGGCCTAGGGGCGCCTGCCCGAAGCGGCGGCACTACTGTCGCTGATGCGCTTGCGCGGAGAAATCACGGGCCTCCCCCACTCGCTGCACCGTTCTCCAGCGCCTCTCATCTTCCGATTTAATCTCCTCGCGTGTCTCTTCGTCGTCGTCGGCAGCAACGATGGACGACGGCGTCACCGTCGACATCCAGGTCATGGCGCTCCTCGCCGCCGCCTTCATCCTCATCAAGCTCGTCCTCTACGACCCGCCCAAGCCGACCCGGCGCACGGTCGCGATCCTCGTCCTGGGCGACATCGGCCGCAGCCCGCGCATGATGTACCATGCCGAGAGCTTTGCGACGAGCGGCTTTTGGACGTACCTCATAGGATACAAAGGTACGTTTCTGTATACGCGCCTGTGAAACATGGACGGACGGCTAACGTGGGGGCTTTTGCACATAGGTTCCAAGCCCGCGCCGTCACTACTCGAGCTGTCTCTCCTCCGCCTCGTGTATCTGCACGACGTCCCCAGGGCGTTCCGAGGGCTCCCGTGGATCCTCCTCGCGCCTATCAAGGTCATCCACCAGATTACGTCCATATACGTAACGCTCTCGAACCTACCATACTGCCCGGAATACGTCGTCGTCCAGGTTCGTCCCCTCCCTGAGATTGCATTGACACTACGAAAGGTGATGCTCACCGCTGGCTCTAAGAAAGAACCCGCCGAGTATCCCTACCCTTGCGATTGTATGGGCGTGGAGCCGGCTGCGCGGATCCAAGATCGTCATCGACTGGCATAACCTAGGCTACACGATCCTCGCCCTTAAGCTCGGCATGCGCCACCCGCTGGTCAAGGTCGCAAAAAAGTGAGCAACCCGGAACTATATCTATCCCCTTAGAGATCGAACTGACATCGGCCATATCTCTAGGTTCGAATCCTTCTTCGGACGCACCGCCTACGCGCATCTCTTCGTGACGAACGCGATGCGAGAGTACCTTGTCAAGCAATGGGATCTGCGGTGAGCACCCTGGCCCTTGTATCTGGCCAACCCGTTCATCGACCCTCTTCTTCAGAGGCCACAAAGCCGTCCTGCACGACCGACCGCCAGCGCACTTCCGGCGCACAGAACCGAGCGAAGTCCACGAAGTGCGTATTCCCCTCCCCTGCCTTCTCTCCTCCTCCCGTCTCACGCCCCTTCCTCTCCCCAGCTCTTCCTCCGCCTCCAATCCCTCCTCCCTCCCACCCCCTCCCTCACCTCCTTCCTCCCGCCCTACTCCGCGCCCTACAGCACGCCCTTCACCCACATCACCGCCGCACACCCCGTCCCACCGCGCACCCCCACCAACGCCCCCTCCTCCTCCTCCTCCTCCCCCACCCTCGCCGCCTTCCCCGCCTTCCCCGACGGCGACAACGCCACCAAGGCCGTCCCGATCCCGATCCCGCTCACCCCGCCCCCGGAGCTCAACATGCCGACCCTCCGCCCGGACCGGCCCGCGCTCGTCGTCTCCTCCACCTCCTGGACCGCCGACGAAGACTTCTCGATCCTCCTCTCCGCGCTGCGCCGGTACGAGGGCGCCGCGCGCAAAGCCGGGCAGCTCGCGCGCGCGCGCGCCGCGGGGCGGGGCACGCCGCCCGTCGGCGGGCTGCCGAAGGTGCTGATGGTCGTCACGGGCAAAGGGCCGCTGAAGGAGTACTACATGACCCGGGTGCGGGAGCTGCAGGAGGGGACCGCCCCCTCCCCTCTTCCTCCTCCTCCTCCACGAAGGGGAAAGGGCGGGAAGAGACGGTCGCGGAGGAGGAGGAAGAGGAGGTGCAGGGCGCGTGGGAGTACGTGCGCTGCGTGAGCCTGTGGCTCGAGGCGGAGGACTACCCGGTCCTGCTCGGCGCGGCCGACGTCGGCGTTTCGCTCCACTCGAGCAGCAGCGCGCTCGACCTGCCGATGAAGGTCGTCGACATGTTCGGCTGCGGCTTGCCCGTGTGCGCGCTCGATTTTTCGTGGTGCGTACCGTAACCCCCCCCCCCAAGGCCGTGTTCTCGCCCGGTTCGTCACGCGCCGGTTATACTGACGCCCGTCCCCCCCTGCCTGGAACGCAGTTTACACGAACTCGTCAAGGACGGCGTGAACGGCCTCCTGTTCCGGGACGCCTCGCAGCTCGCGACGCAACTGGAGGTAACGTGTTGGCCTCTTTCCACCTCGACGCCTCGGCACGTTTGTTCACGTTCGCCCCCATGTTTTTTTTTTCTAGACCCTGCTTTCCGGCTTCCCGAATCCGAACTGGACGCTGGACGCCCTGCGCTCGTCGCTCACCGACGACGCCGCCGCCGCCGCCGCCCCCCAGGGCCCGCCGCGCGCGCTCGAGCCCGGCTCCGAGGACTGGGTCTGGTCCAGCTGGTCCGAGAACTGGGATCGCGTCGTCCGCCCGCTCGTCCTCACCGATGCGAAAAGTCCCGACGGCGGGTCTCGAGGTGCCCCGGGTTGAACGCGTCGCTCAGAGGGGGGTTACGATAACTCGTTGAACGGAGGAGGGGCGCGCCGGGGGGGG